TTTATACACGAGGTGAGATTGTGAAACTTTTTGTCAAATGCTATTGCAAAATCCACTATTATGATGTCTTTAACCTCTAACAGAAGTACAAAGATCATTGGGTAGTAATCCTAACTTCATAGCAAATAAGTGATTTGAAATAAGACATCGTGAGATTGACCAGCAATAAGTTTGAGCAAGCGTATAGGTAAGGTATTTTTCGGTTGTAAACGTGTAAACCAAAATGTAGTCCGTAAATTCTGTTCCTGGATCGATAACTTCGGATTCCCTCAAGGTCATCCTTGTAAAAATAACTGAACTGATTTTTTTTAATAATTGTTGTTCATTAATATAACTATAGAATTGTGATTACTTAGAATTACCACCCAGCTTCAAGGTAAAAAAAAATGATAATATACATGCATGCCAAGGATGTTCGGAGTCACTAAAAAGTTGGACAAGGTATTTAATTTGTTAATACAGAAAATATCACTCTTAAGTCGCAACTGTAGCTAAATACTGATTGATGCTTAAAAGTCAGCGGTACATATTACATGAATATCCTGGACCAAGAGCGACATGCAGAATCGGATTTTAATCTGGAAGCTCGCAAGTTACAGGAGGACAGGTAGCCCGCCCCCTTATGTAGCTTCAAGTATATTTGATAAATGCATAGACTTACTTTAAGTCTTTTTACAAGTATCACTCCAAACGTTTGGTTGCCAGGTCCCCGTTCATAGGCGGGTCCAGGGGGGGGGGGGGGGGGGAGGGGGGGCTGGGTGGCCCGGGCCCCCCTTTCGTGGGAACAATTTGGTTGATTATATAAGGAATCACTGAAGCATGACTGGAGCGGGCCCCCCCTTATGAAAAGTTCTGGATCCGCCACTGCCGTTTTAAATCCTGGATCCGCACATGAGCTACAATTCCACAGAAAAACAAGCCAGGCTACTCGGACATATAATTATGACTCCACAACCTGCACATACTGCTAACATGCTGTTTGGTCAGCAGAAAAGCAGTACACACCAATTTTAAAGTCTTTGGTCCGGTCAGAAATCGAGCACACGTGCACGATCAGTCCACCAACACAAGACAAAAAGACAATTAACATTTATTAACAATATTCGTCAGATGAACCATTCACTGTCTCATTAGAGAGCACCTGATTTACACATGCAAATATGGTTAGATGTCCAATGGTGGAGGGAGTAACCAGCACTTTATATAAAGAGAGTACATGTTCTGCATATGAAAAGATGGTTCCTCTACAAAGATCTACAAAGGGGTTTAAAGATAAGTTATATAGATTCGATTAGATTCGTATTACATGTTCAAAGGAGTTGAAAGTAAAATCACAAAAATACTGACAGACTCCGAAGAAAATTCATAACGGAAAGTCCCTAATCAAATGGCAAAATAAAATGATAAAACACATCAAACGAATGGACAACAACTCAGTGTCATCTCCCTGACTTGGTACAGGCATTTTCAATTGTAGAAAATGGTGGATTGAGCGCTAAACCTCTCACTTGTATGACAGTCGCATCAAATTCCATTATATTTACAACGATGCGTGAACAAAACAGACATAATAGGTATAACATTGTCAAAATATGGGTACAGCAGTCATCAATGTGTCACAATCTCAAAACAAACAAACATTTAACAAAGAAGCACAAAAAGCATCTATCAAATTTAACAACCACATTCATTGCTTGCTTATATATGTATATGATGTGCAGTAATAATCAAAGTAGAAAAGATTTATATTTTGTTGTTAACTAAACAAGTTTATAATTTTTATTATCAAAAACAATTAATAATAATATATGCTATCTATATAGTATAGACCTAACACAATTTGAAAACTTTGATACTGAGGCCAAGCAAGCTTTTTGAAAACCTTTTACTTGTACCAGAGACATTATGTCTCTGCTTGTACCAAACGAAAGACTTTATCAGATGCATTATCCATAGTTTTGAAATGTGCAAAACAATGAAAAGAATTTGTTAAGTAAGTAATTAAGTAAGTAAAACTTTATTTTGATTCGGCATATTGACAAACATACAAACACAAGCTCTAATGAGCTTTTCACCGAATATAAAAACATATGCAATAACAAATAAAACAAGGCATGCAGCATGCAAATAAATAATAAAAAACAGCACCACATTTAACTCTAGCATATACATGTATCTTGCTAAAATATGCCAAAACACATATATGAAGCACTAATACAGGAATAATTTTTAAAATTTGCAGTTTAAAATGTGGGTCTCATTGGGGTCTAAGCGTGACACGGGATTGGCCGATTTTTGTAAGCGTGACACGTGAAAGTCAAATTATTGTCCGTGAAAACGAGAAATAAAGTCGGGCGGGACACGTGAAATTACCAAAAAATGAGCCGGGAATCCGGTAAAATCATCATTTTATTAAGCGTGAATCAAAATTTGGTGTCAAAAAATGAAAAAAGGGATCTGGATTGACTGCCAATGAGACAGATGTCCACCAAAGTTCAAATGAAGTGGATGTAAAGCCCCATCACACTAGACTAAGGTAATAAATAAGGAGTTGACCTCATGCTTGAGTGATTTACTAACTAAATAAAGATAGATAAGATTGCAGTGAGATCGTGGTATGGTTGGCTTGAATATTTATTAATTTATTTCATAGTTTTCACGTTGATACTGCGATCTTGCTATGATCCTGATAAGATCCTGCTACGACCTCGCTACGACAGTAACACGTTCTATAGTTACTATCTTGTCACGCTCTTGCTGCGTCTAATATGACCTTACCACGACTTACACGATCTCTGAACGCTTCTTCCAAAACCTTCCCGATTGCATTACGATTTCAATACGTGTCTACTACGATCGAAAAACGACTCCACTTCGTTGCCACTACGCTCTTCGTCCCTATAATATTATCTTGACTTTCCCATTTTATACATCAGTTTCCTGGAGATAATCAAAAGGTATTAAAAACGCTTAAGAGATCGGGGTGCTAAGTAAAAAGCGGAGGTCTCAAAAAGGTATGCAATTTTGAAATTTCCAATTTGCAAATTAGGAAATATAACACAATTCTCGTGGCTAGGACGTAGTAGAATCGTAGTGATGTGGACGAGGACGACAAGGGCAAAGTAGCAGCGCATTATTGTCTTCCTCATCGTAGAATAATCGAATCAATATTGTAGAAGCGTAATTAAGACGTATAGTGAAATAGGGATAGTCGCAGTGAAATCTTATAGGGTACCTAAGGTTGCAGCGAAATATTTTCCATTGGCTATCCCGATTGCACCACGTTTCCAATACGATTCTTTTACGCCCATCCCGATCTAACTACGTCCTTATTACGACTGAGTTCATACGGTTCTACTTCAACTAGTTTTGGCCAGGACTACACTACGAATGTTTGAGCATATTCAAAGCTCCACGATCATGAAGACTTGGCATGTCCTTTTTACGACCTTACCACGATCTTACTATGACTTTCAAAATTTTATAATTTCTGAGATCGTAGTGGGATCGTGGTCCTAGTGTGATGGGGATATAAGTAATTTTTGTTTGTTTATCATATCAAATATATTCCATTTTTTCTCAATATAATCTTATGACAGTCAGGGGCGTAGCTGCCGTTAGGCACTTTAGGCACGTACCTATACACATATTTAAAAATAAAAAATAAAACAACATTATCTGTAGATACATGGGAACTCGGTAAAACGCTTTAATTATCAAATGTCATTTGTACACTAGTCTATCATCCTTAGTGAATTGAGTATTGAATAGAATGTCATTATATTCCACCTTACATAAACTAAAAACTAGATCTTTGGTTCAGATCATTTCATTTCTATCAACAAATACTTGAATTAGCCTCATCATGCTCAAAACCCTGCCTTTTTTATATACATGATTTATTTTTTATTAATTGTTGTTGACTTTTAACTAGCTTTCCACTTGGTCCTTATCCTACCTACAATAAATCCTTGCCGAAGTTAGGCGTTCGTTTGGTTGTGCGTAATGTATAATTACGCAGTCACGTCTGGTCAGAATGGGGACGTTAAATCCGATGCCGCTAGTGTAGAGAGAATGCCACGCTCTCTACACGTTAAGCAACTTGCAACAACTCTTTGAGGGGTTCGTAGGTGGTCTACTGACAGGCAAAATCTATGTTCCTATCCAAGAAAACCACATTTTCTATGCATTGCATTTCTAAAATTCCAGACCTTCATCCTCGACGATCAGGACCTAGCTACCTGTTGTATTTATTGTAAATTTTGTTTTTGTCCTGTACAATCATGAACTATTTGCCATGTTTAGCAATTAATCAATCAATCGATCAACTAGCTTTCAGCAACTTCGAGTACTCTCAAATCTACCCTAGACCTGCTGGGTGCATTCAGCGGCCCCAGATCCCCTGCCGCAATTTTTACCTACAGTTTATTGGACATGTAGTTACGCTTCTCACAGTCTTGGCGCCCAGAGTACCACCCACCTTTGGCGAGTCACTGACAAACTTTTTGTATCATTCCTAAATTTGTGACACCAGTAAGCCATTTATCGGTTCCCTGATATCTTGCCAATGGTAATACAAGTGTGATATTCCGATAGGAGGGCTCTTGCAAGGCGACTTCTTATAAAAAAAATATAAGCGGGAAACGGAAAACTTAAAAAATGATAAGCGGGATACGGGAATCTGACAAAACAATAAACGGGATCCGGGATTAGAACCCCCCCCCCCCCCCCAATGAGACCCCCTAAATTTTTTTAAAATAATTTATAAAGTAAAAATTTCAAATCTTGTAATTATTAAAATGTAAAATCAAAATTTCAGTTTATTATCCTGTTAATAAATGTTTAAAACTACAAATGAGATGACAAAACTTTTAATTTGAGTATCAAGGGTAACTCGATTGTTTCATAAATATCGCGGCATTAACTTAATTCACCATGATCAGCGTAGAACGGAACAGGGAAATCCCCCAGGTTGTTCACTATAGAATAAGGTAATAACCAGGAAGGAAAACAAAATGGCGAACAGGGATAGACCGAAGAAAGAGTTCGGTGGTGTTTTGGGCATGTTACAAGTTGTTTTCCCACAGCAAAAGCTTGTAGTCGATAAAAAGACAATAGAAAAATCATGGAAGTTAATGGACAAGGTTGTGAAATCGTGCCAACACCCGAGAATGAACCTAAGAAACAGTCCTCCATTCATTTTGGATATCTTACCTGACACTTATCAACACTTGCGTTTAGTGGCTAACCGTTATGACGATAAAATAAACACATTAAACGAGAATGAATATTTTAGAATATTTATTGAAAATTTAATGAACAAATGCAAAAATACAATCAAGCTTTTTAAGGAAGGAAAGGAGAAAATGTTTGATGAAAATTCACATTACAGAAGAAATTTGACAAAACTGTCACTTGTCTTTTCACACATGCTTGCAGAATTGAAGGCCATTTATCCTAATGGCACATATGCAGGCGACACATTTAGAATAACTAAAGCTGATGCTGCTGATTGGTGGAAGGATTCATTTGGAAATAAGTAAGTACAATGACAATGTATTTGCAATAATATTCATGTATTTATCCAAGAAACAGATATTCTAAGATCATAATCAACCAACTCCTGATAATGTGCACAAACTTCACCACTTGGAACCCTTATTTAATGTTCAACATCTTCTTTGTAAGCAGCAACCCTCTATCAAGGAAATTATGAAAGAAATGCAAGCTCTGGAAAATCGTATCAACTGGGAGATACTATATATATATAGCTATAAGCTACATGTAGTCCATATATAGAAATAAGAAGATATGATATGAATGCCAATGAGATAACTATCCATCAGCGTTAAAATGATGTGGTAGGAAGCAATTATAGGCCACCGTACAGCCTTCAGCAATGAAAAAAACCCATACTGAATAAAAGCTATAATAAGCCCCAACATGAAAAATATGAAACAATTCAATTGAGAAAACTAAGGTCCTAATTTATAACAGCAATTTACGAAATAATAAATATGACAAGACATGAAACAACGACAACCACTAAACTTCAGGCTCCTGACTTGGGACATGCACACAAAGAATATGGCAGGTTAAATATAATGTACGTTTGTGAGCACCCTCCCCCTAACATACATGTATGCATGTGCTGTTGGGATCTATCTATGTTTGTATAGAAATGGAAAGTTAACAATTGGGAATCTGAAATCATCTCTTTTGTCTTAAAGTTAAGTTCTCTACTGACACTCACTGTCAATTTCTAGATGCAAATCAAGATATGAGGCAGACTTAACTGTGTCTGTTGTATCCTATATTTCAAGTTTGATTGGATAGATGTATTCAGTATAGTCATCAAACTTTGCACTTTTTAGTGGAAAGATGTTATCTACATAGCTGAAACATGAAGTTAATGGATAATACTTACACATACATGTACTCAAAAATATTGACAGAAAGAATGCTGACTATTGATGGTGACATTGGTGTATATTAACATTAGTTAACAGCCCTGCAGTAATGGCATATATATATCTTTACTGCATTATCATGATTATCATAATTATAAATAACTTCATATTAGTGCATATACATCCTATACAAATGTACTAATTTGATAATTACAATGCTATAGTTAATGTTATATTGTCACAGTACATTGTAAAAGGCCATTGTTTAATAACATCCTTTACACTGACTGACCCCGGATTAACAGGTGTACCCATTCATAAGAAAGGAACTGGAAATTGGTCTATACAATGATGTACAATGTATACCAGCAGTCACTTTTGGTTGTTTATTTATATATACCTGAATCATGATAATGGTAAAAAGAATAACAAATACTGTGAGCAAGAGGTAGAGAGTTTTGCTTGTTGTGATATAAAGAAGGGTTCTTTAAGCTTTAGATAGAACACTGACATACATATGTACACGATAAACACGTATGCATATGTACATCTACATTTTAAGCTGTACATATGTAAGTGAGTATGTTTATTTTAGGTTTTATCCTGATGCTGGAGTTGTCAGTGTTAAAAGTTGCAAAAATCATCAACCTACAGTGACCTGTATTTTCGGTTAGGGACCAACTGGCCATTTGTCTAAGTTGTTTTTTGTCAGTCAGATATATTTTTACTTCGTTTTCTACAATAGTATTATACATTGTACTTGTTGATGATTTTCGGCATTTAGAAAACGGTTGTCAGGTTAAACAAAAAGGACATTGCTGTCAAGAACTAATTAATTATGGTGAAAATTATTTTTCAGTGAGAAAAAAAGTCTGGGCCAGCCCTCCAAAATTAGGGTACACACAAATTTCTTTTTTATGCCTAAATTGACATGTACACAATGTACAAAATGTATGTCATATAACCATGACCCTGATCTCAGTTTCATGCTCTTGTAATCAGGTTAGGATTTCGGGATAAGGTCTGTTTTCCTCAGTTAGTTTGATAATTATAGAGTATCTGTGGTTTCTGAAACAAGACAGAGTTCAGTTATTCAGCTACAATCTCATCGAAGGGAGATAATCCTGAGATGTCTTCTATGCAGTATTGGATTTGCTCATTGTTGAAGGCCGTACAGCGACTTTTAGTTGCTAACATCTACTTCATTTGGTCTCTGGTAGATAGTAAATTGTTTCATTCAAAGCCTCATTTATATGAGATCTAGCTATAGCTGATAACTTCTTAAATAAGTTAAAAGACCATTGGAAATCAATCTGCTTATCATTCTTTTCCCAATCATGGTCAATGACCTCATTTGCTTATGACATCATGATGCTGCCACTCTACTTGATGGAGAAAACCATTCTCAGGCAAGGATAATGTGCACAAACTTCACCACTTGGAACCCTTATTTAATGTTCAACATCTTCTTTGTAAGCAGCAACCCTCTATCAAGGAAATTATGAAAGAAATGCAAGCTCTGGAAAATCGTATCAACTGGGAGATACTATATATATATAGCTATAAGCTACATGTAGTCCATATATAGAAATAAGAAGATATGATATGAATGCCAATGAGATAACTATCCATCAGCGTTAAAATGATGTGGTAGGAAGCAATTATAGGCCACCGTACAGCCTTCAGCAATGAAAAAAACCCATACTGAATAAAAGCTATAATAAGCCCCAACATGAAAAATATGAAACAATTCAATTGAGAAAACTAAGGTCCTAATTTATAACAGCAATTTACGAAATAATAAATTTGACAAGACATGAAACAACGACAACCACTAAACTTCAGGCTCCTGACTTGGGACATGCACACAAAGAATATGGCAGGTTAAATATAATGTATGTTTGTGAGCACCCTCCCCCTAACATACATGTATGCATGTGCTGTTGGGATCTATCTATGTTTGTATAGAAATGGAAAGTTAACAATTGGGAATCTGAAATCATCTCTTTTGTCTTAAAGTTAAGTTCTCTACGAGATCTAAATCCTGAGATGTCTTCTATGCAGTATTGGATTTGCTCATTGTTGAAGGCCGTACAGCGACTTTTAGTTGCTAACATCTACTTCATTTGGTCTCTGGTAGATAGTAAGTTGTTTCATTCAAAGCCTCATTTACATGAGATCTAGCTATAGCTGATAACTTCTTAAATAAGTTAAAAGACCATTGGAAATCAATCTGCTTATCATTCTTTTCCCAATCATGGTCAATGACCTCATTTGCTTATGACATCATGATGCTGCCACTCTACTTGATGGAGAAAACCATTCTCAGGCAAGTAGCGTAAGATGGAAATTATCACACAGAAATTGCGAAAGATCATTACAAAATTGCAGAAAATAGCTATAACATTTTATATATATGGATTATTTACATGGAGTATGACGTCATATTAAGGCTTGTGATGCTTGACACTGCTCAATTTCTTTGAATTGTATACAATGTATATTTCATCGTTCATACTCATACAGTACTTTTTAATACACTTTTAGGAATTTATTTCATATATATAATGTCCAAAGGCCACATTTGACTTTCCAGGACTCTTTCTTTGAAGTGAGCTCTACAGTAGAAAAATTACTGACTTGTGTTGAATTTGTCGTTCATCCACAAAGGAGTAGGTTCTAAAATGGCCCTTATTTCTAGCTGAAATTTGAAATTAGGATTAATTGATCTAGATCTCAATGAATCATAGCTAAAACAATGACTAGATAGAAAAATATGTCTTTTTGTTGAAAGTTTACATACTTACATTCTATTCATGACTTCACAAATAGCTCATTATGATTTTCCACGAAAATTCAATGAAAATGGGTAAATTTCCATTGATTTCTTTGATAGTAAACATAGAGCGCTGTGTTATGAAATTTTACATATATCTGGCTTAAATATTTAGTTTGTCGACTCCTGTGCTGTATGTTTCCTAAGTTATCAAAAGAATATTGCTTTCAAACTTGCACTCAGAACATTTGTAAGCTTGTAAATATAAAAATAAGAAGATGTGTTATGATTGCCAATGAGACAACTCTCCACAAGAGACCAAATGACACAGAAATTAACAACTATAGGTCACTGTACTGCCTTCAACAATGAGCAAAGCCCATACCACATAGTCAGCTATAAAAGGCCCTGAAATAACAGATGTAAAACTATTCAAATGAGAAAACTAACGGCCTGATTTATGTACAAAATAATGAACGAAAAAAAAATATGAAATGCAGCAACAAAGGACAACCACTGAATTACAGGGTCCTGACTTGGGACAGGCACATACAGAATGTGGCGGGGTTCAACAGGTTAGCAGGCGCCCAACCCTCTCCCTAACCTGAAACACGGTACTTATACATCCCCAAGCTTACTTAGCTTAGTGAACAGGAATGTTAACTTTTCCTACATGTATATAAAATCTGTATAGGGACCAAAGGCCTAATGAAATAATATAATGAATGGTCCAGGCCATCATATGTCATCATTCATCCTTATAGAAGATAGTACATGTACAGTGTCCTTGTATTAAGTAAAAATCTTTTGCAGTGGGAATCAATAGCTCATTGAAATTGTGTCTTTCTTGATTGTTGGACAAAGGTATGTTTATAATTCAAATTGAAATGACAGAATCATTTTCCAACTCTTTACTAGACACAAACAAAGGAGCTGTGTTTTGTTTAGATCCGGTTTAAGAAAAATGAATGTTTATTCGAAAAGTAAATAAATATAAAATACTTAGCACTTAATCATGCATAAAATTGGATACATATGGCCCTGGACACTGCTACAAACTAAATTATATCAGAAAATTAAAATCTTTTATAATTTAGACATATGTTTGATGAATAGAAAAGAAAGTGGTTAAGAAATTAACTACCATTACATATATATATATACCCACTAAAACATTACGTTTAAATTAAAACATTAGAAGTTACGGAAGCTGTGCAAATTACCAGACATTGATCTGTTGCATGAACATGATGAAAGATTGATAATTTATAAAACAAATTTGCAACAGGAAACGAACAATTATTTTTTGTAGATACTTGACCTAATTTTTGCAAACTTGTCTGATATCCTGTTTCTGTCAATATGTTACTACATGTACATGTATAAAATCTATATTTATGTCATTTTTACTATTTAAATGATTAAATTTTTTGTGCGTTTAACTGCATGATCCAATTAAGGGCTTTTTTTGGTAGTGTTTCGTTTGATTTGTTATTTTTTGTGGTTGATGAATATGAATGAAAGGAGGTGGTTTTTTTTTGGGGGGGAGGGGGGGGGGGGGGGTGTTATACATTTACATCAATTAGACAACAATTTATCAACAGAATATGTAAAATGTATATATACATATGTATAACACCATAGAGACATATACATATGGTGTTGGTTTTGCTCATTGTTGAAGGTGGTACATACAGTGAACTTGAGTTGTTTATATCCTCTTCATTTGGTCACTGATGGATAGTTATTTCATTGGCAGTCCTACCTTATTTTCTTATTTTTATGTTAAGAGACAAGAATGGTGGGATTTGGACCTTTTAATTAGCATATACATCATGTACATGTACATATATATATATATATATATATATATATATATATGTTCTGAGTTGGTAGATTCAGAATTGAATTTTTAGGATAATATACACATTGATACACTCCTTTTTCAGTACACACAATTTTCCATTTTCTGTATATGTCAGTGACTCAGTACATGTGTAAATTAACTGTTTCAAAAGATTTATGGAATATTTTTGACAGTTAATTATCAATTCATGGGGTAAATTAAAAAAAAAAAGAGAATAATAGTGATTCATTTTTACTGTTATACCAAAAGTAAAAAAGGCATTTTGTTTTTTACTGTCCATCTGTCAAACTCAAACTGCCTTTACCATGTTTACTATATATTATCAATTGGATATTCTATTCATTTTGAAAAAAATGGTACCAGTGGTTAAGGTGGGGGGGGGGGGGGGTGGGGGAAGAGATTTGTTCTGATATCACTATAATTGTGTTGTTTAGGATTCACTTTCGTTTCTTGTCTTACTTGTATAACTTTCAACTTATATAAGAACGAAATATCCGAAGTAGAGAACCATTTTGTTGGTAGTGGAATTCAAGCCTTTCCTTTTATTGGGACATATAGGGTGGTTGTTAGCAAAGTTTGAATAGTTTTTATACGCCCGTTTATGGGACGTATTATGGTATACCATTGACCATCTGTCCGTCCCTCAGTCTGTCCGTCGTCAACATGTCGGACAATAACTCAAATAAGCTTTAACCAATATGCATGAAACTTTGGTGAATTGTTTATATCTATTGATGTGAGCTCCCTTTCGTTTTTTATAAATTTCAGATCTACCGTTTCCGAGTTTTGAGGTTTTATTCATTAAAAAAGGGGTGATTTTCCAGTTTTCCGACAATAACTCAAGAATGCTTTCACCAACTTTGAAGAAATTTTGGTGAATTGTTTATATCTATTGACATGAGCTCCCTTTTGGATTTTTATAAATTTTAGATTTAACGTTTTGGAGTTACAGGGTTTTATTCATAAAAAAGGGGGATTTTCCAGTTTTTGGACAATAACTAAAAAATGCTTTCAGCAGTTCTCATGAAACTTTGATGAATTGTTTATATCTGTTGATGTAAGCTCCATTTAGAAGTTTATAAATTTTAGATTTTACATTTCTGAGTTATGGGGTTTTATTCATTAAAAAAGGGGGGATTTTCCAGTTTTTGGACAATAACTCAAAAATGCTTTCAGCAGTTCTCATGAAACTTTGGTGAATTATTTATAGCTATTGATGTAATCTCCCTATTGATTTTCATAAATTTCAAATATGACATTGAGAAGAAATTGAACTTTATTTGTTTATAGTCTGACAACAGATTTACTAAGTATTGCACAACAGCACAGTGTATTGCACAAAGGAAGAAATCTTTAATTGAATATAAATTCAATTCATATAACCAATTTCAAGTTCTTTGACTACATTTATTCAGAAACCTATAATATGTCAAATATTTAATTACAATCCAAATTCAGACCTGTATCAAGCTTGATTATTGTGTCCATTTTTGCCCCAACTGTTCAGGGTTGGACCTCTGCAAGCGTATCCAGCTGCGCTCAGCGAAGCAGTTTATTCATTTTTAAAACAAGTTTAGTGGTCTTAATATATGTCTGCTTGTACAGGTATGTATTCTGGGAGGCTGTGGTTTAGTTACAGCAGAAAGGATAAAGAAAATAATTGGAGGCATGATCTTGTAAGGCCAGTAACTGCTGTTATCTTAGATTGTTTAAGGGTTCCAGAAAACAATAGACACTTGAATGTTTTGCACTTTATGATCAGATGACAGACCCTTATCATGCTTATCATCATTGTATTTTCTCATGAGTAAAAATGTCAAATATATATATGTTATATCAAAGGAGGTCCTTAATATGAATTCCGCACATCAATGATTTATACAAAAATGTATTTATGGAGCACTTAATGTATTACTTCAATTCAGGATATCCTGGAATATTTCAGGAGCTCAATCTTGTTTGTGCTCCAATGAAATGTTTATAAATTCCAACCCTAAATGAAGATGCTTAAGTTTTTTAATGAGCTCAAATTCTGCTTCATATAAGTAGAATGTATTCTGAATTTGCATAATGAAAAAAGGGAGAGAATATATACGATGGGGGCAATCTAAAATAAGTCTTAAAGAAGTCCAATTTAAAGGATAACACAATGGTGAAAAAGACAAATGATGAATAGACAGAAAACTTCAGATTTAGCATAAAAAAAATGGTGTGAACTCAGGTGCTACAGAAGGGTATGAAGTTGGAAGTTCTGATATGTAGATTATCAGGTTTTCTACATGCATTGATAAAAATATCACCCATGAGCAAAAAGCTTCATATTGTGTTGCACAGCTAAAATTTTATGATACATTTTTGTATCTACATGTGTATATGCAGAAAACCCAATAATCTGTTTATGGTGCTACATTGTATGTCTGGTCTTTTTTCCCTACATAAGACAGTTTTACTCAGTTTTTCTCAAAAATTATGGAGAGTCTGATCAGGATGATATAGGCAAAGGGAAGCACAATAAATTTATAGAAGCACCTTTAAATCTTAAAATATACTAAATTCAAAATCTCCCTTTAAATGTTCAAATGTATTAAATTTAAAATCTAGACAATTTGTGGGCCTGACTTCTGAATCATTGTATATCATTTCAGATCTTCAGGAAGTTTAAATACGATCTAATGTCAAAATCAAATACATGTTTTGCATAAGAAAATTAGACTATTTGATTCATATTTATAGGGCTGCTGGCAAAAACATAACTTTGACAAAGGAAATTTATGTTTATCAATGTAATACATGCATTGTTTTGATTTCTGTGCAGATTACATATATTTATTTTTATATTGTCTTACTATATATATATCTCTATTTCCTTGAGATTTAGTTTTTAGGGTACATGTAGATTAAAAAGCATAGGCATACAAATACTTCCTTCTAGTTAGAATATAAAATGTCCTATAAATAAGATCAGATAGGTGTGCCATTTGTTTTTCTTTTGGTAAATTTAAAAATTGGTATTACTGATCCAAAATTCAAGATGGCCTCCACCTTTGAGCACATTTAGATGAGATTCTTTTTGATGATTATGTTTTTTTATATTAATTACAGATGAACTAAACTTTAGTAAGTATTTTTTAATGTGAAAATTTAATTAAAAATTTGTCCTCTATTTCTTTTTCAGAACGATTGTTTCATGGAAGATATTTAGACAGACACTTCATGAGTGCCATCCTATCAGTTCTCCATTGGAGGCTATGGCTCTTAAATCGACTATAGATTTGACCTGTAATGACTTTATATCAATATTTGAATTTGATGTGTTCTCAAGGTAAGTTTTCTTTAAAGATAATTAAAAACTATAAATTGTTTTTCAAACAAGAAGGTGTTTCTCAGCTACAATCTCATCGTAGGGTGACAGCCCTGCTATGAGATGAAACCGAGAAACATCAGCAATAATTTTCTATCTCAAGCGAGTAGCATGATATGAAAATTATAACAAAAAAAAGATGAAAGTAAAAATACAAAAAAATAGCCATAAAAAGTTATCAAAGGTACCAGGATTATAATTTAATACGCCAGACACGTGTTTCGTCTACATAAGACTCATCAGAGACACTCAGATCAAAATAGTTATAAATCCAAACAAGTACAAAGTTGAAGAGCATTGAGGATCCAAAAATTCCAAAAAGTTGTGCCAAATACGGCTAAGGTAATCTAGTCCTGGGATAAGAAAGTCCTTAGTTTTTCGAAAAATTCAAAGTTTTGTAAACAGGAAATTTATAAAAATGACCATATAATATTGCCATACATCAGTATTTTAACTGAACATAAAAAAGAATAAGGTTTTGCAGTTTGATTGGTACCGTTTATGTTATTACTACCACTGGGTGGATACCTCTGCTGGTAGACTGTTAGTCCTTTATAGTATCACTAGCCCAGTAGCAGGCATAAAAATATGGATATTGTTTTATTTAAATTTGCTGTTATAAAATTAAGATAATACATTACTGCCATACATTAGTATATAAAAATCTATGTTATTATTACAACTGGGTCGATAGACTCGATACCTCTGTTCTTATACTGTTAGTCCCAGATACATGTACATGTAGCAATGTGTAGTATGACCAGCCCAGTTGCAGGCATGAAAATGTGGATATTGTTTTATTTAAATTTGCTGTTATAAAATTAAGATAATACATTACTGCCATACATTAGTATATAAAAATCTATATTATTATTACAACTGGGTCGATAGACTCGATTCCTCTGCTCTTATACTGTTAGTCCCAGATACATGTACATGTAGTATGACTAGCCCAGTAGCAGGCATGAAAATGTGGATATTGTTTTATTTAAATTTGCTGTTATAAATTTTGAAATAATTTCAAATTAGATAAATGTATCTTCCTCTTTAACAGCTGAGATTCATTGTACTGGTTTGGCTTTACTTGTAGTCCATTTTGGTTTAAGGATGTACTTGGGTCAGGTTTAGGAATTTTTGTCAGATGTTCGGACTCCTTGATTTTTTTCCTACGACACAGAGTAAAATATTTTAGCCCATAACACCAATTTTTCTTTTCATATAAGACTTCAATAGCTCATAAAAGGTCATTTACCAAAATTTAAGCAGATTCTAGATTTCTTTTCTTTCGATTTGAGACCCAAATAATACCAATGCAAATATAAGTCAAAAGTCTGAGTCAGCCTTTTCCCGCCATTTAAAAAAAAAAAATATCTTGAAAAGGAGCTCCATAACCTATCAATATTTTTAGCTTATTTTGTTCCTTAACTAATGCTCTTCTGACTTGTAGTATCAATTTTGAATTCTAGATTTTTATACGCCCGTTTACGGGACATATTATGGTATACCATTGTCTGTCTGTCCGTCCGTCTGTCTGTCTGTCCGTCCGTACAATAACTAAAAAACACTTTAACCAATTTGCATGAAACTTTGGTGAATTGTTTATATCTATTGACATGAGCTTCCTTTCCATTTTTATAAATTTTAGATATCACGTTTCCGAGTTATGTGCTTTTATTCATTAAACAAGGGGGATTTTCCAGTTTTCGGACAATAACTCAAAAGTGCTTAGAGCAGTTTTGATGAAACTTTGGGGAATTGTTTATATCTTTTAAATTAACCTCCCTTTAGTTTTATTATAAATTTCTGATATGACATTGAGGAGTTATGGAACTTTATTCTTTAAAAAAGTGACGGGTGTATCATGCGCTCATTAATCAGCTGTTCAACGTTTTTGTTAGGTTTTGGACTTACAATTATAAAGTCTATTTTGGCCTTTAGCATCACTGAAGAGACATTATTCATTGTGTTATTTGTCGAAATGCACATCTGGTGCAGGAAAATTGTACTATTAATTGAACTTCATACTCAGAACTTGATTTGATCTTAGTGAGGGAAGGAAGTAGTTAAAAAAAATTAAATAAAAAAAAATGAATTAATAATATTTTTGATACATGTACTTATCAGATGGAAATGATAAGAGACTAACAGGAAGATTTAATCTATGACATTTATTTAATAGTAGTATTAGCTTTCCAAGTTCTTAGACAAGATTAAATTTCACCCAAAAAGGTTTTATTGGAATTAAATGTGAAATTTTAAGGTTGCTACCTGAACCTGTAGTGTTTTTTTTTGCTTTATGAAATTATTTTCGTTCATTAGTAAATTTACAACAATTTGAATCATACTGTTAAACATGTTAAATTTGGATAGACAATGGTTTAAAAAAAAATCCAATTCACGATTATCTCAATATTTAGAACCTGTATACAGTCATTCCCAAGGGTGCCGTACATTGGGCAAAGACCAGTAATAATTGGTTTGATCCAGATAAATGATATGCATTACTGGACCAAATGACCAGAAAAATTTTGAATTTTGTCCTAATCATATGTGTAAATGTCCAGTAAAAAAGAGTCTGGTCCAGTTAAGAAGATTAGTTTACTGGACCAAATGTCCAGTTGATTTCTCAAAGCCTTGGGAACCACTGCTGAATATATATAAAATTTGGAGAAAAATGGAATAATTTTCTTCACACATTGCGAAGTCCTTTATTGTTCAACGATTAATAGAGTTTTTTGAAGACACAAGCAGTTTTTCGTGCAATTTGTTATTACTATTGCATATAACAATTGCTTCTCTCGAAATATGTTACAAAAGCCGTCATGTGGTAGAACAGTGGAAATTCTTATGACAAAATATTACCTCCCCTGTAAACACTGAAAACTAGATCTTCTCAATGTTTGTCCCATTTTAGCAAGGATGCTATCAATTATGGATTCAAGGAAAAACGTTCTGGTAAATAGTAAAAATTGAAATAAATTGAAATAAAACAAAACTTCCACTCAATGTTATCATTTTCCTCCTTAAGTAGCAAACAATGAGTATAGCAGGCTATAGAAGCTTGGTGTAAAATTGGTTTAAAATGTTGCTATGCGAATAAATGCCACGAGTACCAACTTTAATTTATTTTTTTACTGTCTGTATACCTCTCTGGAACATGCTAATTATTCGTATATATAAACAAATAGATCAGAGAAAGTCAGGGAAAAAATTCCAAAGGAATCGATTGATATGCAGCAAAGATTGGCACTTTTGAAATTAAGTTACTAAGCAAAATCAAACAGACCTTATCTCGATGTAAACATTGAATGTGAATAGATCGAGAAGACCGCAAATAATTGTACAAAATTCAAGACATACTTTTCTTAAAATTATATACAAAATAGTAGAAAGATACATACTTTATAAAAAATGTTATCTTTAATTTTTTAACCTGCACAGACAGACTTTTAAATGTTTATATTCACGAAAAGACAATAGTTCTCTATTGAATGTACATGTAACAAGAGCAGACCGGTGTCCTCGATAACTTAGGTGTGAAAAAAAAGGCATACTTTGGGAAATTGTAACATGCTAAGGACTTTTTGGAACACTCAGAAAATTGGTGACCCGAAAGATCTTTCAATTTTGTATGTACATGTTTTTTTCCAATTTTTAGGCAGTTAAGCTGCCTTATGCGAGCACCCTAGATTTGTGTTCTACCCAATAAATGCTGAAATACGTGCCATTGTTATTATCTAGCTGGATATAATGTTATTTATAACTAATTGAATAGTTTTTTCATACTTTTAATTCTGGATTACAAAAATATGACCAGAAAAAACCTTAAATGATCGTCGAACCACCCAAAAGTTTTGAAGTTGCACATAGGAAGTAGAGCACATTAGGAATCCTTATGTAGTTTATTATCCCCTGTGCTTTTGGCTAAGATGTCAAAGAACAATTGTATGAAATATTTAAAGACAAGTAGTTTAGATTTCCCAAATGGCAAAAGTCGTAGGAATATTGTTTGTCGTCAATACGTGGTACAACTACGTCAGTAGTCTATTAATAAGTTCAACTGTTCATGCTGTTGGCGGCAATTTCAAATTAGAAGACGAAATTTTCGTATCATTTCAATTTGGAGGCAGGGGTTCAAATTAGCGGTGGTCCGAGGTCCGCGACCTTCCACTTTTGCAATCGGACTCTCGACTTGGTTACTAGCTACGCCCGACGGACCTTTCACTTGAAAGAAATTAAAAATAACTTTGCAAACCTTTTTACCAAAGTCTCTAAATAAACGATCTCAAAACGTATTTTCATCTTTATTATTCATAACAGCGATGTTCATTTTGTTCAACCGCTAGCTTTATACAGATAATCGCCGACAAGTAATGTGTAAATTCGAGTAAAATCGTATCTGACTGACAAAAACAACATCGAAAAACAATGGATGCCGTGTAGACAATTACAATATCGGGTCCGATTCCGGAAGCGGATAAGGGTAATTCCGGGTTTTGGAGATCAACTACAAAAAAAAAATTTCAGGCAGGTGACAAAATACATCTATGCATGGTAAATAAATATAAACACTAGAAATGGAAACCAAAAGATATATGTAAAAGAAAGAAAAAGCAAAAAATATTTGATACAGAAACTCAAAATTACTTTCTGACAAATTTTAATGTCCAAATCCAATACAATGTGACAGCTGGGAACAGTATATCTAACAATATATATGTTCCTGGTGACAGTATAAATCTTCTTTATCAGTGATAAATGTTGATAATGCATGTAAGATTCTTTTAAAGTGTAAACATATTACTGCAATTTTTTTCTCAATTTTGAAGGGTCAGTTAAAATAGCTGGAAGTTTCTTACTTTGTTTTCACAAATAGTGCAACTAGATTATATGATACCTGAATGTAAGCAAATCATATGATATATAGGTTGAATCCTTTGGGTCACTCTACCCCCTCCTGTTTGATAACTTTGAAACGGATGAGATCCCCACTCCTAAACCATATATATTCATGTATGGGACAATATAACTAATCAAATGAAATACAGGGGAGTCCCTGGGGTCACCCCAACCCTCCTGTTTGGGAACTTTGAAATGGTCGAGATCCCCACCCCTAAACCAAATATATTCATGTATGGGACAATATAATAAATCAAATGAAATATAGAGGGAGTCCCTGCGGTCACCCCACCCCTCCTGTTTGAGAATTTGGAAACGGTCAAGATCCCAAGACAAGACAAGACAATTTATTTAAACTTAAGCACACGTATGGTGCTACAAGAGGATAACAATTTTACATTAACAATTACATATATACTTATACATTTACAAGCAAGACACACAATAAATAAATAAGTGATATCATACAATAAAATTGAAATAAACCATATTTGGTTGATTTGTTTGCAAAATTCTTAATTGCAACGTGGATATGAAGTTATTGTAACATGCTTTGTATTATGAAAATATTTTTTCAATATGTCTTAGAAACATGCACACTTTTGTTAGCAGTGGCACGTTACAGTGTGATAATAGACCAGTAAGTTTCAATTGGGAAGGATTTTGTGTGTAATATGTAGGTATATACCTTTCTCTTAAAGACATAATTTGTTCATTGGAGCATACAAAAAAATAATGATCCCATAAACCATACATATTCATGTATGTGACAATATAACAAATGAAATGAAATATAGGGGGAGTCCTTGGGGGTCACCCCACCCCTCCTGTTTGAGAACTTGGAAACGGTCGAGATCCCCACCCCTTAACCATATATATTCATGTATGGGACAATATAACAAATCATATGAAATATAGGTTGAGTGCTTGGGGCCACTCTACCCCTTCCTGTTTGAGAATTTGAAAACCGTCGAGATCCCCACCCTAAACCATATATATTCATGTATGGGACAATATAACAAATCAAATGAAATATAGGGGCAGCTCCTATGGTCACTGTAAACCATCCTGTTTGAGAACTTGGAAACGGTCGAGATCCTCACCCCGAAACCATATATATTCATGTATGGGACTATATAACAAATCAAATGAAATATAGGGGAGTCCCTGCAGTCACCCCACCCCTCCTGTTTGAGAACTTGGAAACAGTCGAGATCCCGACCTCTAAATTAAACCATATATATTCATGTATGGGACAGCAGAACTTATCAAATGAAATATTGTCCTGTTTGATAACTTGGAAACAGATGAGATCCCCACCCCTAAACCATATATACTCATGTATTTGGCAATATAACAAATCAAATGAAATATAGGGGAAGTCACTGGGGTCACCCCACCCCCTCCTGTTTGAAAACTTGATAACGGCCGAGATCCCCACCCATAAACCATATATATATTCATGTATGGGACAACATAAAAAATCAAATGAAATATAGGGGTAGTCCCTAAGGTCACCCCATCCCCTCTTGTGTGTGTTTTAAGAACTTGTAAAAGTTTGAGATACCAACTCCTAAACCATATTCATTCCTGTTCGTCATTTCAAACAGATTTGAATGACATACAAGGTCAATCTCATAGGCATCACATATGCATATCACTTTACTAGACCTAATCAATGTGTACTAGACTTTGCCCAATGTCAGGCGACCATGGGAATGAATAATTATGGGAGCTTTGTTTGGGAGACTTTGTAACAGCATTCTGTTACAATTATTTCTTGTTTATTATAAAATTTTATTGATGCAAAAAATGAGTAGGTTTAAAGAATTTACCTTAATTATATTTTGAATAATTTCTGGTTCTATAAAAAATTTCATTTTAATATGGCTCATTTTAAAGAAAACATATCTTTCAAGCCCAAGAATGTTTGACCAACTTTATTATAATCACCTGTCATTTTATTCCAAACTTAGACATCATGGACTTGGGGTGAAGGCGGGGGTTATTTACATTTACTATGGGCAGGTCAGTCAGACCTCACCTTTGATCCCCGTAGTAGTAAACATTTGTCTGATTTGTGTCTCATAACTTTTGCACTGTAGAACACAAACTCAGTTTTCTTTCCAGGGAAACAAGTCCATGCATGCTATTACAAGCTCGTACTAAGTCAACTTGAACTACTAACAGTCAACTAATACCAACGTTAACTATCAACTAGAACAACTGCAATCATTTCGAACTTGTACCACTGCAGACACATGACCATTAAAAATATACTTGATATATGCGTTGCTTTGGAAAACCTTGATAAAATATGAATTATTTGCCTTAATAATTAATTCATTAAATGAACATAAATGCACAATATATGAATGTTTAATGTTTGTTCTTTAAATCTTAAAAAAAATGAAGCAACATAGCCACAGTTTTCATAATTATGTTTGCCTTGGTTTTTGGTTAACTGCCTACAGCGCTTACAGTGCTTTGATTTTTATCAATATGCAGCAAAGATTGGCAGTTTTTAAATTTCAGTTTCACAAGCTTCTTAAACAATTATCTCGATATATACTGAACATAAAACGTCGTGTATTTGCATGTACATGTATATTTCTAGTAACACAGTTTAACAAATAATTTCTGTAAAATGCACAATTATTATTTAGAAATAACTTTTGATCAGTATCGTCACCAGTATTGTTTTATTATTGACTTTCTCGACTCTATCATAAGAAGAGTGAATTTTCTTTTGTTTTCGTTCACTGGATATCCCACTAAGAATGCTTGCCTCAAGTGTGGGAAGTATTGTGATCTATTCAAGGCCTGGTCAAACCAAAGAAATAGAACTGAAAATTAGGGGAGAGGGTACCTATTTTGTGTAATCAACTCCTATAGTATTCTACCAAGGTCTCTAAGTCTTCACAGAAAAATTGCACACATGATGAAGTTATGCACCTGCTATTATGGAAATGTTTGAGGTATTATTTTCCACTTTTCCAGACTTGGGAACTTAGTGATTTATCTGCAAAATTTCCTAAAGCTGGTACCAATTTTTTCTTCAAACCCAGAAAGAGATGGATTTTGGGAATGTAGCACAAAGCACCCTGTTTACTACTTGTACTATCAAAAAAGTATTAAAATTACAAATGCATGTTATTTTTCTAAAATATGATTTAAAAAAGAAAAGAATACTTAATATTCAAAAAAAAAAAAAGATTATAAGGCAGATGTAACCTTGCTATAAATCTCAGTCCTGTCCCAGTTAACCACTCGAGCAGGAAACCAGATAATTAAGAAAAAATTCACGGGCTTGAATTTATACTGATTTTACCACGGTTGGCCCTTTATGCTAAATATTTTACCTGGAGCGATAACGAGGGGTAAAATATCAGCATAAAGGGCAAACCTGTGGTAAAATCAGTATAAATTCAAGTCCCCATGAATTATTTCTATTCTAATAGGACTAATCAGCAATTCTTTTGGATCGAAGCGATATAGGTGAAGGCAAATATTTGCCATTCCCATAAATTAACACACTATTACATTGACGTAAAAGAATGGAGCAAACTGAACTAGTGAAATGCTTAAACTAGTTACAATAACGTATTTAGATAGGTTTGGATGAATTTAAATGATAATCTTACTTATATGTAAAAAAAAAATTGGCTTATAACACGTTTTATCATCGTTTGTTTATGTTTCCTTGTTTTGATGACTTTCAGTTTCACAATTGTGCATTTTTCCGTAAAATGTTTATATTCTTACGTCATCGTTCAATGATGTTGGGTAGCTCATTCATAAAAATGCATATGATGTGGCAGTATTAGTGGCGGATCCAGAAATTTTCATAAGAGGGGGCCCACTGACTGCCTAAATAAAGGCAACAGTAGTATACCTCTGTTCGAAACTCATAAATCGATAGAGATAAAAACAAATCCTGGTTACAAACTAAAACTTAGGGAAACCCATCAAATATAAGAGGAGAACATGTACAACGACACAACAAAAACACAACATTAAAATGTAACACGCACAGAAACGAACTATAATATAACAATGGCCATTTTCCTGACTTGGTACAGGACATTTTAAGAAAAAAATGGTGGGTTGAACCTGATTTTGTGGCATGCCAAACCTCCCGCTTTTATGGCAACGTCATCCACAACACCAAAACGACAAGAGGGGGCCCAATCAAGTCATGCTTCAGTGATTCCCTATATAATCAACCAAATTTTTCCCATTAAAGAGGGGGCCCGGGCCCCCTGGCCCCCCCCTAAATCCGCCTCTGAGTATGATCGGAACAGCCTAAACAATATATTCATATATATTATTTTAACAGGGGTGTGTACTCAAAGCGTTTGAAGAACGTCATATTAGAATTACAGATTTGATCACATGTTATTAGCTAAAAATAATTACTAGTATTATGTTATATCAAGTATTATTTTTTTTATCCAGATTATTCCAGCCATGGATCAATTTACTACGGAACTGGAATGTTTTGGCAGTGACGCATCCTGGTTATGTAGCTTTCCTAACATATGATGAAGTCAAGGCTAGACTTCAGAAATATGTCGGCAAACCTGGAAGGTAATTAAATCACTAAGACATGATTTGTTTAGAATTGACATCGCTGAAATATAGAGCTATCCACTTGCCAGTGCTTGTATATCTCCTGACTGGAGGTGGAATAGGATCCCAGTTACAGGAAACCAGTCCAGTACACACGAATAAAGTCCCTTAATAAATCAACCATCTTTTAAATGGGATATTGTACCGAGATGAAATTATGTAAAGATGATTGAATTTGTAGTATATATAAAGGGTATTCATTAAGCTTACAACTGTTAAATTTTAATTGATTCTAAAATGTAGAGAGTGGATGATTGTCTGAGTATATGTTCCAAATTTCATTTTCAATTTTAACCAAGAAGTTGATTAAAGGACCCTATTAATACTCAAAACAGTATTGCTCTCTTAAATGCTGTCATGACCTCTCAAGAATTCTCCAGGAAACCATGAAGGGGGATACTAGTATGAGAAAGTAATTGAAATTTTTGAGTCAGATTTTTAGAGAGTACTCCCCCTGAAAATACAAATTTGCAGCTGAGGTTTTTGGACATGTTATTTTATAGATACAATGTACCACAATGTACATGTATTTAATAAAACTCCAAAGTCATACTACCGGTACTGTTCATTTTTATAAAGAATTTTTTTATTCTTTATCAAAAAAGTAAAATCACAAAAATACTGAACTCCGAGGAAAATTCAAAAAGGAAAGTCCCCAATCAAATGGCAAAATCAAAAGTTCAAACACATCAAACGAATGGATAACAACTGTCATTTTCCTGACTTGGTACAGGCATTTTCTTATGAAGAAAATGGTGGATTGAACCTGGTTTTATAGCTAGCTAAACCTCTCACTTGTATGACAGTCACATCAAATTCCATTATATTGACAATGATGCGTCAACCTTATTCTTTTATCTATATTATTAATATTTCTATAAAGTATAAGTTTGATGTTTTTTAAGTCTTGTTTTTTATATGGTTTTCTTTATGTATGTTAATAGTCATATTGTTTTAAACAACAGTTTTATCTATATGAAAGATCTTTTGTCTATAACAAAGTTATTGGTTCAGATTTCTGTTGCATGCATTGATGCACAATGTTGTTTTCTGTTGAAAATATGCACACAATAAGTAACACATAGAGTGTTTGTGTAATAGAATTAATTACATTTAACCATACACTACTGCAAATTTGTTGTATCATTAGAAACAAACAAAGTCCTAGAATTTTAGATTCTGAAAGAATAGGAAATAATATAACTAATATTTCAAAAGCTATTTCAGTTTTTGTTTCCATAACAATTTAGTTGACTGTTATAGAGTTTCTGTGTCAATTGTATAATCCTGTCCTTTTTTCTTTTTTTTTTTTAGAATATGAAAAAAAAAGCGTTGCTCTGGTATCTTTTGACAATTTTCAATGATGCTTTTAAAAATTGTTTGATAATCTTTTAAAAGTGTGTCAACTTTGCTCAATTATCATTCCTTTAGTTTACATAACTTATACATGTACCACAAGGTAGATTATACATGTACCACAAGGTAGCTTATACATGTACCACAAGGTAGACTGTAAACAAGTTAAAACAAGAATTTACTGTCGAATAACAACAGCATTCTCTGTATAGCGAAATTAATTTTTCACAAGAAAATGGAATAAAATGAAAAGTTTTTCCTGCCTGTTGGGCCTTAATAATTTTCACTTGTTAGGGTGAACCAACATTCATTTTTCCATGGTCTAAGATACAAAGTTCATGTTTTGGACTATATCATTTAATATGGAGATTGTCGTTTGAAATTGAAACCTTCAAGTGAGCATGCATAGAACAAATAGTAATTAATTGATATTCAAACTTGGAAGTATAAATAACCTGACCACACTAGTAGTACAGGCTTAAACATATTGATGGTCAAACCATTTAAAAGAGTAAAAGAATTTGAAACCACTTTCAAATTGACAAAGGTTGTAACCTGCTGACATTTTGAGAAACTGACAACTCTTTAGAAGTTTTTTTAGAAGATTCATACAAATATGTGTACATTTGGAGAAGGCTCCCTTAAATGGGGAGGGTTAACAAGTGTGATGGGTCCATTAGAAAATGTTTCATCAGACTGTGGGATATTCTGTTTTTAAAGCAGAAATTTTTACCATTCATATCTACATGATCTAGATTTTTTGTTTTTTCATAGTCATATATTCAGTGCACAAGGGTTATTGACTTGTATCTAGTATACTTTTTGTTCATAAGTATAAAAGGTATTATCTTAAACCAGGTGAGGTTTTTTTTTTTAATTGTGAATGTAAATTAAAATTCTAAATGTTGAAACCTAATATTATAAACACATTACATAAGTACAGTTTATAATAGCAAGATTATGTAATATACTGGAAAAAAGGAAGGAAGTTTATTCTATAGAGCATTTGTTTATCTACACCATGGAGGAGGCTTTAAATATTCATTTACCCCAGTACATATTTATTACGTATTGAAGGATGGTTCTAAATGCTGTTTAATTAAATATTTATTGTTTCCATGGAGTGGGTGTAATACAGATGTAATTGCTGTTATTCCCGATGTTTTAAACCAAAACTTATTAACGTTGGCCACATGATTAAGACAATGTATACTTTAATAAAGCTGGAAAATACGTACATGTTGTACATCACAATGTTTAGATAGCTTTTTAATTAAACATTGATGCTGTCGCCAACAGGTTGGGCACATTTGATAGTTCAAATAGGGTATTCAAAGATGTCACATTTCAAAATACATGTAATTGTAAAATAACATATTTGAAACACTTTATTTGTATTCACATCCTGAGTTTGGGTGAAATATTTGCAAACTGTTTTGTAAGCAAGTGATAATAAATTGAAGCCTCATATTGATTTTATGAAGGAAAATAAAACTCAACCTAAACCAATCTAGGTTTTTCTGGGGTCTCCTTGATTTCCACTTTCTATTTTCATGAGATGTAAAAATTACTTTTATATATTCATAATATTGATATGTAATTTACTATCTTCAATTGCAATTTTCAGTAGAATTTTCAAAATATATTGTATTCATTATAAGAGAGCCTTCTGGGTGGTAATATCTCAACACAATTTCAACAACTAGTCAGATTGCCTAAGCATGATCGTTTGTATTTGTATCTGTTACAAGTGCAGTTTTCATGGTTTGGTAAAGCTTGTCATAATGTTGGGAAACTTACAGTTTTAATGATGTGAAATTGCAAAATCTGACTCAGTTGAATCTTTTTAAATCAGGAAGCAACTCATGTTTGTAGTGTCTCTTAAAATTTCCCTTTTTATTATAAGATGAAATTATATACTCTTCAGATGGACTTTCTCAATTGTTACTACAATTGTAGTTAGTTTCATTATTGTGCTTCCTTAAATTTAAGGAAAAAAAATGGGTCAATTTGACAAGAACTGTAACAGATAGACACTTTGGTGTAGTGACTGTAATCAGATATGATTTTAAAATCTTCTGATAATTTTATATTCTTGTCAACAATCGTCATGGTTTCCTGTAACTTATATTTGAACCTGAAACCTTGGAGGCTGTCAACAATGTATTTTTCAATATCGACTTGTACAATTATAAATTATCCACTAACCCTCATACCCCTGTGCTGCTTTTCCTAAATCTGGCTATTTTATTTTATTTTTATTTTTTTATTTTTTTTGGGGGGGGGAGATGTGGAGAGAGGAATTGACGAGGATGTTACAATAAAACTATCTGAAAAGTTGAAGAAAATTAAAAATGAATAAACACCAGACCAAACAAAAAGAAAATATTTGCATACCATTGATACATTATAATCAGTACAAGTATATCCTTTACTTTCTAATTACTACATCTAATTATAACTTTGCCTTTTTGTTTTTTTAACAGTTATGTGTTCAGATTAAGCTGTACCAGATTAGGACAGTGGGCTATAGGATATGTAACAGCAGAAGGACAGATACTGCAGACGATACCACAGAATAAATCCCTTTGTCAGGCATTACTGGATGGCCAGAGAGAGGGATTGTAAGTTTAATAATAGGGGCAGTTATGAATTCACCGTTTCATAATCTAAAGAATTGTGGGTAATTTCATTGTCGTACCCCAAAATGAAAATAACGTCACATAATTGGTTGAATTTCAATTGTTTGGGACATTGTAAGCAAATTACAGAGTTTTGGTGAATGCTTTTATAAATATTACCCAGAATGCATTAGAATCTGAATTGTCACCAATCTAAAACAAATATCCCAAAAAACATTTTAAATACTTGTATGCATGCATAAAAAGCATGGAAGTATTTCAGATCATGTGTCGGAATACATAAACAGTGTTGTGTATTATTTATATCTTTGTACCAAACTTCTGAGGTTATATTTATATATAGAAAAACAACTAGTGTAGACAATGAAAATTTATCACAAAAATCAACAAATCCAACAAAATGATTTTATTCCCGAATTTTTTGACTGTTTTTTTGAGATCCCATTTTAAGGATGTATTCTTCTGACGTTTTAGTCTCGTTGAAATCTCGTTCTGGAATTATTTCTAAAATATACGATACAAGTGGAAAATATGAATGAATTTAAAAAATGTTATAATCAAACTTAACTCTGTGAAAAAAATGTGTATTTACAATGAGTAGTTTTTGAGAAATCAATTTTTCAAATTTTATTACCAATCAAGTCAGTCTTTTTAGCCAAAAATTTGAGAAAATGGGTGAGGGGTACAAGAAATGATTTTACCAGAAACATGTACATCCCATATCACTTTTTTCTTTTCAAATTTCTTAGATATGTATTTTTTCAATCATTTATAACAAAGAAGTTGAAATAATATGTATTTTGTTCTTAAAACAGAGAAAAATGACAAATTTACAAAATTGACAGCATGGTAAATTTGACACAAAAAAGCATCAAAATATGATAAAACTTTCTTATATTAACACCTACCTATAGTTTTTTAAGTTAAATTTATTCAAATTGGTCCACTCCATCCTTATTGAAAGTATGAAAAAAAGTTTAATTGTGGAACTATGATTTTTTTCACAATAATAGCCCAAAAATAGGTAAAAATTGATGAAAAATGGAAAAATCATCAAAATTGGGTACTTTCAAAGGGCCATAGCAAAAAAAGAAGTGCACCACCATATGATTTTTTCTTCACCAATTATTTTTTTTACAGTCATATAAACCCAAAAATCAGGTTAAGAAAAAAAATTTAATTCTAGAAATTTTTGGCTCCTCAGAGGTGTAAATCCTTAATAGGCAATGTCTGATATTTTTACAGATCAATACAGTACAGTGATGCATAAAATATCTACAGTCAATAACAAATATTTAAAAATTACATGGTAATAAAATGGAACATACCATGTATTTTTGTCATTTATTTGAAAGATGGTAATCAAAATCATACAAAAATTACCATCTGCCATATTGAAATAAAAAAAATGTATAATGTCAGACAGCTACAATACACATGAATGTATACCAAATTTGGAAGAAAAAAAATGTTAAAAACATATTTCTTCTTTATCTCAAATACTGTTAAGTTCTTTTCTTTTATTAGACGATGTTCCAATTATATATCAGTAATGTAAAATTTTCACCATTTGCTCTGTTTCAGTTTTAAATATCCAGATGGCAGAAGTATAAACCCAGACTTAAGTTATTTAGTTCAGGATTCTCAGGAGGATCATATAAAAGTTACCCAGGAGCAGTACGAACTTTACTGTGAAATGGGATCAACATTTCAGTTATGTAAAATATGTGCAGAAAATGACAAAGACATTAAGATTGAACCATGTGGTCATCTATTATGTACACCGTGCTTAACACAATGGCAGGTAGGTCACAAAAAGTAATTGAAAAACAGAGGTAATTGTATCAGATAGTTTTTGTCTTGCCTGCAACGAATGTAAAATAATGCGAGACTTCAAGATGCTAATCCGGTGGCAGCTTAAGGTATTCATATAAAGCTTTATATTTCAGAAGATGAATAAACCTTGATGCTTCATACCTTGTATATAAATGCCTTATATTAACAAGTTTATGACTGTCATATGTCTATTGTCCTTTACCTCATTTTCATGGTTAAATTACTGCTTAAAAAACTGTATTGTTATATACCAAAAGGATGACTGAAAAAATTTATTTAACCAGTGTGTTTTTACGTTGACTAGCTAATTCATTGATAAGTGATCACCTTTAAGTTTTTGTGATTAGGTCAGTTTCTCAGATACTCTCTCTTACTAGAAGGTAAACTGTATTTGGTGCATGGAATGACTGTAAGGTATACATGTTGGTCTTGCAGGGTTCATCTGACCTTGACCTCATATTCATGGTTCATTGGTCGATATTAAGTTGTTTTTTTCTATGCCCTTTTCTTAAATATAGCATTTACACATAGCAGTAGCTCAACTATATATGGTGTATGGAATGATTATAAGGGTATATATGTCCTACTGGCAGGGTTCATATGACCTTGAACTCATATTAATAGATCATGATTATGTTAAGTTTATGTGAAATCTGCAGTATAACCTTGATCTTAAACAAAGTTCAACATCAATTTTAGTCATAATTAGTTATACAGGCAAGACATCTCAGCATATGCACTCTTGTTTAATCATGTGTGGATTTAAAAGGACAAAATAAGCTAATTTCTCTTTCAAAAGGGAAAATTTCAATATGAAAGGAAAGAAGGGAGACACTCAGTGAAAAAGGCCGAAAATATTATTACGATGTTTTCTCTAAACTGAAAATATAAATCTTCTTATGAAATATATATGCACAAAACATGTACAAATTCAGTTATTTAATTTTCATTGATTAATAAAAAGCCTTTTGATATCTAGTTATTTAATGCAGTTGTAAAGCTTGATAAGATGATCAAGGAAGTTAAAAGTGACCTTTAATTTTTATCGACACTCAGGAAACCCTGCATTCAAAATGTAGGGTAAAACAAGTCCACTTTGAATTATGTAAACAGTTATATATATATATAAGGACAATCATTTATGGTGTATTATTTGTTACTCATGTTATTCACACCATTGGTTGCAGTGTATTTTTTAAGGGTACTCTGTGTTTAAAGAGGAAGAGAAAAGGAGGGGGCTCTGTTGTAAAGTTCTTAAATACTGTTAGGTTGAAGATTATAACTTGATGAAAATCATAGGGTTTATAGACGGTGATTCCATTCTACTTTTACAAAATTCTTAACATGAATTGGGTAGACTGTTCTGTGAAGTTGAGGTGTTTGATTTCTTTTTCCTATGTGGCTATAAATTACATTGAAATTGGCATAATATGTACTATCTCAAATGGGTTTTATATATATTCTTGATTTTTAAAATTATGATTTTGAAAAAAATTATATAGGTTCTAAAAAGGAAGAAGCTCTATTTAAAAGACATGAGATTTCAAGCAGGAAAGGAAATGAAGAATACACATAGATGAGACAGCAACCAAACAACACATAAAACTTAAGACATCTAGAAATGTACATACTGTCTTAAACAATAGACAAGTGTCTTTACAATATTTCAAGCTTTAAATAAGATGATTTTCATGTCAGTTTATTCTTTTTCTAAAAACTAGTATGTTCATTAAATGTGATGAAAGATGCTCAAAGTTGTACATAATTGAGAAAACTGGTCTGTTTCAAATTTGGAAAAAGTGCTTTATAAATCCTTAAAATTCTTATAATTTCTCACGTGAATTTCAGTTGTTTGTATGTTTTGCTTCCTCGTTATGAATAGACAAACTACTTTCTGTAATTGTGATTTTATCATTTCCTGCAGTTTATTTGGAATTGGAACAAAACTTAATATCAGTACCTGTCTCTATTTGTCATTGTTCATAAGTGTCTTTTTCCAGCATTATCAAATAAGTTTTGTCACCGTCTATATATCTGTCTGTCCTTATGTCCATTTGTTACATTTAATTTCTGTCCCATTTGTCTTGGGAACTACAAATAATAGCTTCAAAAATTGTTATTGGGCTTTATGTCAGCATGCTATACCATTTATCACAGTTTCAGATCCAGCACTCACCAACTTCCTGTTTACCGAATATTTATACATTATTCTATAAATACATACTGGCCATGTATGAAATTTTTGTTGCATTTTTCTACTGAACTACAAATAAGAGCTTCCTGAAATTATCCATCATACTTTACTGTATAATGCGTTTTCAGATTCAGTTGTTCAACTTCCTTTTTTACGAATACTTAAAGCTGGGGTATTTTTAGTGAGCAATAGCTCACAGTTCTATTTGTTATTTATTGGATTCGTATTTTAGTTAATTTCATTGACACTCAACAACAAAAAATCTTTCAATAGACCATGTAACAAAAACACAATGTTAACTGTAAGTGAAAAAAGTACATTACATTACATTAAAGGGTATTATTTATTATTTCGAAACTTTGCATTACATTACATTAATATAAATTTTTGTTACAATGTATTTCAGAACTCTGCATTACGTTAAATGTTATAATTTGCTGTTATTTCCCTGGACTCTGCATTACAATAACTAATAAAATTTTGTTGTTATTTCAGGACTCTGATGGTCAGGGATGTCCCTTCTGCAGGTGTGAAATCAAAGGTACAGAGCAGGTGATTGTTGATCCGTTTAATCCACATCCACAGAAACGGTCACATATGATGATAGTCACACATGACGATGATGATGACGATGTAAGATAACATGTTTTGTAAATATTTTAAATTGAATGTAACAATGTTACAGGTAGCAGTTTGCAGTGATGTCGCAAATATTATTGCAAAAACTTAAGACTATACCTGACCTCTGTTTAGCAATAACAATAGCTTGGGCTGCTTTTATCAAGTCAGTTGGAGATCACTTATAAATATATTTGTATGTCTTAACAGTGTGAATTAAACAATTTATGAGCATGACACTGAACTTTGATTTGCATACATTATATTGTGTGTTGTGTTTTGTAGCTTTTATCAAAATTTAGTTTGTTAATATGTGTAGATCGTTTTGTTGTAGAAATTTGATTCTCACAATTTTTTTTTCTGTCTGCATTTAAAGGAGACCTCAGTTTGACTCTTAATGAAGTAAACTAATGCATTCTTGTATTGTTATTATATTATTAAAGTTCATGAGGCGTTTCTAAGTGATTCTTTCATGAGAAAATGAACATATTTCTCTGCTTTTTTTTTATGCTTTTTTTTTTATTCCTGTGCTTATCATGTACCTTTAGCAGATGACATGCCTGCCATGGAAGTATTATGCTGTGTCTTTTATCTGCTATATTTTAAATATGATCATTTTATTCCACTTTTTAAGGAATTTTGTAATTTGGAATTTATCTTACAATTTTTTTTTAATAATGCATAACATATAGTCATTTCCACTTATATTTTTACAAGCAACTTAATCTTTGCCAAAAATTATTTTGTTTTCCTGACATCCAGGTACTCAATGCGCTTTAACTTCATACATTATTTGGCCTTATTAACTTTTTTTTATTCGAACGTCACTGATGAGTCTTTTGTAGACGAAATGTGCATCTAACGTACAAAATTTTAATCCTCATATCTAGGATGAGTTTATTTACTTGTTAAGGTGGTACATAACACTACAGGGAGATAACTCTGTAAAAATCAGCTGATTGTTTTAATCACATTCTATTGTTAAGGAAATATTAAGCCTATCAATGATCAAAATTAGTGTTTGTCAAACTGCTATCCTATATATCCAATGAAATTTTTCTGATTAAGTGTGTGTTTCAAGTTTTTTGAAATTTTTATATTTTTTTCAAAGGGTCAAAGTTGATATTTTGTCAAAATTTTATGAAAATTAAAAAAGCCAAATTAATTTTAGTCAAGGTGTTTGGTACCACCTTAATATAAATTCATACAAATCTCTCCTTGTAAAGCTATATTTGTATTTTTAAATTCTTGAATAAATATGTTAGAAAAGTCCTTGCTTTGGAAAGTCAATACATTAGGTGTTTGTTTGCAGGACCATGTAGGAATGAGTAGTTCACAGGCCCAAGGGACAAGTAGTCCAGTATCATCTGGAGTTAGTTCAGGAACTAATAGTCCACAGGCCTCTGGGTTAAGCCCTACAACAGCTAGTGGAGGGGTTAGCCTTTCACATGGGGTTTGTATTGCACTGATGCTCACTATGCATGTACAGAATAATCCTGAATAATCAAGAATAATCAAGAATAATCCAGATTTATAATCAAGTATTACACTACAGGTTAAGTGGGTTTTGCCATTTCTACTTGCGCACTGTGATCATTTAGCTCATTCAAATTTGGCATGGCAAATAAAAAAAAAAGGAAAGCTTAAATAATTTTTCAAAAGGTGTTTTATTTAATAGTATAATAGTGGAAGAAAAAAAATAGCATGTCTACATATGGGACTATTTGAAAGTTTTGACCACGATGTGGTCTATTCCCCACAGTGAACTAATGTGGATTCATAATAATTCGTGAGATACCAATTTACGTGGGTAACTGTGAACCATGAGTTTTAAATGTCCAACAGAGTCCAAATTTTCTATAGACTTTTATGCAGACTTTGGCAAAACCATGAAATCAAATATCCATGAAAAATACTATTGACCTTAATCCATCAAAATTGGTAGTCACTAAAATGAATGAATCCACAGTATTAGAAATGACAAAATCCACATGGACCGTAGTGTGTAATTAATAATCTAAAATTGCTATCCATTATTACTAAAGTTAATGACTTTTTTCATTTTTAAAATAACTTAATTAAACTGTTTTAAAATATAACTTCTGATCAAGCCAAAGATTATTTCTTATATTAAAACATGATGAACGAAAATATGTAAGAAAGAAGAAATCAGGAATGGTTCACCCTTTAAACAAGTTAAACATACATAGATTATGATAGTTCAGTCTGCACCAAAAACTTTTTCATCTACTAGTCCAGAACCTAAATATCAAAACTTGTCCCTATATGACTATATAAAATTTTGAAAATTTTCACTAGTCCGAATCAATATTTACTAGTCTGGGGCATCGGACTAGTGGCTAACAGTGCAGACTGATAGTTATGGAGACACCAGTTTACCAACACCTGTTGTTTTCATAGATTTGAACATATCTCAAATAATAAAAAAAAGTATGTTTAAATTCGTCTTCGTGTAACCTGTTGGAAAACCCTTAATTTATTCAAGTTTTCTCCCTTTCTTTTTTTTTCACTTACCAACTGGGTTAAGTTGAATAAATTTGAAGTTTTACATGTACTTTTGTCATTTAAATATTGACATGGCTACAGTCTAATTATATTTTAATTTTTTTGTTTGCATTGCAAGATTGCTGTAGTTGAAAATTTAAAAAGCAAACACTTTGATATTATTATTATGGTGTATTTTTGGTATAAGTTGATATATCTATCTCTTATATGTGCATTTTGTAATATAATCTGCTGCATGATAAATATTTTTTTTTTCTGTTACTTTTGATCTGTCTATGTTTTTGTCTTTGAAGCCTTTCAGTCAATCAAATTTTCTTTTTAATGTTTCTGTATTTTATTACTATTTTTATCCTAACTACTTCTGCTGGTTTAGAAACTCATGCAACATTTCAATATACTTTAGAAACAGATTTTATTGATAACTTTTTTTTAAAACTGGGTCTTTCAGGATTTATAGAGCTTGAAAAGATTAGTGACATATGCCTGTTAAAGATATTTTGAAATGAACTGGAACTAACATTTAAGGGCATTTGTATCAAAATATATTTTATACCAAGTTTGAGAGGCATTTTTCTAAGAATTCCAACAAATTATAATGATTTTCCTGAATATCATTTTCAATCATCGTGAACAAATTAATTATTCAAATAGAATACCCATATGACATATATGCTTATTATATATAGTAAAAAGAAGCATTCTTTTTCACATTTGAAAAAAATTCAAATAGCTACAAGTTATAAATTGGGCATTTACATAATTCAATGATTTCCTTAAAATGTGTACAGTATCAAGCACGACTAGGACATTCACTTAGCTATATTCTGCAGGAAGTATTTTTTTTGTACTTTATTGAAGTAGAATGTATTTACATGACTTGTATTATGTCATGAGTAAGGAATTATATATAAGTTCTGTTTTGCTTAATTTCTTACTTGGATTTGCTAGATTAATGCAAAAAAAAGAATAAATTGTGTTTACTTACAGATTAGACATTCTAATGCAAAATAACTTAAAATATTAATAAATATTTTTTACAAATAAGTAAATGATGAAATTTTTTTAGTTTAGATCTAAAATGTTTTTTGGGGCAGCCCCTTGAAATAAATCCATACCTGTTGATCCACCCAAATTAGGAAGAGACATGTCGAATTGCATTTTTCATACCCTTCAAAAGATATAACTCCTGAAATTTGGTCAAATTCTGTTTCATTGAACAAAATCTCTCAATACAAATTTCAAAGTGGTTGATATACTTTTGATATAGTGCCAAATTTAACATATTTATTGACCAAAAACAAAATAAAGAATAGAGAGTAATGATGTGCTAAAATATAAAGAAAAGAGAAAAATGGACAAAAAAAAAGTATAAAGAATAGAGAAAAATGGCCTGAAAAATTAAAGAATAGAGAAATGTAGGACCCCCATCTAGACCGTCATACATTAGTTTATATAATAAGGCTTTAAAAAAAGGTTGTGTGTTGAAGAAATCAGCATGATGATTAAGTTCCACTTGGAATACAAATTCACACGAATCAGTCCAGTAGTTAACCCTTGGTGATGATAAAAAAAGGCATTGAAAAATGCTTGTAGTACTGCTTCGAATACTAGCTGTATTTAGTGAAAACATCTTATTTTTACATAAAGAAAAGTAATTTAATCTTTTTAATAACAAGATTAGATTATTTCGCATATTTTTAATGATTCTTACAGATATACATATATATTTTTTGTGTATAATAGTGATAATGTAAATGATGAAATTTGAACTGCAACGGATAGAAATCGACCTTATGCAACTGAATATCAATACATCTGTTAACCTATTTCTGGTTGAGCAAAGTCTATAACTGTTTGAAAATTACGTTTATATAAGAATCCTTCAAAACAAACCAAAATTTGTCTCTGATTTTATATTTAAATGTTCCAAAATCAATCAAAGTCTTATACATGTACATGTAAACAAGCACTTGCATTAGGTCGACTTCTATCTGACACAGCTCATTTAATCAATTTTTGTGTGTAAATTCTCCCCCTTAAGAATTATAAGGAAGGAGGTTTCACACAATATAATAGCCTTATAAGGTTAGCAGGTATGCTTTTTTGTGGATATGGTGTCAATTCAATTTTATTTATACATACCAATTTATATATGTACTAAGTTGAGGGTTAATTCACCATTTCAAAATCTAATGCATTCTGGGTAATATTTTCAAGCAGGTACACCAAAATTTAAACGTCCTAATCAATGAAAATGCATACAATGACTTAACATTATTTTCATTTTAGGGTATGGAGATCAATGAAATTACCCATAGTCCTTTAGATTCTGTAACGATGAATTAGTGAGGCCCCTCATGGGGGTGTCCAAGTAATCACATAATCACAAATTTGTTGCCAATATAATCACATAATCATTATTTATTTTTTAAAACAAGGTAATCAAATAATCAAAAATACAGTCCTAGATTATCAAATAATCAAATAATCATGAAATATTTGGTCTGGTAATCAAATTATCACTATAAAAACGGCCAAGTAATCACATAATCAAAAATGAACTCTCCCTGCTTCATTGTAATACAATACAGTATAGTCAAAATTTTAAATTCAACCATATATTAACTGCTTAGCTTTTTCAAATATACATGATTAAAATTTTTATTTCAAAGTATAAACAAATATCTTGTCTTAAATTGGTAACTAAATCAGGGCAGACTTTCACATGCTTCAGGTGGCAGGAAATAAGAATTTGTAAAACACTAGACACTTTGATAATTGTGTCATATTAATGCAGGATGGTCATATTTTCATCAGATATATTATACTTGTGCATGTATTTTTAAATTTTGAATTTCATTATGAGATAGCTCAAATTTATTAAAATTAATAAGTTGTGTAATCTTTATATTGAACAAATTGAAAGGAGGAAATTCTTAGATCACCCCACAATTTTCCAAATTATTTTCTTTAACCAAAATCAATTTGATGTAGATAATTTTACAAGCATAATTAAATGTCTTTCCTTTACCATATCAGCTCAGTTTTGAAAATACATGTATAAATTGAAGGTAACACAGAAATGACAGATATTTTACTGTGTCAAATTATCGGAAATAACAAAGTTAACAATATTACAACTTACTAAAATTCATAATGTTAAATTGAAAGTGTAACTTTCATTCATTATGATGTTACAGTAGAAATGGTAGTTTTAGTTTCTAAAAGGCGTTACTGTCAAAAATTGTTTGCAGTTTTGCCATTAATTAGGACAAAATGTTTACCTTTTGACCCATTGAACAGAATGCACGACCAAGCTTTCCACTGGAAATATCATTGCTTTTGAATGTTCCCTGAGTCAAGTTTATCTGAATGCAGGAAATAATTTCTTGGGCCTTTGATTACATGCTTCACCTAACACATTTTTTTTCATTATATCTTCATACATTTCAGATGAGAGAAAGATCCTCACCCTTTGATTCTCCTGGAGTAGGGAAGAGAGACTTACCCCCACCACCACCGCCAGTGCCACCTAGACGTTCCTCACCAGTTCCATCACCTACAGTTTCACCAACATCATCACCCAGACCACCATGGTAATGTTGGGAGATATACGAGGGTCGTAAAGGGGGGGGGGGGGGGTATCTGCACGGAAGAACGCTAAATAAAATTGCCATTTCATGATGAACGAACAATTAAAAATTTCTTGCATGTTGATCTTTTTACCGATTTCACGAAACACTATGAATAACGAACCTTTTTCACGGCTGCACGTGAAATAAAAATGGCAAAACACATTGCATGAAAATAACCCTTTACCACCCTCATATACTTGTGCATGGGTCAAAATAATAGCTAGGGATCACAAATGAAATAGGAATGATTATGATGAGGGTGATTTTTAACGACCTTGCCTACCCATGAGGGTCTTGCACGGTATTATATCAATGATAAATGCAAATTATTTGATTTGAAAATGGTATTGAGTAAATCTATGTTTCAAAATAAAAAAGACTATGGGTTATTTCATTGTTTGTACCATGAAACAAAAATAACAATGTCATTGGTTGAATTTTCATTAGGAAGTTGCTAGAAATTATAAGTTAACCAAGAAAGGATTTGATTTTAAAACCACGAATTAGGATGCCATTGTACTGGTTATTAGTGATTGGAAGGGTCTTTACAAAAAACAAATATGCCAGACATGAACCAACGATAACTGTACTTCATGCTTATTAGCAGTATGATATAGTTTCACAAAACTGACTTAAAAACCTCTGAATATATTATTTTCCAGGCCCGAGGCCATCAGGTAATGTACTGTCTCTTTTTCTGAACTGTTAGCAGTCTGGACTTGCTTTCATAGCTGACTGTTTCCATTTAAAAAAACATCTTAAGTATAATTGTAGGCTGAATTCTTCATTCTAGCTAGTTTTTCTGTTGCATATTTATTTTTATCCTGCAAGGAACTTTTTATATGCGGTTCTAATAAAGGCTTGCAAATTTTATTTTAGAATAATATACTCCCACTTTTGAAGTGTGGGCTATATTGCATTCACCTTGTCCCTCAGTTTGTCTATCCAACAGATATCTTTGAAACTACTGAACAGAATTACTTCATATTTGGTCATCAGCTACAATCCCGTCCCCTTTTCCCGAATGTGACCTACCGAAAATTAGACTTGTGACCGGATTTGTACTAACATGAGCAACACGACAGGTGCCACATGTTGAGCAAGATCTGCTTACCCTTGTGGAGCACCTGAGATCATCCCCAGTTTTTGGTGGGGATCGTGCTGCTCAGTCTTTGGTTTTCTATGTTGTGTTTTGTGAGCTGTTGTTTCTTTGTCTTTTTCTTTTTTAGCCATGGGGTTGTCAGTTTGTTTTCGACTTGTGAGCTTGAATGTCCCTTTGGTATCTTTCACCCCTCTTTGACAGTGATGGGTTAGCACTTTTACGATCTGTCGGATACCTACTTCTTGTTTGCCAATACTTTGAATTTTCAATATGCTGAATGAACTTTTCATTTCTCAAATACTATTGAATGGAATGACTTTGTTTTTGGTTAGCAGCTCAACAGTGATAAGTTAAAAGGTAAAACTAGTTTTCAGTTGTCAGGCAGCTACTTCCTGTTAGCCAATACTTTGAATTAAGAATAGGGTTATTGCTTCACATGATGACAGCATGTGCAATTTTGTTTTTTTAAAAGTGTACAAATTTTGTCCCCTAGTATCCTACTTGAATTATGAATTAGAGGCCTCAGTGGCTGAGTGGTCTAAGTAGTCAAACTACTGTATCACTAGCCAGTCAACACTGAGGTTGCGACTTTGAATCCCTCACGGGGCAGGTGCACTCGACTCCAATCTTAATCGACTAGGATTGTCAGTTTTCCTACTGAAGGTCGGTCGTTCTCTCTGGGCACTCTGGCTTCATCCACCAATAAAAACTGACTGCCACGAAATAGCACAATTGTGTTGAAAGTGGTGTTAAACACCAATCAATCCTACTTGTATTATAAAGAAATTAGGTCCACCTTTGAGCAATAAAATTTCTATTCAAAATAAAGGCAACAACAGAATTTTTACACTTCTATGTGTAAACTTTAAAAAAAAGCAAAAGTAATCAGCAAGACAAGATCTACAAGTAGGTTAAGGATGTTCCATAAAAACATACATGGGACCCAGAGAAAGCACTTTGAAATCTCTACTATGGGTGGGTATCAAGTACAGTGGAAATGTAATTGAAATTCTAAATTTGCATCTATAGGTGGTTACATCTTTATGAAAGTGCCTTCCCTGGGTACCATGCATGTTTTTATGGAACAGCCCTATAAATAACATAGATACATATGTCAGTTGTCTTCTTGTTGGAGTTATTGTCCCTAAATGATGATTTTCACCCTTCCTTGTGTTTTGGGCAAAAACTAGAAGATAGAAACAACAGATAACAGATAAAAAAAATTATCAGTAATAAAAGATCAATAGTAAAGAGAAATTTAGTCATGTATTATATTCAATTTTACAATGTTGATGAGTGATCTCAGTTGCTCCGGAAGGGTAAGCAGATCCTGCTCCACATGTGGCACCCATCTTGTTGCTCATGTACATAGACCTAGTAGAGCCACACTTCACGTTTGTGATTAGTTCACTTTGTCCAGTCTCTGTTTAAACAGTTTATTCTGAAATTTCTTAAAATGTTTTTGTCATTATATACGCTGCTTTTAGAAGCCATTTGACAGTAATTCATCACAAGATGTCAATAAGATGGATTATTTGATTTTGTTGATATAAATATTTGTATTGTGAAACAAAGGAGATGGGTTAGATATTTGGCCAGAGAAACTTGAGTTTTTGAAAACTGCTGTAAATTTGGAAATTATATGATGTTTTTAGTATTGCAAAAATATGGGAGGAAAAAATCACAAAAATACAGCATCATATTTTTGTCTCGCCTGCAAGGAAAAGTCTCTGAAAGCGTGACCTTGAGATTGCTTTTTGGCAACAGTGTCAACAATTGTTAAATTTTCTGCTTAAGTTAGTTTGATAGGAACTACCTGTTATAGATCATTGATATTTAATATAAAATTGCATTACTATCGGTACATTAAAGTTTGCTGATTATTTCGAGGCCCTGCCCACTAGCTCATCGTCCAGCGACTGAATTAATTAGCAATTTTCAATGTTAAGTTTTCTGCTTAAGTTAGTTTGATACTTTGATAGGATGTACTTGTGATAGATCATTGATATTTAATATGAAGTTACATTACTATTGGTACATATCAGTTTGATGACTATTTTCAGGCCCTGTCCCCCCCAGGACATGGTCCAGTGACTTTGAATTAATGAGCAATTTTCAATGTTAAGTTTTCTGCTTGTCAGTTTGATAAGAGCTACTTGTGATAGATCAATGATATTTTGTACAAAGTTGCATCACTATCAGTACATATCAGTTTGACAATTATTTTCTGGCCCTGCCCACTAGATAGTGGTCCAGTGACTTAATTAATTAACCATGTTGCTGTCTGTAAGATTGTCTTTTTCTGAATTTTATGCCGACAGGGGAGACATATCTCTGTGTCAACAGTTTATGAATTTTTCTAGCATTATTTATAGGTAGCATTTTTATGAATATCATAAATATACTGTAAACCAACTTGTATTTGTGTATACCGGGTACTTTATTTCGTGTTATGACCTTTCTAGCCCTTTTCGCAGCGATTTAATTTCTCCATTTTGAAATTTACTTGATGTAATTAAATAAGGAAAGTTTTACATGTTTGTGATGATTTATATTCGTGTTATTTTTCTACTTGCAAAAGTCACAAAAATTAGATGGTTTACAGTAATTAAAATGTAAATAACATGAAAAGATGTCTGTAGAAAGTCTGTTTTCATTGAAAGAAATATTTCATTAGATGTACATTTCCTATTTTTCTGTAGTCGGAGACAGCTGCCTCCAACACCACCTTCTGAAGATAAAAATATTATACCTCAGCCTACCAATAAAACAGTATGTACAGATCCTGACGGGTCAGGTAAGTTATTTAGACAGCCAATTTATGAACATTTGATATGATTCAGAGGTGCAAAAATAGCACTATGGGAAATATTTATTAAATTTTGTTGGGAAAAAAGAGATTCTATTTTCTGCAATTTTGCAAACCCTAAAAAGCCCTTTGTGATGTCTCTTCTTTGTTAAAAAAAACCTATTTTCACAATAAAAGTTCTCTAAAAATTTAGGTTTTTGCAAACATTAAATACCACCTTTATTCTATGGTCATCTGTTCATCTAATCAGTATATGGTTAAACTGCACAGATTTTTTTTTTGTATCTCACATTGAGGTGCATAAGGGATATTGACATAAATATTTAAACAGCTTTAGATAAATTCCTGATGAAATGACCAGTTGGAAGAAAGTCAGCAAACACTTTTTGAGTTTGGGTGAAATAAAAGAGATTGACAAAAATGCCATTGAAAATTCATGAAGAGGACTTCAATCTTATTAGCAGAATGGTATAGTTTCACAAAACTAACTTAAAACCACTGAATATAATATATTCCAGGGCCAAGGCCACCAGGTAATGTACTATCTGCTTTTCTGAACTGTTAGCAGTCTGGGCTTGCATTCACAGCTAACTGTTTCCATTTTCCATATTCTTCATTCTAGCTAAATTTTCTGTTTCATATTTAATTTTATTCTGCAATTAAATTTGTATTGCTGTACAAACAAAGGCCTATGTACACACGTTATTTCAGAATATTATACCCCAACTCCACATTAGGGCTATATTGCATTCACCCTGTCCCTCAGTTTGTCTGTCCCTCAGTTTGTCTGTCCGTTCATCAAACATATTTTCATCACACAACTCAGAAACTACTGAACAGAATTTCTTCATATTTGATAAGATGGTTTTTAATGTGTGAGCACTTCTTGCATCTGTCAGATACCCACTTCTTATTTGCCAATACCTTCATATTTGGTAAGATGATTTTGAATGTGTGAGCACTTTTTGCATCTGTCAGATACCCATTTCTTATTTGCCAATACCTTCATATTTGGTAAGATGGTTTTTAATGTGAGCACTTTTTGCATCTGTCAGATACCCATTTCTTATTTGCCAATACCTTCATATTTGGTAAGATGGTTTTTAATGTGTGAGCACTTCTTTCATCTGTCAGATACCCATTTCTTATTTGCCAATACCTTCATATGGTGAATATGTTCGATGAACTTAAAATTATTTGTCAATCATTTCTCAAATACTATTCAACAGAATGACTTTGTATTTAGTCTGCAGCCCAACAGTGATAATGTATGTACAACTTCCTAGGTCAAAGGTTAAGGTTAAAAACTTTGGTTTCAGTTGACAACCCCATGTCCTATGATAAAGATACAAATTTTTTACCACACATTATTCACAGCGGGGCCCACAGAGATGGCTCCCATCTCAATGATGTCTAGTTCTTCCTGTTTGCCAATACTTTGAATTAAGAAGGGGTTATGGTTCGCATGAGAACATGTGCAATCTTGTTTGTTTAGTGTACAAATTTTGTCCCCTAGTATCTTTGCTTTTTCTTCTTGTTTCTTAGCTACAAAAAAGGAGCATATCTTTTAGAATTGTATCATTCCTAAATCATAAAAATTCTGATCAGATTTGTTGTAGATCAAATAACATATTGTTTTAGCTTTGGGTAAGGACTCCGACATGGTGACAAGTGGTGAAGCTTGTTGATCAACCATTTTGCAGTAAATTCAAATGTAAATTCAGAAATCGTTGCAAAGTTTTTTAATAATGCCAAAAATGTGATAGACATAGGTTTGCAATGATAAAAATTGACATTCATAATTTCCGCAGTGATTTTCCTTCACAAAATTTTTCCAATCGCATTTATCATGTTTATTAGATTTCACATTATTACCAGTTATCAGTGATTCACAATGATTAATGTGCAAATTAATTTCTGAATTTACAGTTGATTTAGTGTTAACTCTGTATTAAATCAAAACGCCTGCTCATCCATAATAATAATTTGTGATGGAGATTGTTAAATGATAATGTCTTTAACATAACACAATAATTTAATTGTGGATGTAACGCGTCTTCTGATTGGCTGACGTTGTTTTGTTTATCAGCTCATAGACATAATTTCGTCATGTGACCGTGACGTCACCAACGTTTTTTCATGGTTTACTACGGTTTAAAATGGAATTTAGAATTAAATTATAAGAAATGACTGTAATATTTTGTCTGTCTATTCAAAATAACATAAAAACTGTGGTGCACACTGTAAAATAACCCGCTACGCGGGTTATTCAGTGTGCACCACATTTTTGATGTTATTTCTTCATAGACAGAAAAAATATTACAGTCATTCCTTAAATATCTTGTTAATAATCTAAAATGATACCTGTAAGGAATAAAAAATGGAAAATTATTATGCAAACAGAAGGATAAGAAAGGATCATTTTACTGACAATGGAATTAAACAAAAGTAATCGCAGTCAGAATTAAGTGTCACTATTCTAGTGAGTCATATATTGATTTTTATGTTCCACCTTTAATACATGTAGTAGAAGGCATTACGTTTTCAAGTCTGTTCGACAGTCGGTTCAGCCTTTTATCAGTTTTTATTTGTCCTGTATCAAGTTTAGGCTTTTTGGTTAAGAAAGTTTAACATGAAGTTGTGGTCACATCAATTTGAAACTAAGTACACAGTCATGTTCATTTTGATGTAAACTTTTAAAATAATATGCCAAATAACGGTTTTGATTCTGATTTTAAGATTCATTGAACATGGAAGTGTGATAGTGTGAAATCATTACAATCTCTAAAGAAAGTTTTTGGTTTAGAAAATTTACCATGAAATTGAGGTCACTTTAACTTGAAACTTATTGCAAATATTCATTATGATGTGAACTACATAAATTATGGTCTGCATTACTAGGAAGATGGTCATTTTAGTCAACATTTGTAATTAATGATATGAATATACAATATATGGTCAATGTCAGAAAAATATAAACTTTTTTGTATAAGGCTGAGAAACTGGTGAAGGCCTCGGTACAACCTCCCCCTTTCCCTGTTTTGTGCCAAATACAAAAAAGTTTATATTTTTCTGACATTGACCTTATATTGTTTTAATACTGCAACTTAAATTAATGCATTGATAGCTATTTAAATTGTAACACAAATTTCAAACTTATTTTCATCCCTAAATGAACCCCTGATTGTGGAAAAAGTTATCTATGATGAAATTGACATTGGACGAAATATAGCTTTGTTACTATATTTAGGAAATAAACACAACTAGTTGCAGTATAAAATCATATATATTTTTGTTAATTATAAATCGCTGCGTCATTAATATAACTGAAATTCATTTAAAAAACTAATTTATTGTTCTTGACAAAGCCACATACATATATGAAAGTTCTTCTGCAGTTCTTCAAGACAAAACGACACAACATTTCATTTATTTTCTGTTCTTGAAAAAGCCACTGAAGTTTTACTTTTTGAACAGTTCTTAACCAAGCTACTCTCATTTTTGTCTCGCCTTGACAAAGTCTAAAAGCGAGACATAGGTATGCTGTTTCCGGCGGCGGTAACGACGGCAGTGTCAACAATGTATTAGTTTGTGATTAGGTCTAGTTCATGGTGAACCACTAGCGGTAGGTCAATGATATTTGGTATGCAGTTGTATTAGCATTGGCACATCTCATTACCATGGAGATTATTTGGCCCCGCCCCCTCAGTCAAGGTCTGTTGACTTTGAAACTTTGCTAAGTTTACATGTATTAGTTTGTGATTAGGTCAGTTTATGGGAAACCACTAGTGGTAGGTCAATGAAATTTGGTATGCAGTTGTATTAGCATTGGCACATCTCATTACCATGGAGCTTATTTGGCCCTGCCCCCTCAGTCAAGGTCTATTGACTTTGAAACTTTGCTTAGTTTACATGTATTAGTTTGTGATTAGGTCAGTTTATTGGGAACCACTAGTGATAGGTCAATGATATTTGGTATGCAGTTGTATAAGCATTGGCATATCTCATTTCCATGGAGATTTTTGGGCCCCGCCCCCTCATTCATGGTCTATTGACTTTGAAACTTTTGCTTAGTTTTCATGTATTAGTTTGTGATTAGGTCAGTTTATGGGGAACCACTAGTGATAGGTCAATGATATTTGGTATGCAGTTGTATAAGCATTGGCATATCTCATTTCCATGGAGATTATTTGGCCCCGCCCCCTCATTCATGGTCTATTGACTGAAACTTTTGCTTAGTTTTCATGTATTAGTTTGTGATTAGGTCAGTTTAAGATGAACCACTAATGTAAAGTCAATGATATTTGGTATGCAAATGTATTGGCATTTGCAAGTTTTATTTCCATGGAGATTATATAACCCCAACCCCTAATTATGGTTCATTGATTTTGAAACTTTTACATAGTTTACAAGTTAATGTTTGTGTTTAGGTTTGTTTAAAGGGAACGACTTATGAAAAGTCAATGGTCATTTGGTTTGCAGTTGTATTAGCATTGGCAAATCTCATTTCCATGGCGATTGTTTAGCCCTGTACCTTCAGTCATGGTTCATTGACTTTAAATATTTGCATAACTTACATGTTAAAGTATTGCTATTTTAATTTCAACATTTGCATTATCAAAATAACAAATAGGCAAGACATATCTCTGTGTTAACAGTTTTATAGTTTTTCTTTTGTATATATTGACAAATCTACTCACAGTTTGGTTTCTGAAGCTACTCATACTTAAGTTTTTGTTCTGTTCTGAACAAAGCTACTCATACTTAAAAGTGTGTGTTCTGTTCTTGTCAATGCTACTCATACTTGAGTTTTTGTTCTGGTCTTGACAAAGCTACTCATACTTAAGATTTTGTTCTTTTCTTGACACCCATCTCCATTTAGTTCTCCTTGGACATAATAATTGTATCACTAAAAAACATTACTCTAACTTTCATGGAAAATATGGTAGAATATTAGTTTCTATAATGGCCATGGCTTGTTAGAACTCATGGTTCACAAATGAACAAAACTTTGTGTACCAGTACTTACTACATGCTCAAATAGTTCAGCTTTCAACAGAATTATAGATAATCGTTGTAAATGTTTTATAAACAGAAACAGTTGTTAGATATGTTGATATTGTATATATTTATTACATGTAATGAACAGATCAATACAGTGTTGGTTTTTCAAGAAGGAAAAATGAAGGAATTTTATTAAGACAGTATCTTTTTATTGTGTTTTTCAGGAATATCTTACGCTGAATTACGTTACGATGTCCCAGCATCCTCATCATCATCATCACATCCAAACACAGCAAATAATTGTTTATATCTGTCTCAGCCTGAAACAGACAGCACAATGATGGACGAATCACAGCCAGATGAATATTCAGTGCCAAAGGGAGGTAAGCTGTTTCAAAGTATCAAGTGGCATAAAACCGAAACATGAAAACAAATTCATTTAACTTTGAGCACTAGTTTTTGAGTTTTATACATGATTTGTTGAACTTTTAAATAGAACTTTCCTAAATAATCTTATATTTTGCAGTATAAATTAAGTAAATGAACTCTTTTTTTTTCGCTATGTGAAGACACTTTTTATTAATGTTTGATTTATTTACTCCATTACAGTTAAAAAAAAGCATTAAAAATTCTAACACATCTGCTTCTACAGTTGCTTACCATGTTTTGATATGCTTTTGTTTGTTCCAACTGGACAGCCCTTTAGATGGTCAGGATTGTATGCAATATTTGCCAGCATTTCACCGTCAATATAAACATGATTTGCCTCATCTTTTGCTTTATATATGGCCATTTAAGATAATAAACATTCAATGCAGTTGTTAGCTTTTCCCCCCCAAAAAGCTGCTAAAATGCAGTGATAAGTTGTAAACAAATGAGAGTGAACTGTAGTTAACTTTAAATATTCCCTGTGAAAAAGCTTCTTGTCCAAATAGTTAAAAAAAACTGTTGTTAGTAATATCCCGTTATTAAATACGGAAAAATGGGAAAGGGTTTGCAATCCTTGAAAGATATCTCCTTATTCAAAGGCATTTTTGTCTGGCCTGCAATGAAAGTCACAGAATGCAAGATATAGGGATTACAAATCAGTGGTGGTGTAAACTATGTGTATTAAGCTTTATATTTCAGAGGGCTGAAGACCTGGATATGCTTATAACTATGTATAAAGATTTCTTATGTTAAAAAGTTTCGGTCTGTCATTCATCCTTTGTCCTTGACCTCATTTTCATGGTTCAGTGACTGCCTGAAAATAAAATTCAGTTTTTTTGTCCTCCGCGCTGTGGAGGACATAGAAATACTGGGCGTCCGTCTGTCCGGTCTTGTTAGCACTCTCACATGTACAATTCTTGCCAGATTTTTATGAAACTTATATCAAAGGTTTATATCAGCAATGTCTTGGATAAGTTAGAAAATCAGTTCCGATCAATTATTTTTAAAAGAGTTATGTCCCTTGGAAACATTAATTTTATGGAAAATTGCATTGTTAGCGCTCTCATGTATATTGATTGATTGATTGTTGGTGTTTTAACGCCACTTTTAAGCGCCACTTTTGGGCTATTTCGTGGCGGCCAGTTTTTATTGGTGGAGGAAGCCGGAGTGCCCGGAGAAAACCACCGACCTTCGATAGGAAAACTGACAATCCTAGTCAATTAAGATTGGAGTCGAGTGCACCCGCACGAGCGGGGTTCGAACTCACAACCTCAGTGTTGACTGGCTAGTGATTACAGTAGTAGAACTACTTAGACCACTTGGCCACCGAGGACCCCCTCTCATGTATACAATTCTTGCCAGAATTTTTTGAAACTTACATCATAGGTCTATATTAGCAATGTCTTGGACAAGTTTGAAAATCAGTGCCGATCAATTATTTTTGAAAGAATTATGCACCTTGGAAATAATAATTATATTGGAAATCACATTGCAATTGCTGTGAAACCTACATTTCTCTTAAGATATTAATAAAAAGTTATAAAGAACAAAAAAAGTGCTTTTTATACGACCGCAAAAATTGAAAATTTTTTGGTCGTATATTGGTATGACGTTGGCGTCGTCGTCGTCGTCGTCCAGCGTCGTCCGAAGACACATTGGTTTTCGCACTCTAACTTTAGTTTAAGTGAATGGATCTCCATGAAATTTCACCATAAGGTTCAATACCACGAAAGGAAGGTTGGGATTGATTTTGGGGGTTATGGTACCAACAGTTAAGGAATAGGGGCCAAAAAGGGGCCAAAAATAAGCATTTTTGTAACTTTCAGACAATAACTTGTGTGTTAGTGTATGGATCTCTCTGACATTGTACCACAAGGTTCCATATCACAAAGGGAAGGCTGTAATTGATTTTGGGGGTAATTGCCTCAAAATTTTAGGAATTAGGGGCCAAAAAAGGGGCAAAAAACAAGCATTTTTCTAGTTTCATGACAATAACTTGTGTGTAAGTGTTTGGATATTTCTGAAATTGTACTACAAGGTTCCATATCACAAAGGGAAGGCTGGAATTGAGTTTGGGGGTAATTGCCCGAAACGTTTAGGAATTGGGGGCCAAAAAGGGGCCAAAAATAAGCATTTTTCTAGTTTCCAGACAATAACTTGTGTTCAAGTGTATGGATCTCTCTGAAATTGTACTGCGAGGTACCATACCACAAAGGGAAGGCTGGGATTGAGTTTGGGGGTGATGAATCATAAGGGGGTTCAAAAAATTTGGGGGGGGGGATTTTTTTTTTTTTTTTTTTCTTTTTTTCCTTTTTTTTTCTTTTAAAATTTTCCATTTTAAGTTGGTTATTTCTGATTTATATTGAAAAGCAAATAATAATGATATGGTAGGAGATACACACCAAACAGGATGTGTAAATTATTATATAATAAGTATTGTGCAATAGCAAGAAATTTTCAATTGCACAGTATTGCACAATAGCAAGAAATCTTCAATTGCACAGTATTGCGCAATAGCAAGAAATCTTCAATTGCACAGTATTGCGCAATAGCAAGAAATATCCAATAGCACAATATTGCGCAATAGCAAGAAATTGTCAATTGTACAGTATTGCGCAATAGCAAGAAATATTCAATTCCACAGTATTGTGCAAAAGAAGATACTTTGTATAAATTGCTTATTTCTTGATCAATTTCAATGGGGTTTTATTCTTGAATTCTTGGGATTCTTTAATATGCTGAATCTAACCGTGTATTAAGTTTTTGGATTTTGGGCCCCGTTTTTAAATTGGTCCACATTGAGGTCCAAAGGGTCCAAAATTTAACTTTGTTTGATTTCATCAAAAATTGAATTATTGGGGTTCTTTGATATGCCGAATCTAACCGTGTATTTAGATTTTTAATTTTGGGTCCCGTTTTTTAAATTGGTCTACATTAAGGTCCAAAGGGTCCAAAATTAAACTTAGTTTGATTTTAACAAAAATTGAATTCTTGGGGTTCTTTGATATGCTGAATCTAAACATGTGTTTAGATTTTTGATTATGGGCCCAGTTTTCAAGTTGGTCCAAGTTGGGTCCAAAATTAAATTTGTTTGATTTCAACAAAAATTGAATACATGGGGTTCTTTGATATGCTGAATCTAAACATGTATTTAGATTTTAGATTTTTGGCCCAGTTTTCAAGTTGGTCCAAATTGGGGTCCAAAATTAAACTTTGTTTGATTTCAACAAAAATTGAATATATGGGGTTCTTTGATATGCTGAATCTTACCATGTATTTAGATTTTTTATTTGTGGGCCTGCTATCAAATTGGTTCATATTGAGGTCAAAAGGGTCCAAAATTAAACTTTGTTTGATTTCATCAAAAATTGAATTATTGGGGTTCTTTGATATGCCAAATCTAACCGTGTATTTAGATTTTTAATTTTGGGTCCTGTTTTTTTAAATTGGTCTACATTAAGGTCCAAAGGGTCCAAAATTAAACTTAGTTTGATTTTAACAAAAATTGAATTCTTGGGGTTCTTTGATATGCTGAATCTAAACATGTGTTTAGATTTTTGATTATGGGACCAGTTTTCAAGTTGGTCCAAGTTGGGGTCCAAAATTAAACTTTGTTTGATTTCAACAAAAATTGAATATATGGGGTTCTTTGATATGCTGAATCAAAACATGTATTTAGATTTTAGATTTTTGGCCCAGTTTTCAAGTTGGTCCAAATTGGGGTCCAAAATTAAACTTTGTTTGATTTCAACAAAAATTGAATATATGGGGTTCTTTGATATGCTGAATCTTACCATGTATTTAGATTTTTTATTTGTGGGCCCGCTATCAAATTGGTTCATATTGAGGTCAAAAGGGTCCAAAATTAAACTTTGTTTGATTTCATCAAAAATTTAATTATTGGGGTTCTTTGATATGCCAAATCTAACCGTGTTTTTAGATTTTTAATTTTGGGTCCCGTTTTTTAAATTTGTCTACATTAAGGTCCAAAGGGTCCAAAATTAAACTTAGTTTGATTTTAACAAAAATTGAATTCTTCGGGTACTTTGATATGCTGAATCTATATAAACATGTGTTTAGATTTTTGATTATGGGACCAGTTTTCAAGTTTGTCCAAGTTGGGGTCCAAAATTAAACTTTGAATATATGGGGTTCTTTGATATGCTGAATCTAACCATGTATTTTGATTTTGGACATTGGACCATAATAGGTAAATTAAAAAAATTGAAGTTCTTAGACCACATTCTTTCTGTGTCAGAAACCTATGCTGTGTCAAATATTTAATCACAATCCAAATTCAGAGCTGTATCAAGCTTGAATGTTGTGTCCATACTTGCCCCAACTGTTCAGGGTTCGACCTCTGCGGTCGTATCAAGCTGCGCCCAGCGAAGCATTTTATTTTTAGTTGTTGCCCTTGTACCTTGTATAGATAAAATATGTGCAACATTGGGGACATTGAAGCTCTGTTCTTTTATTTAATGTGAATTTCTCCTTTATTATAAGTAATAGGATAACATGATTAGGACGTTTTCCAGATAATGTACTCTGGTAAGCAATAGGTCAACTATATTTGGTGAATGGAATGATTGTAAGGTGTACATGTCTGTCTGGCAGTAATCATTTGTCCTTGACCTCATTTTCATGGTTCATTGGTCAATGTCAAGTTTTCCTGGTTAAGTCTGTTTCTCAGATACTATAAGCAATAAGATCAACTATATGTGATGTTTGGAATGATTGTAAGGTATACAAGTCTGTTTGGCAGGGCTCATCTGACCATGACCTCATTTTCATGGTTCTTTGGTCAATGTTAAGTTTTCCTGTTAATGATTGTAAGGTGAACATGTCTGTCTGGCTTGGTTTATCTGATCATGACCTCATTTTTATGGATCATTGATAAAGTTCAATTTATGTGATACATGTAGTAAAACTTTCTTTAGGACTATCAACATAAAATAAATCATGAATAGTAAAGCAGGCAAAACATTTTAGCATGTGCACTCTTGTTTATGACTGAAAAATGATATGAAATCCAAATTTTTTAAATCATAAAAATTGGTACCTATAAATTTATATGAATATTGAGTAATTCTGTAACAAGCTGATGTTCATTTGTAGTTTTTTTGTTGTTATTTTAAAGGCACTTACCACCAGTGTTGTTCTGGTGTTATTTTGTTTAAATTACATCTGAAAAAACATAGTCGTAAGTTCTTTTGAAACAACGGAAAATAACAAATGTGTATGGACCTATAATACTGCACAAAATGCTTAAATTTAAATCAACATGTTTTATATCTTTCATGCTTATGCTTATGCCATTCACAGAATGAACTTTCTTCACTTCACAAGCAAAATATATTCACTATAACCTAAAGAAACTTATACATAATTGAGTTGTGGATTTGATTGCTTCTCTTGTTAAGGGCAGGTTTCAAATAAGGATGTCTCAAAGTAGGCTTTGATATCAGTTGGCAAGATGTTAAATTAGAAACTCTATCCCATAAGTATTGGCCAGACACAAATATGTTAGTGCCAAAAACAAACTAAGGAAATGCACGAATTATAAATATAAAAATAAGTCGAAATGTTATCATTGTCAATGAATTATAAAGTTTATTTGTGCGCACATCTTTTATGGTTAAAGTATGCCAGATACTTCAAAAATGAATTAACAATTTCTCACTACATTACTTTCAAGTGCATGGAATTTATTTACAATGTTTATAAATAGTCTGTTTTGACATCCACTGGGGCTAAAGAGATAACTAAAATTTCCATTGCCATTGAAGATTTTTGTTACATAGGGACAGTAGTAGTGTAAAAGAAGAGATAATTTAAAGTTTCATTCAGATTTGCAGACTTTTAACAGAAGGATGGCCTTAGGACTTAGGTGTTAGAAAAGTTCATAAGAGTTCATAGTTTGCTGCATATTTTAATGGCTTCTGATGATATTAAGCAGATCCTAGAATGAAGGTTTACTTCGAGTTTTTTTGCTCATTAGTATTTATTTATTTGTTTGTTTTGCTACTACCAGAATTACTCCCCTTGTATGATGCTATCATCTGATTGCACAGCTGAATACTTTTATATCTGACATATAGTTAACTTAAAAAACATACAACATGCTTACATGCAATGCTTTTTTCCTTATATCTGCTTTGCTTACGCATTCCTTCTTTGTTATTTACAGGGACTATTTTCTCCCTCACAGGTAAAACACCAGCACACAGGGTACCAACTGATTACGACCTTCCACCATTACCTGCCCCTAGGAAAAACCTACCAGGAGATCCATACAAGTAAGTCAAGTTTTTGTCTTGCCTTCCCTCTATGTCATGGTCCAGCAATTTTGAAATGATTATTTTCTGCTGACATGCGGGACATATTTCTGTGTCAATTGTTTATTCTTATATTTTACGTCTTTTTTTTATATTCATCTATACTTTTAGTGTAAACAATAGAACAAATTTGAAATTTATATTATAACAAAAAATTGGTAATAAAATTCGATGACAATACAGACTGATTTCTTTTCTTTCATTATTAGTCTTTTATTTGAACAGCCATTATACTGTACAAATAAACTTTACTGCTTATCTCAAGCATTTCTAAAGTCCTGGGTAGTCTTGTGGTAGGGTGATTGCCTTGAATGCTGGAGGTCGTGGGTTTGAACCCCAGCCAGGTCAAAGCAAAGACTTCAAAATTTGTATTTGCTGCTTCTCCGCTAGGCAGACAGCATTTAGGAGAAAGAGTTGGTTAACTCAACAGTCTAAATAATGTGTATCACTAAGTTCACATGTCTTCCAGCCGACTGTTACCTTGTGAATTAGCACGTTAAAAATCTGGTTTAGAGTGTCAGTCTAGTACGAAGCAGGGTATATATATTCATATCACATTATCATGTACTCTTCCTGAATATGCATTTAATTTGCCACTGGACATTAAACAGCCATCAATCTAACAAGAATTTCTTCAACAAACTACTGTTACAAGAGAAATATGTTATTGCATTTACCATATACAAGCACTATTCCTTAACAAAAAAAAATAACCAACCACCCTTGCATGAAACTTTGCATAGAGTGGTTCATTTTTAGTCCCCTACCGACGAAGTCGAAGGGGACTTTAGGTTTGCACTCCGTCTGTCTGTCTGTCAGTCTGGCAAATCAGTTTTCCACACTTTTGTTCTTCGTGCTTGAAGATATTGATTTAATATTTGGTGTATTGTTTTATCATGTCAAGTTACAGATCAAGTTCAAATTTTGTTCCTGTCTGATGATTTTTTGCAGAGTTATGGTCCTTGGACTTAGAAAATTCACTCAAATAGTTTTGCACACTTTTTTTCGTCATGCTTGAAGATATTGATTTGATAATTGGGATATAGTTTTATCATGACAAGTTACAGATCAAGTTTTAATTTTGTTCTGGTCTGATGATTTTGTGCAGAGTTATGGTCCTTGGACTTAGAAATTCCACTTAAATAATCAGTTTTCCACCCTTTTTTTCGTCATGCTTGAAGATATTGACTTGATATTTGTTTTTAACCGGTAGGGACTATGTATTGCCATGCAATACTCTCAGAATGCTTGTTTATTTGGAGATAAGTTGTGGTATGATTGACAATGAGACAACTCTCCTACAGAGACTAAATGACGTAGAAGGTTATCAACTATAGGTCACCGACAATAATGCCTTCAACAATGAGCAAAACCCATACCAAGCTATTAAAGGCCACAAAATGACAAATGTAAAACAATTTTAACATGAAAACTAAAGACCTGATTAATGTAAAAAAAACAATAAAAGAAAAAATATATGATAAAACAGCAACAAGCTACAACCACTGAATTACAGGCTCCTGACTTTGGACAGGCACTTACAGAATGTGGCAGGGTTTAACATGTTTGCAGGTTTGCATACCCTCCCCCTAACCTGGGACAGTGATGTAGTAGCACAACATAAAAACACACTATAAAAATCAGTTTTTTGACAACCAAGGATAGTCTTCTCATGAGCAATTATACCACAACTGTTTATGTTTGTTCACTCAAATAACTTCTGATTATGTATTTATCTTGTTTTTTTAGAAAGGGAGATAATTCAGATATACCTTTACCTGTACGAAATCGTGATAGCAGGGAAAGATTAAAAGAAAATTGTGATAGTAATAAAGAAAATAGTGTTGATGAACAATCAGTGGACCATTTAGTACAGAAAGGTTATGACCGGTTACGAGTGGTTGATGCACTTAGAGTAGCCAGAAATAATTTACGAATGGCAGAAGACATTTTGGAGACATTTGTTAGAAATTAACACCCCTTATATGATTTCTTCCGTTTATAATTATGATTTGTCACAGACACTTTTTGTTTTGTTTTTCCATATATTTGTTTTCAATCAAATAGTTTCCAAGACCCATATTTTTCATATTTTGAAAATATTTTGATAGGTTTATTACATGTAATACACATCTGTATAGATTAAAAAGAACACCAAATTTTTATAAAACAATTCATAGCTGGTTATAGATATTTATATAAGTATTCTTTCAGATGTTTACACTAGTTTTCTTTGACATGTTTACCCAAATATTTTGTCAAATTCAAAACTGTGGTGTGACAACAGTGCTTCTGTGCAGGAATCCCAATAGGATCATATTTCCAGGATAAGTCTGATGTGTCCAACTAGAATATCACTGAAAGGGACTTTGTTGGGTTCTTTTTCACATGATGAAGAAAAAATTTCTGTTATAATTTTTTCTTGGACTATTTTCCCAAACGCAGGCTCATTTTTTACGGCCATTAGAATGAAATGAAGAGTATTTACTGTAAAAAAAGCTCTAGTTGAAATATCCTGTCATCAAAAAAGTTGCTAGTAATGGTTACTTGGATGGCAAGATGGCTGAGGTTTACCTGAAAATGTACAAATATACTAGAACAGGACATCAATCTATCTTTTTGGAGTTGTTTCCCATATTCAGCTGGATTGCGACTTACTCATGATTTTACAGAATCATGTTGTTTACATAGCAACCAACCAGTGTATCCATGTTCAAAGTATTGAAATGAAGAATCTAATAGGTTTGAAATAAATAAAAAATAATTTTTATCCAAAGTTAATATTGAGAATATATATGAAAAAGAATGTGAAAAAGAACTATAGAAACTAGGAAATTTTCATATGTTTGATAAAAATTTACACATATTTCACATATTACATTTTTGTTTTCATTTTTACCATGAAAAGAAAACGAGCTTTATAAGGCAAAACATGCTTTTACTATGTTATTTGTATGTTATTGGAAAATGATGGATAAATCATGGACTAAAGTCCACTGACATTTCACCCTTCAAAGTAAAGAAAATGTATCTCTGTATCAAACTCAATCATTTTCATTATATTTTGTGTTAAAATTTCTTACTTTAAACTCCTGATGGTTGCCAGGAATGGCTTGGATGTCTAGTTTCAAATGAAAAGAAGATGTATGGCTTGCTAACATTTTTTGGAAACCATGTTACCACTGTATAATAATGAGTTACATCTAGCATCTTGAGAGTATGTTTACAAGTCAAGGGCACATCTATGGTCCCTAACTTTGTATTTTTTTTTTAAAGTGGGCATAATTTGCCACAAAGTTCAGTCTCAAAGGAAAGTAATGTTCCTGATATCAGTGCAATAAATCAACTTATCTTTCATCAACCACTCGTATATAGATATGTTATTTATTTGATAAGTTTCTTGTCTTGTTTGCTGTGTACATATAAAATTAACAAAATTATTCAGAATATTAAGAATTTTAGATCTTCATTGATGTGACCATAAACTATATATTCTCCTTGACTTGCTAGTGGGTGATTGTCAAGAAGTTGAAAATCAGTTTTCACATATGAATTTTTTTTTAGCTTATTATTTCACAACTCTAGGAATGGGGCTATATTGCAATCTCACTGTCTGTCAGTCCGTTTGTGCAACAAACAACTTTGTCATACATTTTTCCAGGGATGACTTAAAACATGTAAGCACTTTTTCGGACACCTACTTTCTGTTTCCCACTAATAATATCGAATCCACAGTATTCTGGTCCTATATCTTTCTTTAAAATCTTATTCAGGGCCAATAACTTTGGTACTGAGAGTTTAAAATCTTTATTTGTTTATTTATTTTTACATTTTTCCTTGTACATAAATGTGACAAATTCACTGAAAATACTTTTCTCCAGAGCATATTTCCAATACTCAAGGTTACTTTCACAACAGCAAATTGAAGTAGGTAATTTTAGATATTTTAAATACGAAAAGAAAGTGACAATATCTTATCAGCTACCTTGTAATCGTAAAATCTGCTGGAAGAAATCAGATTTATACATGTGCTCTTGTGTCCCTATTTGGGAAGGAATTTTTGTTGTAGTTATATGGTTATTAAAAACGCAAAATTCTATTGGTTTATGTCCTGTTGTGTGATATTCTGTTAAAATTACTATATTTAAAAAAATCGTATTGATTCAGCTTCATTATCAATATTGCACGTTTTCCCCTATTACATAATTATTAGTGTCTTTTGTAGGAGATAGATTGAGGTTTGAAAGACATTTGTCCATGAAACAATTTCTCATTTCGATACAACAAAAGTCCATAATTGTATATTACATGTTTTTGCAATTGATTGGATATAACAGTTATATTCTGATAACTTAATGTACAATGTATATCTACCAAATCTATTTTTGATGCAGGCAAATTTTAAAACAGAAAACTTGTCTCCAAATTAGCAAGTTGTACAGCTTTTTCTAAGGTGAGGTAGAAATGATTTTGATTTACTAAGCGCTTTGGGTCAGAGGAAGAAATTCAAATTGTCTCCCATTAACTAGGTGGTGAAAGGTAACATGTTTGGGTTTTTCATTCATAGACATCAAAACATTTTTTCCTTTGAATTTGTGTTAAGAATACTTACATTAATTTTCAAAATAATTTCCATAAAAACCAAATGACAGTTAGTTTTCTCATGTCAGAACCTTTTATAGCTGACTATACATATGGGTTTTTCTCATTGTTGAAGGCATCCACATCATTTTAACTCGGGTGGATAGTTGCCTCATTGGCAATCAAACCATTTCTCTTTATTTTTTACTGTTGACAGGTGTCATTTATAATGCATTGTTTATATTGAATCATCATTATATGTAATCTATACAAAATGCCATACAGTATTGATAAAATACTTTATGATAGTATTCTTATTTTAATGAAACATGATTTTGTTCGAAGAAATTATACGGTTACTGCTTCAATCAAATGGTCAGTCAGGAATGTACTATTCTTGCCATGTTATTCAAATATATCAATTTATTTATAAGCTACAAATTTTAAAGTCTGCCATTAAAAAATATATGTTATGTTCAGTATATTAAAAAGTAGTTGAGTATTAAGTAAAGGTTTTTGATATTCATGAGGGGCCTGATGGGGGGTCTCATCACGATTCACGAGTTGATTTTTTTGTCAATCACGATTCACAGAAAATAAATTTCCATGATCACGGATCAAGAAAATATAAAAAGAGTAATAAATCTGTAGAAAAACGGATCACGATAGCGAAAATGCGCCGATCACGAAGAACGAAAATAACCCATCAGGCCCCTCATTCATCACCTTCATCAGCCACAAACATAAATTTTCAATCTTTCCTACTACTCTGTCTAAAAAATAACATGTTCTCATGAAAGATGAATGGTTGGAGCCTTATGACCAATGGAAACTTTCCGGATTTGAATTGCCAGATTTTAGTATTTTCCTATGTTTTTTTTTATGCTCAACAATCGTATGGTTAAAAGTGTGACTGACTGTTGATTGTGCCATTTGATATTCATTCATTTTTTCTATAAAAAAGCCAGACTTTAAATTTTCACAAGAACATTAATGTCAATTTTATGTATTTATTTTCTTTAATCATATTGAATTTAAATAGAATGAATAATCTTTATTTGAAGAAGATAACCTTATTAGTTGAAGTTATCTTCCTGAGAGTCCTCAAATAATGATAATAAATTAAAAGTTACAAATTAGATTTAGAACTTTTTACAACTGAAAGGGATTATCCTCTTTAATGAAATGGTATGGGCATTGAATCTCAAATATGAACATCAGACTTGTTAATTTTGATAGATAAATACAAAATACAGAGGTGCTGGACCATAGATGATAAATCCTGGATAGCTACCTGTTTCAGAATATATTCAGATACATTAAGACAGTCAACTTAATTAGAATTATTCGATTGATAGATTGTTGTTTGTTTAACCTCCATTTTAAAGATAATTATTAGGATATTTTGATAATGTATGGTATCTTGATAATGTATGGTATCTTGATAATGTATGGTATCTTGATAATATATGGTATCTTTATAATTATGTTATGATTTTCCATTTATATTTTTCTGATGAAATCCAAATTTGGACATATTTGTTATAAAATATACCAAATAAACATTAAAGGCGGACACTCTCCAAATTTGGACATATTTGTTATTAAATATGCCAGATAAACATTTAAGGTTGACATAAGTAGGCAGAAATTTTTCCAGATATTTCAATACATTTTCTGGACCTACTAATTTTCTGGTTTTTTATAAGCATGACCGCTAGTAATATTTTTATTTTTACCTTGTTATTGAAGATAAAGGATGAAGAAAAATGCTAATGTATCTAATAGAAAAACAAAAGATATGGGTTATCCATCCATGACACAAAATCAGTAAATGCACAACAACAAAAAAACCCACAAAAAGTAAAGGAACAGCGCTTTTATTGCTGTTCATCTCAAATTCACAGTGAGACCTCAACACGAAGCAAAAAAACTCTCATCTCACTGCAAGTTTAAGACAGCCCCTAGCACCGCCTTAAGCGGAATTCTAGACCATGATTGGACACATGAGTATGACATGATTACATTGTAAAAAATACCTAGATAGTCTGTGCAAAGCAAACATGACTTCAACAAAAATTTGGAAACGCTGTTTATCTGATTAATTTCTTTGAAGGACTCAACTAGTTTTAACAGTTTTTCCTAGTCCCAAATATTTGATTTAGAAAAAAAAAAAATTCTAGTTTGATTTTTATGTCTCAAAATTAAAAATATTGGACTACCGGTAATCTTGACTGGTCTGGATACTATAAAACACACAACACAAAATTGTTTTTCAAAAAGTTGTCTTATTTCAACTATTTGTCTTCAATTTGCAGGTTATAAATTAACCCGTTCTCAATTCTTGATAGATAGCAACCATGCTCACAAGGTGTTACAGATAGAAAGGTGGAAATTTTTTCCAAGAAAATAAGGCTATGAATGTTTATTTTATTATTTTTTTTTGTCAAAATAGTGCTCTGCCATTAATTTATGAGCAGGTCCGCTTGTATATTATCATAAACTTCTTTATTGCATTTTAAATGCTACTTGTATACTGTAAATATGTAAATTGTAAAATATAATTTATAACAAATTACTAGCGCTAATTTTTCTTGTTTTATTATATAAAAGTTGTACTTTGAATCTGTCAGAGTTTGTTTTTTTTAAAACGTTTAATATGCTGCATAAATGATAATGTGGACATTTCCTGAGATCTGTGATTGTGTATAAAATTTTTATCAGTGTGTATGTATGTAACAGTGTAAGTTATAGATTTTGAGAATTTTCAAGGTCTTTGCTACTATATATTTTGCAACCTATCTGTCTTTTTGTAGGCAATGCATTAAAAAATTTTGCTCAGCCAGTGTCATTTTACACAATATATTTTAAAAACCAACAACTTCAAATACATTTTTGTCAAAACAGTTTCAATTATTAATTGTTATTTTTATTACATATTTCATAAAGTTCATACATTTCTTTGATAAATTTAGAAAGTGGTAATTCTTTACTTAATGAAAATACCTATTTTTCAGATACTTTTGTCACGTTTTTATACGACCGCAAAAATTAAAAATTTTTTGGTCGTATATTGGTATGACGTTGGCGTCGTCGTCGTCGTCCGGCGTCGTCCGAAGACACATTGGTTTTCGCACTCTAACTTTAGTTTAAGTTAATGGATCTCCATGAAATTTTACCATAAGGTTCAATACCACGAAAGGAAGGTTGGGATTGATTTTGGGGGTTATGGTACCAACAGTTAAGGAATTAGGGGCCAAAAAGGGGCCAAAAATAAGCATTTTTGTAACTTCCAGACAATAACTTGTGTGTAAGTGTATGGATCTCTCTGACATTGTACCACAAGGTTCCATATCACATAGGGAAGGCTGTAATTGATTTTGGGGGTAATTGCCTCAAAATTTTAGGAATTAGGGGCCAAAAAAGGGGCAAAAAACAAGCATTTTTCTAGTTTCATGACAATTTCTTGTGTGTAAGTGTTTGGATAAATCTTAAATTGTACTACAAGGTTCCATATCACAAAGGGAAAGCTGGAATTGAGTTTGGGGGTAATTGCCCGAAACGTTTAGGAATTGGGGGCCAAAAAGGGGCCAAAAATAAGCATTTTTCTAATTTCCAGACAATAACTTGTGTTCAATTGTATGGATCTCTCTGAAATTGTACTGCAAGATACCATACCACAAAGGGAAGGCTGGGATTGAGTTTGGGGGTGATGAATCATAAGGGGGTTCAAAAAAATTGGGGGGGGGGGGGGGGGGGGTTTCTTTTTTTTTCTTTTTTTCCTTTTTTTTTTCTTTTAAAATTTTCCATTTTAAGTTGGTTATTTCTGATTTATATTTAAAAGCAAATAATAATGATATGGTAGGAAATACACACCAAACAGGATGTGTAAATTATTATACAATAAGTATTGTGCAATAGCAAGAAATTTTCAATTGCACAGTATTGCACAATAGCAAGAAATCTTCAATTGCACAGTATTGCGCAATAGCAAGAAATCTTCAATTGCACAGTATTGCGCAATAGCAAGAAATATCCAATAGCACAATATTGCGCAATAGCAAGAAATTGTCAATTGTACAGTATTGCGCAATAGCAAGAAATATTCAATTGCACAGTATTGTGCAAAAGAAGATACTTTGTATAAATTGCTTATTTCTTGATCAATTTCAATGGGGTTTTATTCTTGAATTCTTGGGGTTCTTTAATATGCTGAATCTAACCATGTATTAAGTTTTTGGATTTTGGGCCCTGTTTTTAAATTGGTCCACATTGAGGTCCAAAGGGTCCAAAATTTAACTTTGTTTGATTTCATCAAAAATTGAATTATTGGGGTTCTGTGATATGCCGAATCTAACCGTGTATTTAGATTCTTAATTTTTGGTTCCGTTTTCAAATTGGTCTACATAAAGGTCCAAAGGGTCCAAAATTAAACTTAGTTTGATTTTAACAAAAATTGAATATATGGGGTTCTTTGATATGCTGAATCTAACCATGTATTTAGATTTTTGATTATGGGCCCAGTTTTCAAGTTGGTCCAAATCGGGGTCCAAAATTAAACTTTATTTGATTTCAACAAAAATTGAATATATGGGGTTCTTTGATATGCTGAATCTAACCATGTATTTAGATTTTTGATTATGGGCCCAGTTTTCAAGTTGGTCCAAATCGGGGTCCAAAATTTAACTTTGTTTGATTTCAACAAAAATTGAATATATGGGGTTCTTTCATATGCTGAATATAACCGTGTATTAAGTTTTTGGATTTTGGGCCCCGTTTTTAAATTGGTCCACATTGAGGTCCAAAGGGTCCAAAATTTAACTTTGTTTGATTTCATCAAAAATTGAATTATTGGGGTTCTTTGATATGCCGAATCTAACCGTGTATTTAGATTCTTAATTTTTGGTTCCGTTTTCAAATTGGTCTACATAAAGGTCCAAAGGGTCCAAAATTAAACTTAGTTTGATTTTAACAAAAATTGAATTTTTAGGGTTCTTTGATATGCTGAATCTAAACATGTATTTAGATTTTTGATTATGGGCCCCGTTTTCAAGTTGGTCCAAATCGGGGTCCAAAATTAAACTTTGTTTGATTTCAACAAAAATTGAATATATGGGGTTCTTTGATATGCTGAATCTAACCATGTATTTAGATTTTTGATTTTTGGGCCCTGTTATCAACTTTGTCCACATTGAGATCTAAAGGGTCCAAAATTAAACTTTGTTTGATTTCATCAAAAATTGAATTCTTGGGGTTCTTTGATATGCTGAATCTAACCATGTATTTAGATTTTGGATATTGGACCATAATAGGTGAATGTCCAATTTAAAATTTTTAAGTTCTTAGACCACATTCATTCTGTGTCAGAAACCTATGCTGTGTCAAATATTTAATCACAATCCAAATTCAGAGCTGTATCAAGCTTGAATGTTGTGTCCATACTTGCCCCAACTGTTCAGGGTTCGACCTCTGCGGTCGTATCAAGCTGCGCCCTGCGGAGCATTTTATTTTTTTTATATCAATCTTGACATTGCAATGCCCGTCTGCTGTTGACATCTATGAAACTGGTGGTTAGTAAGGTGCAGATAATCGATTATCACCATAGCGATAACCCTTTCTCTAATAGTCATTTTGGAAATAATAGTATTTTATCGCTATTTTACGAATTTTTCCTTTGATCTTGCTGACTGATAATTTCCTTTCTCAGCGGAGTCGAGTGATATGAAAACGGAGTCGAGTAATATGAAAATTATCACTAGAAACTAAGGGAACACGTGCCGTTGTTAAGGAAATTAACATCGTCTTCAAAGGTAAAATAGCGATAAACAGATTATCATAGGTCATCTCAACTCGATTGCTTTTCTCACTTTTGCCGTACCGGCTCAAGCGAGAAAATCAATCTTGTTGAGATTACCAACGATAATCTATAATCTCTGTGACTGCAAGGTTTGTAGTAGAATGTAGAATTTGGTTTAGCAAGTAATGTTAGTAGTATATTGATTTGAATACGTTATATGTTGAACATACGACATGACTCTGAATGACACATCAATGATAGTAAATATTGTTAAGAGTTTACTGTATTTGGTGCTTTTTATGTTTAATATTGTAGATATCATTGTTAGTCCTTTAATTGTATCAGATTTAATACATTGTTAAGTCTTCAGAGGGCAGATTAAAGGGACATGACTCACTAAAATAGTCATAAATTTAAGAAATGTTATTTCAGACACAAGTGCAAATTGACTAGCATTAAACATTAGCATATTGTTTCTGTCAAAAGTTTGAATGGTATCTTGATGTTTAAGATTGACCAAAAAATGTGTTTTGATATTTCTATTTCATCTAGATAGTTAATTTTGACATCAATAGCAAGAAAATTTGGTATACCAAACCTACATGCACAAATGTATTAAACATAAAGCAACAGATCGGGAGCTATATTTATTTGTGAAGGAATTCAAAAAATTAATGTTATTTGGAATAATCTGGTCTGTGAATGTATATCTCTCGTAATAAGGAGCACATTTGTATAAATTGGCCTGAATTAGACATTTACCAGTTAAAGATTAATTTAAAAATTGCCTTTTCCAGTTCCTTAGCCTGGTCATTAGAGAACTGAACACAGGTGTACACACTTTAGAGGGCTCAAAGCAGGCTACTGTAAATTCAGAAATTATTGCGTGCATTTATTATTGCGATTTTGTCATTTGAGACTAAAATGCAATTTTAATTTTTGCGATATTGAGAAAAATCCTGTTTAATTCATATAAAAAATTTCAAAATACAAGTTTAAATTATTGTGATTATAACCCTGTCTCATTTTTCGCAATAATAAAAACATTGCAATAAATACTGAATTTACAGTATATGGTATGGGTTTTGCTTTACAGTGACCTGTAGTTGCTTATAGCCACATCGTTTGTACTTTGGTGGATAATGGTCTCATTGGCAATCATTCAACATCTCTTTATTTTTTTATAAAAAAGACTATTACAGCATTCAACTGAAATGTTTATTATTCTCAGATAATTTCAATATGTTTTCATCCCTCGTTTTTGTTTCAAGTGGTCCTTTCATGAATCATATGATATAACTTATTGTTAATTCCCAGCCCCACATAACTTTCAAGACATGTAGCCATTAATCAACAAATATCTATTTTATTTAAAGGATGCCAAGGGCCTTTGACATTTTGCTGCAAGATATAATAAAATTAACTCAAACCTACAACAGCAGCCAAATAGAACAGCAATAAAAGTCCTATCCATTCTAATGCATATTTTAAATTCAGTATTCCACATCTTTTCTCTCAAATAACATTGTTTTCAAATATTGCTTTTTTTATCATGATTATTTATCTTATTCATTTTATGATTGAAATATCATATTATATATATTATCATTTATTTCTGAAGTTAGGACTTTATGTCTTAAAGTCTGCATATTTTTGTCCATAATTTCAGCCATTCTTTAACCTTTATGCTACATGTGATACATTTTGTTAATATATTAAATCATGAAAAGTATGACCTTAGTTCAAGGTCATACTATTATATCTTAAAAATAAAATATATTAATACTACACATGTTTATTTTTAGTTTGACTCAACAATGTTGAAGGAGAGCTATCGAAGTACCGTCTGAATATCTGTGTACAAGTAATGAACCTACAGCCATGTATACATTGTTTGGTCAGATTTAAGGAATCCATAATCTTACGAAACAAGGGGTGTAGAACAGACTCATACCAAAAGAAGGTCTCATTGACATACATATTCTTTTTGCTTCATTTATTATACCCCACATTCTAAACCTGGTTATATTGTGATGGGAGAGTCTGTCTGTCTGTCATCCATTCATTGGTCCTTCTGTCCCACTATTGTATCCCTAAGTGCTCCTGATCTGCTGGACATAATTATGTGGCACTTTCACAGAATCTTACTCACGATTTACTTTTGCACATCCTATTTTATTTCTTCATCTGTTTGATTTTTGGGGTTTACTTTGGAATGACAAGGACTTAAGTCATATCATACACATTTGGGTGTACCCATTTTGTATCCACAACACCTCCACACCCTTATTACTATTTATTGAACCTTTTTACAATCTTAAATATGTAATGCTACTGTGCACCTCTTTAGAATCTATGGCATTGACACAGCTTGCCATTAAAAATTGAGACACTCAATGTATTTTCATCACTGGGAGTTAATTTTTTTGTTCAGCTAAATTTAATAATCAAAGAATGATTGGCTTTTCAAGGAGAAATTTAAAGTTCACATTGAATATACTCTCACATACATTATTACAATAGCTATTGTATTTATACAATTGGACAGGTGAACTTGCAAAATTTAAATACCTTGACAGAGAAACGGATTCTGTGGAAAGGTTGCATTTCTTTAGCAATGACAGAAATACCCTCCTCAGTTTTGTTGACTCTATTTTTGCAGTAAAAACTTACACAAATTTTACACTTGATGCCATATATCAGAAGCTTGTAGTGGTTGAGAAAAATGTCATTGAAAATGGCATATTCATGGATGACATTTAAAGATATGTTTTGGGAAAACAGGAAGTAAAACATTGAAGGAAGTGAAAACAGTGTCTTGCCTGTCGGCATAAAATTCAGAAAAAGACAATCAGATGGACAGCAACATTGCTAATTAATTTAAAGTTGCTGGACCATGAACTAGTGGGCAGGGCCTCGAAATGAGATGTACAGACAGTAATGCAACTTAAAAGAAAATATAATTGTCTACTGTAAGTAATTCCTATCAAACTAACTAAAGCAGAAAACTTAACATTGAAAATTTGCAATTAATTGGAAGTCACTGTGACCTAGAGGTAGGGCCTAAAAACAGTCGTCAAACTGATATGTACTGATAGTAATGCAACTTCATACAAAATATCCTTGATCTATCACAAGTAGTTCTTATCAAACTAACTTAAGCAGAAAACTTAACATTGAAAATTGCTAATTAATTCATAGCCACTGGACCATGACCTGGGGGGTAGGGCCTCAAAATAGTCGTCAAACTGAATTTACTGATAGTAAAGTCGCTTCATACAAAATTTCATTGATCTTTCACAAGTAGTTCCTATCAAACTAACATCAGCAGAAAATTGACATTGAAAATTGCAAACTAATTCAAGGTCATTGGACCATGACCTAGAGGACAAGGCCTCAAAATAGTAATCAAAATGATATGTACTGATAGTAATGCAACTTCAAATAAAATATCATTGATCTGTCACAAGTAGTTCCTACCAAACTAACTTAAGCAGAAAACTTAACAATTGTTGACGCCTACTACAATGTCATCATCGTCACCGGATAAGCAATCCCTATGTGTCGCTTTCCGCAACTTTTGTCGCCAGCAAGATAACTAGAGGCTCAAAGGCGTCTACATTGCTCAATTGGCATTTTTTTTCAAAAAGTTAATACAATGCAAAAAGAATACATCAAAGTTTCTGGCAAAAATGAAAAAAAATAAGAAAATCATTTTCAAAAGCATTCTCCTCTAATGAGTCAATTGATGATTTAGGTCATGCTGATTTATTTGTAGATCTATTTTTTTAATAATTTTGCTTCTTTACAGTTTCCCTCTATCTACTATAGTTTCCTAACAAAAAAAACCACCAAAATCGGTAAAAAAAAACCAAATCAAAAGCCACAAGTTAAAATGAAATATCAATTGTTTTCTGAATTTATTTTCTTTTCACTGCTTTTTCCACCAATGGTCGACCATCAATTCAAAATCCCTATATAGTAAACAAAATTTTTTAATGTTTACAGCTCTCTAAATATTTTAGCTTAAGTTTAACAAAAACATGTACATCAGGAATTATAATATACTGCGAGATTAATTATTGCGATTTGTGGAAAAGATGCATACAGATATATCTGTCAGATATAAGAATGTGAGTTGTTCTTATTGCGATTCTCACCCAGTCACATTATTTGCAATAATTTCTGAATTTACACTAATGCTTAAAGTCTTTAGAGTGAGTGAATTAGTGGTCTGACACCTAAAGCTATATTATTTTGATGCTGTGACTCAAGTATATCCCATAAACATTTAAACACTACAATTTTATACTGATTAGATTTTAATATTAATTTGTGTCCACAACAACAGGTGCATATTCATCTGGCTCAGAATCAAAGTCCCATCTAAATTTACTGGTCAAATGTTCTTTGAATTTTCTGCCTTTTCTTTTCAGGCTCTGATCAGCAGAACTACATTCTACATTAGAAAAGAATTCTTGTAAAGTCGTCGTCAGAAAATTACTCTGTGATACAATATCAACAAAGAAATCTTCTGGGATTTCATGAACTTGAAAATAAAGTACACCAACAAAATCCAAAAAGAGTTGAGTATGATTAGTTAATGCAGATTCACTGCTACACAGCAAATGTACCAATTTTTTCCATTGGTCGAATCCATCAAAGACTTGTCCAATCAAAAAGCAGATAAAAGAAAACTGTACTTCTCCAAGTAAATCTTTTTCTATGGAGTTATAATTTTCTTTTAATAGAGTTTCTAATATGTAGGTTGAATCCATGCTACATTTTGTAATTTCTGCTGGAGTACTCCCATCTGGATACCTCCTCTTTGGTAATTCTGTAAACCTGATAAATGTTCCCGGCTGTACCTTCATTTGTGGTAGTTGTGATTCTGCTTCTCTTGCAGATGTTGGTTCTATAGATGACTTATCTGGCAGATCATCATTTGCTTTTTTACGGCTTGCAGTGTTACTACTTTCTGATATGAATTCTGAAACACTTAAAATTTTCCCATTCTCCGGTTGAAGCCTTTCCACTAAAGTTTCGCTCATGCAGCTGGAGAGAGATACCCATTTTTTGAAACTAAAAAATAGAAATGAGGAGTAAGTCATTTAATGATTCACAGGGCAAATCAAGGCCAAAAAATTATAATTACTCAAGAAATAGAGAGTTTTGGTGTTGTTTGAGTAAACTAAGAATCCTATTCCAGCTGGATTATTCAAAAGCATTTATACCTAGCTAGTATACATGGACTCTGACCTTGTAAACCAACTAGTTTTCGCAAGTGATTTATTTTTCGCGACTTTTGCGAGTAGAAAAATAATATGAACATAAATTGTCACAAATATGTATTATTAAAAACTTGTATCTTTCCTTATTTAAATGAATCAATAAAATTCCACCCAAAAAAGATTTGCTGTGAATTCAGGTAGAAAGGGTTAAACCTGAAAAGAGAATCCGCAAAAAATAAGTTGGTTTATAGTATATCTCGAAGTTTAGTCCTCTATTCTTATACACAAAAGTTGATGTAATATCACTTGGGATAAGGCTGTTGCTACTGCTAGGTTACAGAAAAAAACTATTTGCCAAACAAATTTTGTCTTTTCATTTTACGTAAGGATTATTATTTTCATAAAAATCCACATTTTATTATATTCCTGCAAACATAATTCAATACATATTGCTAAAAATGTCAATTAAGTTAGAAACCAATTTCTTATCAAGTACCGGTAATGGTTAAATGATGACAGTTGGTATCTGATTAAAATCAACTAGTTAGTAGTAACTCCTGAACCTGACAATAAAATGAAAATCTTAAAAAAAAGTCTTGATCTTGCTGTACAGTGTAATCTCTTTGATTCTTTGCTAAGATTGATTGATTGTTGGTATAGTGTTTAACACCACTTTCAGCACTATTGGCTATATATACACGTATTGGCATCCAGTGTGTAGTGGTGGAAGAAGCTGGAGTTCCCATAGAGAACAATCAACCTACAGCAGAAAAACTGGCATCCCTAGTCAATTAGGATAGGAGTCAAACGCACCTGACACATGCTGGGTTCCACCTCACAACCTCATATTGACAGACTAGCGTTTGCTGAAGATGAACTACTTAGACCAACTGTCAATATCATTTAACTTTTAGCTTTTCTATTGATAAAATGATCTTATATTTTATGAAATTTGTTCTGTTGTGCATCATCAACTCCGTCATAGTCTTTTTTTTTTATAAAGTATAGACAATCTGCAAGTATGGTCAACAGAATTACTGAATTAAATAACAATTAAAATCGACACATGTGTTACATTTAAATTATTATGCTAAATACTACAAGAACACAGATGTCTATTTTAGTTAAATTAAATTGTTCAGATGCTATACTCACTTCTTTCTTACTCATATTAATGAAAATATAGTACCATGAATAATAAACAGCTGCGCCATGAGCATTTTTTAAGAATAAAGTTCAATAACTTCTCAATGCCATATCAGAAATTTGTAAAAAACTAAAGGGAGGTTATCTTAATTGATATAAACCAGTCACCAAAGTTTAATGAAAACTGCTCAAAGCACTTTAAAGGCATTGTCCGAAAACTGGAAAATCACCCCTTTTTTAGGGAGCTACCATTTGATTTTTATGGGGGGGGGCTAGGATGAAATTTGAAAAAAATAGGCAGGACAGGAGTTTTGAGTAAAAAAAAAGGCAGGATGAGACACTTGCAAAAAAAATAAAATGCTCCGCAGGGCGCAGCTTGATACGACCGCAGAGGTCGAACCCTGAACAGTTGGGGCAAGTATGGACACAACATTCAAGCTTGATACAGCTTTGCATTTGGATTGTGATTAAATATTTGACACAGCATAGGTTTCTGACACAGAATGAATGTGGTCTAAGAACTTAAAAATTTTAAATTGGACATTCACCTATTATGGTCCAATATCCAAAATCTAAATACATGTTTAGATTCAGCATATCAAAGAACCCTAAAAATTGTTAAAATCAAACTAAGTTTAATTTTGGACCCTTTGGACCTTAATGTAGACCAATTTGAAAACGGAACCAAAAATTAAGAATCTAAATACACGGTTAGATTCGGCATATCAAAGAACCCCAATAATTCAATTTTTGATGAAATCAAACAAAGTTTAATTTTGGACCCTTTGGACCTCAATGTGGACCAATTTAAAAAGGGGCCCAAAATCCAAAAACTAAATACACGGTTAGATTCAGCATATTAAAGAACCCCAAGAATTCAAGAATAAAACCCCATTGAAATTGGTCAAGAAATAAGCAATTTATACGAAGTATCTTCTTTTGCACAATACTGTGCAATTAAATATTTCTTGCTATTGCGCAATACTGTACTATTGACAATTGCTTGCTATTGCGCAATATTGTGCTATTGGATATTTCTTGCTATTGTGCAATACTGTGCAATTGAAGATTTCTTGCTATTGCGCAATACTGTGCAATTGAAGATTTCTTGCTATTGTGCAATACTGTGCAATTGAAAATTTCTTGCTATTGCACAATACTTATTATATAATAATTTACACATCCTGTTTGGTGTGTATCTCCTACCATATCATTATTATTTGCTTTTAAATATAAATCAGAAATAACCAACTTAAAATGGAAAATTTTAAAAGAAAAAAAAAAGGAAAAAAAAAATCCCCCCCCCCCCCCCCAAATTTTTTGAACCCCCTTATGATTCATCACCCCCAAACTCAATCCCAGCCTTCCCTTTGTGGTATGGTACCTTGCAGTACAATTTCAGAGAGATCCATACACTTGAACACAAGTTATTGTCTGGAAACTAGAAAAATGTGTTTTTTGCCCCTTTTTGGCCCCTTATTCCTAAAATATTGAGGCAATTACCCCCATCATCAATCCAAGCCTTCCCTTTTTGATATGGTACCTTGCAGTACAATTTCAGAGAGATCCATACACTTGAACACAAGTTATTGTCTGGAAACTAGAAAAATGCTTATTTTTGGCCCCTTTTTGGCCCCCAATTCCTAAACGTTTCAGCAATTACCCCCAAACTCAATTCGAACTTTCCCTTTGTGATATGGAACCTTGTAGTACAATTTCAGAAAGATCCATACACTTACACACAAGTTATTGTCATGAAACTAGAAAAATGCTTGTTTTTTGCCCCTAATTCCTAAAATTTTGAGGCAATTACCCCCAAAATCAATCCCAGCATTCCTTTTGTGATATGGAACCTTGTGGTACAATGTCAGAGAGATCCATACACTAACACACAAGTTATGTCTGGAAATTACAAAAATGCTTATTTTTGGCCCCTATTTGGCCCCTAATTCCTTTACTGTTGGTACCATAACCCCCAAAATCAATCCCAACCTTCCTTTTGTGGTATTGAACCTTGTGGTAAAATTTCATAGAGATCCATTCACTTAAACTAAAGTTAGAGTGCGAAAACCAATGTGTCTTCGGACGACGCAGGACGACAACGACGACGCCAACGTCATACCAATATACGACCACAAAATTTTTTTTGCGGTCGTATAAAAAGTCAGGATGACAATTTAGGTTAAAAAAAGTCAGGATAAACTTTAAAAAAAAAAAAGGCAGGACCGAATAGAGGGAAAAATAAAAAGGCAGGACAGAGATTACAACTAAAAAAAAAATGCAGGACAAAATTTTTCATCCTAGACCCCCTTAAAAATCAAATGGTAGCTCCCTTATGAATAAAATCCCATAACTAGGAAGTGTAAAATCTAAAATTTATAAAAATTGAAAGGGAGCTTACATCAATAGATATAAACAATTCTCCAAAGTTTCATGAGAACTGCTGAAAGAGGGACGAAAGATACCAGAGGGACAGTCAAACTCATAGATCGAAAACAAACTGACAACGCCATTGCCAAAAATAAAAAGACAAACCGACAAATAATAGTACAGATGACACAATATAGAAAACTAAAGACTAAGCAACACGAACCCCACCAAAAACTGGGGGGGATCTCAGGTGCTCCGGAAGGGTAAGCAGATCCTGCTCCACATATGGCACCCGTCGTGTTGCTTATGTTATTACAAATCCAGTAAATAGTCTAATTCGGTAGGTCACATTAGTGAAAAGGGAAGGGTATTGTAGTTACAACATAAGGAACATATCCGATATCATCTGTGAAACAGTTATTCCATAACGGTCAGCCAACTCGTGATGGCGTCCGTAAAATTTACGAAGGGATGATTTCAACTTCACCATTTGGAACTCTTGGTTTAACAGCTTCCTTGCGAGCAGCAATCCTCTATCAAGGAAATCATGATAGGAAATACAAGCCCGGGAATATCGTATCAATTGGGAGATATATACTCCGTATGCAGGCGCTGCTGGAATGTTGCTACATAGAAATGGAAAGTTCACAATTGGGAAGCTGAAATCATCTCTTTTGTCGTAAAGTTTTGTTTTCAACCGACCCTCATTGTCAATTTCTAGATGTAAGTCAAGATATGAGGCAGACTTAAGTGTATATGTAGTATCCTTTATCTCTAGTTCGATGGGATAGATTCGTTCAACATAGTCACCAAATTTTGTATTATTTAGTGAGAGAACATCATCTATATAGCGGAACGTAAAGTTAAAGGATATTGCTAGCTTCTTATCTTTCTTCCTAAGAAGTTCCTGTATGAAGTCAGCCTCATAATAATAAAGAAACAAGTCAGCAAGAAGAGGGGCACAATTGGTTCCCATTGGAATTCTGACAGTCTGTTGAAAAACACGTCCTCCAAACGTAACAAATATGTTGTATGAAAGCATTTTTGAGTTATTGTCCGAAAACTGGAAAATCCCCCTTTTTTTTAATGAATAAAACTCCATAACTCGTAAACGTAAAATCTAAAATTTATAAAAATCAAAAGGGAGCTCATGTCAATAGATCGAAAACAATTGACCAAAGTTTCTTGCAAATTGGTGAAAGCATTTTTGAGTTATTGTCTGAAAACTGGAAAATCCCCCTTTTTTTAATGAATAAAACCCCATTACTCAGAAACATAAAATCTAAAATTTATAAAAAACGAAAGGGAGCTCACGTCAATAGATATGAACAATTCACCAAAGTTTTATGCAAATTGGTTGAAGCATTTTTTACCAATTGTTCAGATTTTTTACCATGAGTTAATGTCCGACATGTTGACGACGGACGGACAGACAACGGTATACGATATTACGTCCCGTAAACGGGCATATAAAAACTATCAAAGAAGTTCAATTTTTTTATGTTTCTCTTACTTTTCATATGGATAAGCTCCTAAGTATCTGTCCATTTCCTCTTTATTGTCATGAAATTTCTGAAGTACATCTCCTCTAACATCAATATCAGGATCAATATCTGTAAAACAATGCATTTCTGATTTGCAGCAGAAGTTACTCCAATACTGGTAAAGATATAACATTTAATGAATTATATCAAATTTATTTGGTCACACCTCTTTTTTTTATCATAAAAAATGTTGAGAATATAAATTGGTGTGGCCTCACAGACATCTGTTTGTACTTTTTAAACCCAAAACATTATTAGGTACCCTATAACTGAGGAAATATTATATGATCTATTCTCAGTGATTTGCTCAAGAAAATTACAACTAAATTTTCGTTATTTAAAAGTATTTCCAAGACCATTAAGGGATTTTTTGCCAATGGGAAATTTTATCACCTTTTACCAATATATGGCCAAAAAAAATATATGTCTATTTACAGCTACCCAACCGACCCTAAGTCATTTTATTCCCGTCTTAAAGTGAAAAATTAACTGAACTCATGTCAAAAGAGAAGTTAGAGTTGTCCATAAAAATAAATCAATAGCCTGAAACATCTAAATGTTCACAATCATGAATATGACAGCTGTTTAAAGAAACTTGCGACTCATGTGATGAAATAAACACCTTGCCGCAATTTTTTTCAAACCAATAACCAAGGGAAAAAATCCAATCATTAAAAATATGGGTAAACTTGGCCCATGGACAACTCAGACCACTGCAAGACGTTACTCACGACTCAAAATCATGTCGCAAAAGATAAAATGGAGATACCGACCTACCTACCCTATTTTTTTTAATGATGTAACCTTAAACATACTGTTTTTTTACATATAATTTTTTTTTGGCCTATGGAACAAAACATACATTTGACACACACCAAAATATCTAGATATATGGTACTTCCTTCAGACATCATTTAATTTTAATACAGTGAAACCTATTAGAAACAAAACCTGATTAAAAGAGGAAACTGCCTAAATTGAACCTGTGTATAAGCGGATAAACATTGAATATTCTTTAGGAATTCAACTTCAGTAAACTGTATTAATTCTGTCATTTTGAATTGTTGAGAATAAGGTTACCTTCTAACAATTTGTTCCATTTGCGAACAACAATTTCTTTCTTTCTGAAATTATAGAAAAATCCAGTTCTAGGTGCTGCTTGGCCTTCCTTATTACAAGCACTGAAATGTAAATAAATCTTAATCAATTATCTTATAAACAAAATGTAGAAGGATAAATTGAATGTCTTGGCCTGCTGCCAAATTGCAAGGGCTGTAATTCTGAAAAAACTATGTCATCCAGAAAGATATGGGAATTGATATCTTTAACTTACCATTATACACTGAAGAACCAAAATCTTAATATCTGAAGGTATGAAAATACCATATATAAACTGCTTCGCTGAGCGCAGCTGGATACGCCAGCAGAGGTCCAACCCTGAACAGTTGGGGCGCAAATGGACACAATATTCAAGCTTGATACAGGTCTGAATTTGGATTGTAATTAAATATTTGATATATTATAGGTTTCTGAATAAATGTAGTAAAAGAACTTGAAATTGGTTATATGAAAGATTTCTTGCTGTTGTGCAATACACTGTGCTGTTGCGCAATACTTAGTAAATCTGATGTCAGACTATAAACAAATAAAATCTTATAACTCAGAAATGTGAAATTGAAAATTTATAAAAATCAAAAGGGAGCTTACAAAAATAGATATAACCAATTTACCAAAGTTTCATAAAAAATGCTGAAAGCATTTTTGAATTATTGTCCGAAAACTGGAAAATCCCCCTTTTCGTAATGAATAAAACCCCATAAATTGGAAACGTACAGTCTGAAATTTATAAAAATCAAAAGGGAGCTCATGTCGATAGAAATAAACAATTCACCAAAGTTTCTTGCAAATTGGTGAAATTATTTTTGAGTTATTGTCTGAAAACTGGAAAATCCCCCCTTTTTTAATGAATAAAACCCCAAAACTCGGAAACGGTAAATCCGAAATTTAAAAAAAACGAAAGGGAGCTCATGTCAATAGATATGAACTATTCATAAAAGTTTCATGCAAATTGGTGAAATATTTTTTGAGTTATTGTCCTAAAATTGGAAAATCCCCCCTTTTTTAATAAATAAAACCCCAAAACTCAGAAATGGTAAATCTGAAATTTATAAAAAAACGAAAGGGAGCTCACGTCTATAGATATAAACAATTCACCAAAGTTTCATGCATATTGGTTAAAGAGTTTTTGAATTAATGTCCAACATGTTGACGACGGACGGACAGACGGTCAACAGTATACCATAATACGTCCTGTAAACGGGCGTATAAAAAAATAAGGAGATGTGGTATGATTGCCAATGAGAAAAATATCCACCTAAGTTCAAATGAAGTGGATGTAAGCAATTATAGGCAACTGTACAGCCTTCAACAATGAGAATAAAATGCTCCGCTGGGCGCAGCTTGATACGACCGCAGAGGTCGAACCCTGAACAGTTGTAAGCAAGTATGGACACAACATTCAAGCTTGATACAGCTCTGAATTTGGACTGTGATTAAATATTTGACACAGCATAGGTTTCTGACACAGAATGAATGTGGTCTAAGAACTTAAAAATTTTAATTTACCTATTATGGTCCAATATCCAAAATCTAAATACAAAGAACCCCAAGAATTCAATTTTTGTTAAAATCAAACTAAGTTTAATTTTGTACCTTAATGTAGACCAATTTGAAAACGGGACCAAAAATTAAGAATCTAAATATACGGTTAGATTCAGAATATCAAAGAACCCCAATATTTCAATTTTTGATGAAATCAAACCATATCATTATTATTTGCTTTCATATATAAATAAAAAATAACCAACTTAAAATGGAAAATTTTAAAGGAAAAAAAAATCCCCCCCCCCCTCAATTTTTTGAACCCCCTTATGATTCATCACCCCCAAACTCAATCCCAGCCTTCCCTTTGTGGTATGGTACCTTGCAGTACAATTTCAGAGAGATCCATACACTTGAACACAAGTTATTGTCTGGAAACTGTAAAAATGCTTGTTTTTTGGCCCCTTTATGGCCCCAAATTCCTAATGTTTAGGGCAATTACCCCCAAACTCAAACCCAGCTTTCCCTTTGTGATATGGAACCTTGTAGTACAATTTCATAAAGATCCATACACATACACACATGTTATTGTCCTGAAACTAGAAAAATGCTTGTTTTTCGCCCCTTTTTTGGCCCCTCATTCCTAACATTTTGAAACAATTACCCCCAAAATCAATCCCAGCCTTCCCTTTGTGGTATGGTAACTTGCAGTACAATTTCAGAGAGATCCATACACTTGAACACAAGTTATTGTCTGGAAACGAGAAAAATGCTTATTTTTGGCCCCTTTTTGGCCCCTTATTCTTAAACCTTTTGAGCAATTACTCCCAAACTCAATTCCAGCTTTCCCTTTGTGATATGGAACCTTGTAGTACAATTTCAGAAAGATCCATACACTTACAGACAAGTTATTGTCCTGAAACTAGAAAAATGCTTATTTTTGGCCCCTTTTTGGCCCCTAATTCCTAAAAGTTTAAGGCAATTACCCCCAAAATCAATCCCAGCCTTCCCTTTGTGGTATGGTACCTTGCAGTACAATTTCAGAGAGATCCATACACTTGAACACAAGTTATTGTCTGGAAACTAGAAAAATGCTTATTTTTGGCCCCTTTTTTGCCCCTTATTCCTAAACGTTTTGGGCAATAACCCCCAAACTCAATTCCAGTTTTCCCTTTGTGATATGGAACCTTGTAGTACAATTTCAGAAAGATCCATACACTTACACACAAGTTATTGTCATGAAACTAGAAAAATGCTTGTTTTTTTCCCCTTTTTTGGCCCCTAATTCCTAAAATTTTGTGGCAATTACCCCAAAAATCAATCCCAGCATTCCCTTTAAGATATGGAACCTTGTGGTACAATGTCAGAGAGATCCATACACTAACACACAAGTTATTGTCTGGAAGTTACAAAAATGCTTATTTTTGGCCCCTTTTTGGCCCCTAATTCCTAAAAGTTTGAGGCAATTACCCCCAAAATCAATCCCAGCCTTCCCTTTGTGGTATGGTACCTTGCAGTACAATTTCAGAGAGATCCATACACTTGAACACAAGTTATTGTCTGGAAACTAGAAAAATGCTTATTTTTGGCCCCTCATTCCTAAACGTTTTGGGCAATTACCCCCAAACTCAATTCCAGCTTTCCCTTTGTGATATGGAACCTTGAAGTACAATTTCAGAAAGATCCATACACTTACACACAAGTTATTGTCATGAAACTAGAAAAATGCTTGTTTTTTGCCCCTTTTTTGGCCCCTAATTCCTAAAATTTTAAGGCAATTACCCCCAAAATCAATCCCAGCATTCCCTTTGTGATATGGAACCTTGTGGTACAATGTCAGAGAGATCCATGCACTAACACACAAGTAATTGTCTGGAAGTTACAAAAATGCTTATTTTTGGCCCCTAATTCCTTAACTGTTGGTACCAAACCCCCAAAATCAATCCCAACCTTCCTTTTGTGGTATTGAACCTTATGGTAAAATTTCATAGATATCCATTCACTTAAACTAAAGTTAGAGTGCGAAAACCAAAAATTTGTTGCGGTCGTATAAAAACCCATACTGTATAGTCAGTTATAAAAGGCCCCGACATGAAAAACATGAAACAATTCAATTGAGAAAACTAACAGGCTAATTTATAACAAAACAATTTACGAAAAACAAATATGACCGACATGAACCAATGACAACCACTGAACTACAGGCTCCTGACTTGGGACAGGCACATAAAGAATGTCATTAACAGTCAGAGAAAACATGACCTTGTGCAATGCCAAAATATAGGTATCGATAGATTGTAGTACTGTGAAATAACATATGTGTATAACAACAATATTTAGTATGGTTTTAATTTACTGATAACAAAATCAATATTTATACCAATAAAAAAATATTCAAAGATTTAATTACAGTGTTGAATTGGTAACCTTTCAGAATAAGTTTATTTAAAGGATTGATAAGTTTACCCAGATCGTATCTAAATTACAGGCTCAATTAACAACATCGCTGTAAAATTTAGGATGTGCTATTTCGTTTGAAATAAGCTTTCTACACATGCTACAGGTACAGCCAAACTTGTAAACTAAATCTTTGTATCTATGGATGAATTTAGTAAAGGTTTTCAGTAATTTGTGGTAACGAAATCCCTGACTTAATAATGTACTAGTAATACATAGATTATGCTTATTGAAATTCAAATGTCACTACAGACACAGGCATAGCAAACGAGTTGGCATATAAAAACACCATTAGACGGTGCCAAAGGATCATCACCGTCCAAAAAAGGAAAATTAACAATAGGCAAAAAAAATCATCCCTTTTGTCCAGTCCAGACAACTGATGGATTTGAGAATGAAGGAATGACAGACTATATGCCCTAGCCACTCAGTGACAAAGCTATAAGGGTGATGATCCTTCACCCTTGAATTTTTAGCACCACCGTTTGTTTTCTCTGCATAAACTTCATTTTTCAGATTAAAGAAGATAAGCCATGAATCAATTCTTCCTCATAAATATCTTAAATGCTATTATAATATGTATTGAATTTAATTTTTTTGGGGTCATAAAATTAAGATACACACATTTTTGCACACATATACATATTTAAAAGTTTTGCAAAATTTATAAAATCAATATAACTCTTTTTCAATGATTTAAAAATATAATAATTTAACTCGAACTTTGAAATATTTTCTGTAATGATCCCTGATGTATACGTGTAGTTATTAGGACAGATTAGATTTTTTCAAATCTCATAGTTTTTGATAGAAGTGATTAAAATACAATGTATGTAAGATACCTATAATATACAAAATGAAGACCTGCAGGAATCATTTTCACTCCTCGGAATTCTGGTCCAACATTCCATGAATTATAATCAATACCAAATTCTGTTCCAACTGGCACATCAAGAAATACAAAAATGGCACCTTCTCTGAACAAGGTCTGAGCTGTGTCTTGATCCATGATCTGTAATTAAACTAAATAGTAGAGAAGGTAAATAAGCACTGCATCCAAATTATACCCTACTTGTATGGTCCTCTATTTTGTGTGAATCTGACCAATGGAATGATTAGGTCATATAATGACGAAGTATGGGGATCGCTTCTGGATATAATTCTAAATGTATACCTTAGAAGTATGCATACAATATTGTTTTTCTTAAATTGTTTAACATTATATAGCGGTATAACATGTTACTTTTATTATTCTTCCCTTAGTTTATTTATTTTGTATTTACATTGTATCATAGGTCAAATTTATTTGTTCAGTGTATGTTCCCTGGTGTTAATATGTCCTTTTATTGAGTTAAGCTATTTCAGTTGATATTTTATAGTGTGTCTTTCTATGTTGTGATGTTACACTATTGTTTCAGAAAAAGGGTGAAGGTTTGGTACCATTAAAACATTTAAACCCGCTGCATTTGTTTGCACCTGTCCTAAGTCAGGAATCTGATGTTCAGTAGTTGTCGTTTGTTGATGTGGTTCATAAGTGTTTCTCGTTTCTCGTTTTTTATATAGATTAGACTGTTGGTTTTCCCGTTTGAATGGTTTTACACTAGTAATTTTTAAGGCCCTTTGACCTATAATGGTTTACTTTTATAAATTTTGACTTGGATGGAGAGTTGTCTCATTGGCACTCATACCACATCTTCTTATATCTATTTACAATGTCAGAATTAATTTGGTTCAAATTAATCCAGAATTTTAGTATTTATTTTGTGGAAATTTCTTTTAAATTCACAAGAACTACTACCATGACTACTATATATATATATATATATATATATATATATATATATATATATATATATATATATAAACAAGTCTAAATTGAAAACAACTTCAAACCTATGATTGCGTTGGATTAAAACCACAATTTTTATACGTGTGCATGCAAAACAAATTTCTTGTTAGAGGGGTCTAAATACAGCACAAACAACATTTTCCAAAAGACCAAAAAAGTGAAAAAGTATATTTTAACAAAACGCATTTGACTAACAGGTCGAACAACAAATGTTCTTAATCCCTGCTGACTGCCATTGGCGATTGCCAAATAAACGGATCACGGATGTAATAAATGGATCTTAATTATAAATTTAATACTAAACAGAAAACAATACACTTGCGGAAAAGATGGTATACCGCAAACAAAAGGTGCAAAGGTTTTTGTACACCATATCCGGATTTCGACAATTAATGTCTCTTCAGTGATGTTAGGAATCAAAACGGTATTTGGAAAGCCATACAATTTACCTCAATTTAGGATACTCTTGAATTTTGAGGAGTCAAAATAGGATGAACGGATCATATAAACCCGAAGGCAAATATAAAACAAGCCCAAACGAAAAAATATAAACAAGTCTAAATTGAAAACAACGTTCAAACCTATGATTGCGTTGGATAAAAACTGCAATTTTTATACGTGTGCATGCAAAACAAATTCCTTGTTAGAGGGGTCTAAATACAGCACAAACAACATTTTCCAAAAGACCAAAAAAGTGAAAAAGTATATTTTAACAAAACGTATTTGACTAACAGGTCGAACAACAAATGTTCTTAATCCCTGCTGACTGCCATTGGCGATTGCCAAATAAACGGATCATATATATATATATATATATATATATATACAAGGTAAAAATCCACAGAAACTGTACTCATTAACATTGTTAATCAACTGTTAAATATTCAATTTGATTGATTCATTTATTATTAACTTTGCTTAGTACAACATGTACAATGTAGTCCTGATCACTACCACATGACTACAGGATGTTGGTCATTTGAGTTCTTTCATGCCTACATTTACCTACAAGGACAGATTAGACCATCCAAAGCATCTCATTCAAATCTAACAAGGTGGTCTGTCTTATAAAAATATTTTGATGCTTAAAAATAATAAAATGCTTCGCTGGGCGCAGCTTGATACGACCGCAGAGGTCGAACCCTGAACAGTTGGGGCAAGTATGACACAACATTCAAGCTTGATACAGCTCTGAATTTGGATTGTGATTAAATATTTGACACAGCATAGGTTCTGACACAGAAAGAATGTGGTCTAAGAACTTCAATTTTTTTAATTTACCTATTATGGTCCAATGTCCAAAATCAAAATACATGGTTAGATTCAGCATATCAAAGAACCCCATATATTCAATTTTTGTTGAAATCAAACAAAGTTTAATTTTGGACCCCAACTTGAACAAACTTGAAAACTGGTCCCATAATCAAAAATCTAAACACATGTTTAGATTCAGCATATCAAAGTACCCCAAGAATTCAATTTTTGTTAAAATCAAACTAAGTTTAATTTTGGACCCTTTGGACCTTAATGTAGACCAATTTAAAAAACAGGACCCAAAATTAAAAATCTAAAAACACGGTTAGATTTGGCATATCAAAGAACCCCAATAATTCAATTTTTGATGAAATCAAACAAAGTTTAATTTTGGACCCTTTTGACCTCAATATGAACCAATTTGATAGCGGGCCCACAAAATAAAAAATCTAAATACATGGTAAGATTCAGCATATCAAAGAACCCCATATATTCAATTTTTGTTGAAATCAAACAAAGTTTAATTTTGGACCCCAATTTGGACCAACTTGAAAACTGGGCCAAAAATCTAAAATCTAAATACATGTTTAGATTCAGCATATCAAAGAACCCCATATATTCAATTTTTGTTAAAATCAAACAAAGTTTAATTTTGGACCCCAACTTGGACCAACTTGAAAACTGGGCCCATAATCAAAAATCTAAACACATGTTTAGATTCAGCATATCAAAGAACCCCAAGAATTCAATTTTTGTTAAAATCAAACTAAGTTTAATTTTGGACCCTTTGGACCTTAATGTAGACCAATTTAAAAACGGGACTCAAAATTAAAAATCTAAATACACCGTTAGATTTGGCATATCAAAGAACCCCAATAATTCAATTTTTGATGAAATCAAACAAAGTTTAATTTTGGACCCTTTTGACCTCAATATGAACCAATTTGATAGCGGGTCCACAAATAAAAAATCTAAATACATGGTTAGATTCAGCATATCAAAGAACCCCAAGAATTCAATTTTTGATGAAATCAAACAAAGTTTAATTTTGGACCCTTTTGACCTCAATGTGGACAAAGTTGATAACGGGGCCCAAAAATCAAAAATCTAAATACATGGTTAGATTCAGCATATCAAAGAACCCCATATATTCAATTTTTGTTGAAATCAAACAAAGTTTAATTTTGGACCCCGATTTGGACCAACTTGAAAACTGGGCCAATGATCAAAAATCTAAATACATGTTTAGATTCAGCATATCAAAGTACCCTAAAAATTCAATTTTTGTTAAAATCAAACTAAGTTTAATTTTGGACCCTTTTGACCTTAATGTAGACCAATTTGAAAACGGAACCAAAAATTAAGAATCTAAATACACGGTTAGATTCGGCATATCAAAGAACCCCAATAATTCAATTTTTGATGAAATCAAACAAAGTTAAATTTTGGACCCTTTGGACCTCAATGTGGACCAATTTAAAAACGGGGCCCAAAATCCAAAAACTTAATACACGGTTAGATTCAGCATATTTAAGAACCCCAAGAATTCAAGAATAAAACCCCATTGAAATTGATCAAGAAATAAGCAATTTATACGAAGTATCTTCTTTTGCACAATACTGTGCAATTGAATATTTCTTGCTATTGTGCAATACTGTACAATTGACAATTTCTTGCTATTGCGCAATATTGTGCTATTGGATATTTCTTGCTATTGCGCAATACTGTGCAATTGAAGATTTCTTGCTATTGCGCAATACTGTGCAATTGAAGATTTCTTGCTATTGTGCAATACTGTGCAATTGAAAATTGCTTGCTATTGCACAATACTTATTATATAATAATTTACACATCCTGTTTGGTGTGTATCTCCTACCATATCATTATTATTTGCTTTTAAATATTAATCAGAAATAACCAACTTAAAATGGAAAATTTTAAAAGAAAAAAAAAAGGAAAAAAAGAAAAAAAAAAAAATTCCCCCCCAAATTTTTTGAACCCCCTTATGATTCATCACCCCCAAACTCAATCCCAGCCTTCCCTTTGTGGTATGGTACCTTGCAGTACAATTTCAGAGAGATCCATACACTTGAACACAAGTTATGGTCATGAAACTAGAAAAATGCTTATTTTTGGCCCCTTTTTGGCCCCCAATTCCTAAATGTTTCGGGCAATTACCCCCAAAATCAATTACAGCCTTCCCTTTGTGATATGGAACCTTGTGGTACAATTTCAGAGAGATCCATACACTTACACACAAGTTATTGTCTGGAAGTTACAAAAATGCTTATTTTTGGCCCCTTTTTGGCCCCTAATTCCTTAACTGTTGGTACCATAACCCCCAAAATCAATCCCCACCTTCCTTTCGTGGTATTGAACCTTATGGTAAAATTTCATGGAGATCCATTCACTTAAACTAAAGTTAGAGTGCGAAAACCAATGTGTCTTCGGACGACGCTGGACGACGCCAGACGACGACGACGACGACGACGTCATACCAATATACGACCAAAAAATTTCCAATTTTTGCGGTCGTATAAAAACTGGGAGCAAATTCAGTAAAATTGTCACAAACTGAACATCTTTTGAAATTGATATTAAGTTTAAATAATACATAATTTATTTCTGACATGAAATATTAAAAAGAAATCTTTTCTGATGTTTCTCACCCAAGACATAGGAAAATATTGGTAGGAATGCCGGTTTTTTCAAGCTACAGTACTAATAATTATAACATATAAGTGTCATTTAAATGGAGAAAAAATTGTTTGTTATTTACTCAAATTTTACAATTAAACTTGGACTAATACATATATTGATCTATGGTAATTTTGTCAAACTTGTTATCTCCTGTACACCACCAAACCTGAATATACATATATTTGTTCTTAACTTAAGTGCATTAGTAAACAGACTGGAGCCCTGATTTCCTGAAAACTCCCCAAAACTTAATATGAACCAGAGACCGATAGATATTACTATAAATTCAGAAATTATTGCAAGGTTTTTACTAATGCGAATAATGCGACTGAATAAGTATCGCAATAAAAAGAACTCGCATTTTGAATTTAATACACATCTTTATGTAGATTTTCCTGAGATCGCAATTATAATTAATTTCGCATTGCTGTGCATCCTTCCAAAATCGCAATAATAAATGCACGCAATAATTTCTGAATTTACAGTACCTGAAAACTCTATTTTATGTTGTATTTTACTGCTTTTATAGTTAATAAAGATTATAATTTTGAGATATATGTCAATTTTACTCAATGAATGTACAATTAAACTTCAGGAATTCAATTTGTGTGTCTTGCATGCAAGTTCCTTGTATAACAATATTGTGGACGTAATTATTCAAAAGGTAGATGTCTATCTTAATAAAAGCATAAAAAGTACTGAATCCTTTTTTTTAAATTAATGTTTTCCAAATAAGGTGTTTACTTTTCAAATTTCAATTGCTGAAGAATCTAATTCTTCAGTACTTTTTCATAAGTTATAATCTTCATTATCAATTAAGACAGTTTTACACCATTTGAAATAGAGTTTCGGGGATATATATCTATCAGTTCTCAGGTTCTAATTGGGTTTTAGGGAGTTTTTAGGAAATCTGTGTACCCTAAACATGCTAAACAGATTAGAAAAAACATACTGCTGTCCTTAGTAATGTAGATAGGGACTATTAAAAAAAAAGCACCAACAATACATGACTTTAGAATTCGTGCACTTTCCCATACATTTCCTAATTTATTGTCACAACAATTATGTCATTACATCACAGTAAGAACCGATTGTTCAATGATGTCATTAACACCAAATGACCTACGGTCAACCGGCATAACTCATTCATATAAAACAAATCAAGATTGGTGTAAACACTTTTTCTCTATAAGTCGCCATTACTGGACATCATAAACATTTCCGTAAAATTTTGAAGTCACAAAAGAAAATGTCCAACGCCACAATGCAAAAGGAATTGTTGAAGAAAGGTTGATAGTTAATTGATGGTCACATAATCTTTGGTCAAGTGCCAATAAGGTCTATAATTTCATCTTTTGCAAGCTAGCTAAATTTGGATTACCATAAATGAGGGTCGTAAATGGGGGTGACACCTTCAAGACGAATAACGGATAATCATGATAATATCTTGACAAATGACATTAACGATAATTTTTGGTGCATTTTGATAAAATGTACATTTTTTTTTTTTTTTATGACGATATTAATAAAATAGACTGACTTTGACGAATCACGTTAAATTCTTTCCAAAAATAACGGTAACAGATGATTGTTTGAGTCTTGAGACCAGTGAAAATCACGATAAGGAGATTTTGACGAATCACAATAAAATTTTAACCAATTTGACGCTAACGGTAGCCAAAAATAGCCGTTTGACGCTTGAGGGTAAAGGGAATTCCTACCCTCATTATTAAATACATTAAATACAAACAAATGTTTCAGAAGGGATGTGAAAATAAATTGTTCTACTGAACATGCTGAAAATTGGTGAAAAAAACATTCTTTATTTTATTAACATTTACGAGTTTTCATATTTTGTTATGTTTTGCGGGACATAATATAAATGACTTTTTTTATATTAGTCCCATGTTTTGCCCAAATTTTGGGAGCGTGTTTCTCTTTTAGTCTTTTTTTTTTTCTCTTTGCCTTTGGCCATGGTGTTTGTCTGTCCTTCGACTTAAGATGATGCGACTTTAGATGATTTTGCTTACTACTTTGTTATCTTCTTATGTTTTCAAAAATACAGCATCAAAACCTGAAATAATTTAGAGGGACATGCAAAAGTGAGGGAACGTCTTAAATTCGTTTTCCAACATTTAAAGTTATCGCCAGATTGTTCCTACCAAGTCTCATTGTAATATCACTAAGAACCTAAAGTGCATTTTATATAAACAGTAACGTACCGGAAGGAAGACAACTCGCCCCATCGTTAATCGCCCCACTTTTCACCAACTCGCCCCACTTTCTACCAACTCGCCCCAGTCTTGTACTACAGTTGAAAGTTAAAAGTTCTTTATCTCTCTAATTATGGAACCTTATATATCGAATTTCGTCGATCATTAAAAATGTCAAATTGAAACTGAGAAAATTAGAGAAAAAAACTCCTATGTCATGAAGTTCACATTCTTATTCCATTTAAAACGTTTTTAAGCTGATATATTCATTCTCTATTATTTCAGCGACACATTGATAGTAAAACCTGCAAAAAGAAAATAACAAATAACAAATAACAAAATAATTTTAATATAAACATTAGAAAAACCAAAGAAAAGGGAAATATCTCCCCAGACATACCCAAGAATGAAGGACACTAATGGCCGATTACCCTTATCAGCGACACCCGGGGTGCAATGTTTTTAATGATGTTCGATTAACATAGAAAGTAACGGGAAAATAAATAGGTACCCTTCATTAATTCTTCATATTATTTTTATTAATCATCTGAATTCTTATTAACACATACGACCGAATTCTACATAGATTTACCTTTCTGGTGGTATTAAAAAATCCAGTTTATCTTATCTCATTGTTAGGTCTCCGATTTTTTGAAATTTCAGTATCTAAATTCCCTTACTCACATCAGTAAATATCGATGAATTACCTCAAAAGAAATGAGACAGCAGTAAGTAAAAAAATTGAAGCACACTTAATATGCGGAGGAAATACTATTAACACATACTGTTGAATACTCCTGTCAATAAGCTATATTTTGATGTCAGAAAAGTCAGTTTAAATTAAGAAATTCTTAGGTCTCCGGCGTTTTGAAAAGTTGTCTTTGAAAAAAATAACCAACACAAATGTAATATACGAAAACAACGTACATTAGCGAGATCATACTGTTATACATGTAAACTAAATTCCGGTTATTCTTGAATAAATGAAATAATACATAATAAGTTCAAATTTAAAGTGTTCACTGTGGCTATTTTTTATTGTTCAAATAGAAACGATAAATATTGAATACAAAATAAAATTATATTTAATTATATTAAATTGTATTCGTCGGGATAGCTCATCTGTTCAAAGGACATAATGGAGTTTTACTATAAGGGTTCTTGTTCATGATAGTTCATAGTTCGTATAATTTCATATAATAGAGACTATAAAGATATTTTTTATTCATATTTGATGAAACGTATTTAATGATAAATGATAAAGTATACATTTACATTCAAATAATAATAAACGATTCGCTGTTTAATAATTTTTTTTCACCCGTAAAACATTTTTCCATCATTTGTATTTCGATAATATTTAAAGAAAATGAAAAGGTGGTATATTAAAAAAGGTCGAAATTGATATATTGTCAAATGAATTTTATTATCAGCAGGCACCCTGTCGCTTGACTGTCTTTCCTATCTCCAATTACGATGTCTTATATATGCTCAACAGGATGCCACTGTTTGTTTTATTAAATTGAATATGATACAATACAACTTGTGTTAATTGGTGACATATGTACATGTAATGAATGTATGCACGGTTTGTTGTGGAAGTATCATCCTGTAATGACATTACATCAATGTGGTGGAACTATTAAAACAAATTTGATAACTCGAAAACTAATGCAAAAAATATCTCAAATCACTCTTTTTTAGGGAATCGTGTTCCTCGCTCTTTAGTTTGACCATGGAAGTAAATTGATTAGTGTTATCTATGTATAGATAGTTTAATTTGCTGCTTTTATTTTTTTGTTTCTTCTTTTAATTTGTCATTTTCTATATATATGTTTTTTTTTATTACTTAATGGTGCAATACAAAACACATGTAAGTTGTCTCTCGGTCATTTTAGAAATACACTGTTCAAAATGTTCTTGTGTGAAAAAATGTAACGCCTACAACACATTGAATGTTGGTTTCTGTTATAATGATGAATGTGTTGTCATTGTAAATGGATATTAAAAAGCCAATTGCTGAAGACCTGGTGACAAGTTTTAATATTATGCACAGTAAAAGAGGCCCTTCTTCGTTGATATGTTGGGGTTTCCTTGTATTTCAAAACACCTTTTGTCTGGTGCATATGCCACGACTCATAAAAACTAACTTATATTTATTAATTTAGTTTTGTCCGACGAATTTGTGTCCCTGATTTTTTTTAATTTAAATTTTCGATCTTTCTTGCTGTGTGGAAAAAAATCTCAAACAAGAAAAATGTTACCCAAGTTTTTATAATCAATTGTTCATGAACAATGTAAATTGCTTTTTTTAAAAGGCGATTTATTTATCAAAGACAAACTATGAATCGCATAAATGGGCTTTGATTTAGGGACGACATCAAAAGATCAATGTAGGATAAAAAAAACTTAGTTCAAATAGTCTGGGGGTGGGGGTAAAAATTGCTGCAAGTTTTGTTTATTTGACATCGAATTTACATATATCTGTATCAATTTTTCCAAAGTTAAGTTAAGAGAAGAGAGGGGGGGGGGGGGGGGGGTCAGTGAAAAAAACTACGTGAATTAAGTTTGTTTATCCTACATTGAACTTTTGATGTCGTCCCTTATTGTCAATGTGAATTTTTATCCGTGACTTAATTCAGGCAAATTTTATACCTTTCTTGCACTGTTGAAAATAAGGACAGAGGGACATCAGATATAAATACTGTTAGTATTAAATCGCACTGATAGCAGTAAGACAATTTTAGATGGGTGAAATAAGTTGAAATATGTAAGAAAACTTTCAAATAAGAATTACTCCTAAACACACATAAAAAGGGAGACCCACTATAAAAGCGCTTGCGACCTAACTCGCTTCATGATGATGTCTTTAGTTATTACAATTGATAAATCTTCACTTATCAATCAGAGAGAGAGCTCTACTTATCAATATCAATAAAAAATATATTTTAACTGTTGAATGACTTATTCTTCAATTATTTAGTCTTAGAATTTATATCTTTAATTTTCACCAATTGTCTAAATTTGATTTATTGAACCTTTTTGTCTGCTAACGCCTTACCTAACTAAAGATGGTTGAGATATGTTTAGCCGTTTTTACATAAAACATTTAAAAAATGAAAAACATCTAGCTTGTAATTTATTTCTTCAAAGACATATATAGCATCATTTTAAAGCAAACTTATTTGTCCAAGGCATAAATGAATGATTGTACTGAAATGAATGAATGTATATAGCCTATTATTAGAAAGCAGGACAAACTTAATTGAGTTTGCTGGTGTTAAAAATGGTTATAAAAAATTCAGCTGATATTATGCCATATAATTATTTTATTACTAATGGTGATTAAATTGCAATAAGCTACGGTTCAGTACAAATTTCGTCGTCAGCTCTGTTGCATAAGGACAAATGAAAATATTAAATTTCTTGGTAACAAGGATGTCATATAAGCTCCTAGATGGTATTTTTAAGATATATGAACATCAAAACTCATGAGATACGTTTTATGACTGTTCAAGATCAATTAACAAAAATTATGGAATTTTTTCCCTAATTTTTTCAAAATAATTTCCCCTTCTTACATTGATTTATAATATCGACGAGGTTTTGATCTCAATATCATAGTCCTTTTAAAGACCACTAACTCAAGTATCGTAATTTATAACTCCCGTGAAGACACTAATTAATTTTTATCAGAGACATGTCTCTGTTGTATTTAACAAGATTAGTAAATGCAACGACATCTATTGGAAGGAGTTAAGAGTTATCGTTAATTATCTACTGTCCAATATAAACAGATTGGGTTATCTCGCTTGGAAATGTGACATATTCTTGCACATGGGTTAGATGTTATTGGACTATTGAACACCTCTGCCTAGTGTTTTCTGCAACTTAATCACTGTTATACTGCGCATGCCGCATGTCACAAAAAAACTGCCAGCGCCAACAAAAATATTGTAATCAAGATGTCGTATAGGTTGCTAACAGCATAAACAGATGTCCACTGTGACTCAAAGTAATCCAAAATAGCAAGTTGTATACGAATCAAATTGTATAGATGCTTGAATGGAAAAGAGGCCCAGGGCTGATAAAAAATTTATAATGTAGTATACCAACCCTTGAGCAAATGCACTTGGACATCATCATGTAATAGTAAACTTATCATCACATAACTCATAATCCTTTTATGTACAGGTTTGTTTGGTTTTTTTTTATAAAAACTTGTTTGTTCTCCGAGCAAATATGAAAGAGATTATACCACAATTTTAAAACTATCGGCAATGAAATAAGAAAGTTATCAGTAGAATTTGAATATTTTAACTGGAAGACCGAGTCTCAATTACATAATTATCAACAATCTAATTAAAATATAGATCTATATACTCGCTATCCTCATACGAGCACACGAGTTGTGATATATATTATGTATGTAGATCTGAATTTTAATTGAATTTCGTAAAACTTTGTATCGAACGACAGCTGGAGAAAAAAAGAAAGATCGATACGTTGCTGTACTTTCTGTGAGGCGCAGATTTTGTTAAAACTGTAGTATTCAAGGAGTTCCATAATTCGATTTCAGGATTTTATAAATATTTATGGATATCTGAAATAAGTTCAGAACCTCCATAATTGAATTTCAGTATAACCATAAATAATTATGGACCGCCTGCAATATTTCAAGACCTCAATAATTCATTTTCAGGACTTCCAGGTTTTCGGATCCACCCCAGGACCTCCATAATTCAATTTCAGGATTTTCACAAATAATCGTTTAGAATAGCTTTATTTCAGGACTTCCATAATTCAATTTACCTCCTGAAATATTTCAGGACGTCAGGACCTCCATAATTCCATTTCAGGACCTCATCATTCCATTCCAGTATATCCTGACTCGTGAGTATTTCAGGACCTTTATAATTCTATAATTCGAATTCTTGATGTCCTGATATCCCAGTGAAATCGATTTATCATGGAGGTTATGAAATATTTCAGGTTATCCTAGTCCCAGGATTTTTTTTGCCATATATATATATATATATCAATTTACTCTGCAGCTATACACGTATTCTTCAATGAACAGATGTAGCTTGTTCGGCATCTAGGAAAGGCTCTCATTGATTCTTCTCAAACTGGCGCTAGGGACAATCTTGAACTTGACCAGGGAAGAGAGTTTTTCCTCCATTTTTTTTTTTAAAGCATCACTATAAGATGAAGAACAGAAACCAAAGCGTTGTTCCTTGGCTTTTGTTTCAGTCTTTTTGAGCGTGTAATGGTTTTGTGTCATGAATTGATGCACTATATCCTTTCTTTTTCATTTTTAGGTAAGACAGTCTAAAGAAAATAATATCTGTGGTCACCACAAGTTCGTTTAGCTAAATGAATATGCACAAAGAAGTGCTTTTTCAGCAGATCCGATCATCATCTCTGACTCAGTTTTTGTTGAATAAGCTCCAAACCGAAGTCCGTTCAGCTAACAAAAATCATGAAATTCATGCAAATATTCAGATTCGTTTGAACAAGGATAAGGAACTATAGTATGTGTAATAAAACAACCATAGATTAACAAAAAATCAGGGCAAATTACGATCTCTGTGCCTCTCAGACTAAAAATCTTAGATCCGCCATTCGGAAGCTAATGCAGGTTAGAAAGACGTTGAAAGTACTCGTAACTAACAATCCATTTAACCATACAGAAATTTTACCACGACTGTGCCAAGTTCAAGTATGGATAGCTGAAATTTCAGAGTCCGACGTTCGTACTCCTTATTCCTACCTGGGTTTTAAATTATCATGTTATCTTATGGTCACGGCAGACGCCAGTTCCACCCCAGACTACCCAGTGAAAACAAATTTTGTGTTTTTATAATGATACGAATCCTTAACTTTAGCAACTGGGAAAAATTATTAACAAAAATACCGTTTTATCAAGTATACTATCATTCCGATTAATTGCCCATCTTTTTTTCATCAATGTCACCGGTGGGTGGGGGTGGGGGTGGGGGCCTCTCTTAATAGTTATGACGGTATACCGAGGGCACAGACGTGCGCTGGAATGGGTACCTTTTTGATATGTTAAATCAGAGACATGTATTATATGTCTCTGGTTAAATCAATCAAAGGGTTGTAATTTCATTTCACGAAGGTAAATTATCAATGGGTCAATAATTTTCATCTTTCGAATAGATATCTGTATATAATTTTATATGTTGTCTTATCCTTTTAATCAAATTATTTATAAGACGTACGTAGGCCTATGTGATAACTGGGCATGAAATATACTGTGAATGGGATTTTGATTTTGCCATGAAATATATTTATGGGTCGATATTTCCACCACAAGGACTCAGTGTGCAGATTAAAATTTTGTTTATCAATGTTTTTTCAAATCTTTTTTCGTATTTCCTATCTATCTGTATTACCTTATTAACGTTTTTAACGTTGGCATCAATATTTCTTTGTTTTCTAGCAATGTGCAGTTTACTATCCATATCCGTATACTGAAAAATCTACTTTAGGATTTTTCAGTAAACGGATATGGATAGTAAACTGCACATTGCTAGAAAACAAAGAAATATTGATGCCAACGTTAATAAGGTAATACAAATAAGACAAGAAATACGAAAAAAGATTTGAAAAACATTGATAAACAAAATTTTAATCTGCTTTAACCGAGTCCCTGTGATTTTCACAAGTCTTCAAGGTAATGAACTTTTCTTTCTTTTTTTTAAATCCAAGCCGCACGTCTGTACCCAAAATCGCATGTTGTGACCCCCTGTTGATAAATGTTTTTTGTAAACATTGACACGTGTTAAATTTCCCGCGAAATGACGTTATGTATTTCGTAGCAACTCGTCGACGGAAATAGTTGTTGATTGGATGACCGCATTCTGGCATTTGTGCGCTTTAATGGTGGATTTGGTCAGTATTTACAGTAAACAAGATATTTTTCAAGAGTACTTTATTGGGTATGTTGATATGTTTATACAGCCATCCACATTATTCAATTTAAACCAATATTCAGGCTGGTGTTTTCAGTTATCAAAATATTTCAATGATTTTTCTGGAATGTTGTGAACTTCGCGTTGGTGTTGTTCGTGAATCATCGAAAATAAGGAAATAATAATTTATGATAAATTCCCTTTTCTGCTTTAGTTAATACTGATTCAGATCTTTTCAATTTGTTGAGCATATCATTTACTGTAAACAATCCAACAGACACTGTTGTTTTTGATAAATTTTAATAAGGTTTTAATGACTTCCAGGCGAACAAAGAAGACAATAACAAACCGAAACCGAGGCTTTGAGAGTGTTGACAGGATCTGACAGATTCTGTTGTGGAAAAAGCAGTGAGTGAAAACTTGATGAAGATTTTTTTAAGTGCTAAAGTGAAGAACATTAAAAATGAGGGAGGAAATTGCAGCAGCAGTGGTGTTTTTATCACGTTTAGTACGGCAGTGCGGTAGCATTCCAAACGAGAAAATGGAATCCTTCTCAAATAGTCTTTCATCAGTGCTGGTAGAGAAATTTAAGAACCATTGGTATCAAGATTTTCCAGCTAAAGGACAAGCTTATAGATGTATAAGAATCAACCCAGAAGAACCAAATGACCCAGTAATGGAGAGTGCTGTACACAAGTCTGGTCTGGAATACAAAGATCTTAAGTTGTTTTGTGAACTGACACTATGGGTAGATCCTTCAGATGTTTCTTGCAGGTAACAAGTTAATTGATTTTAATGATAAATAGACAATGTGGTTATGCCCTGGCTGCCAGGAGAAGAGGGTATTTAGGTTTACCCTTATTCGTCTGGACGTGGTCCGTCCAAAAATTGGTTTCCATTCTCTCACTTTTGTTTGCCTCAACCAATTGTTATAAAACTTACACACAATGCTTATAAACACAGTTCCAGTTCAAATTCGAGTGTCGTCACTTACACTGTTCTTTAGTTACAGGGTACAGGAGTTCAATTACTTTCAGTACATATCAGTTTGAAGACTATTTGGAGGCCCTGCCCTCTATGTCATGGTCCAACAACTTTGAATTAATAAGCAATGTTGCTGTCAATCCCATTGTCTTTTCATGAATAACAGACCTGTATTACACAAATTTTATACAGTACAGCACTACAACATGCTTGTCACACAACAACCCATCAATACCTTGAGCTCATTATAACTAATTAAATTTATCAGAAATGCACTGTCCTAAAAAAGAAAATTGTTTGTTCTTTTTTCAAAGGTTTGGTGAGGCAAACAGACCAGTCTGTACTCTTGCAACATCTAAAGATGGAAATCTTGAAAACAGAGCGCACACTGTTGACATAGATGAATATTTACAGAAAGAAAAGGATAGATACAACAATCAGGTAAATATATATATATGTATAGTTAAAACTACAACACCGAAAATAGAAATGGGAATTGATGTATGAAATGTTTATACCATAAAATATACTTCCCAAAGAAAAAAACACTAACATTTTCCATCTGGTGGTCCAACCTGCCACAATATAAAAGCCCCAAATTTAGTAGCCTGGGCTAATGGGTTCCCTGCTGAGGTTATTTTTTGTGTTCCTGTCCAGATCTAAGCAACTACAAATTATTGAGGAATGGTCTTTTGTCAGTTGATTCATCATGTTTAATGACTGACTATTATTTTAGGCATAATGGTTTTAAGTTAAGTTTTGCTTTTAGGAACAAATTTAGATTTGGAAAAAAGTAATTGACAAGCTTCATTTACATTGGTTCCATTTCTTAATTACTCTTTTCTTGTTGCAAGTATATAAATTAAAGACAGGATCATCCCTTGAACAGGTCTGTGCTTTTATTTGAATATTTATGTCCATTGGTCTTTGAAATGAATTATTTGACAGCCATGATTCCTCCTTTGTAGGTGAATATTGTTACCACCCGATCATCTCTTGCATCCCGTCCATACAACAGCAACCATAATCTAGTCTATAATGGTTTCAATACTTACCAACAGCATAATTACTACAACAACCACCGCCACCGCAATAGTCGTCGTAAATTGCCGTCAGAACAGCAAGTCAATGGGGTGAGGCATTCTCCTGAGCACGTCAACGAGGTCAGACAGCAGTTTATGAATCAAGTGAACAGCATTGCAGGGAAAGCGAATGAGAAGTCTGAAGAACAACCATCATCGAGCTTGTCAGAAGACAGCGGTTCATCATCAGACAGTAGCAAATCACCTGATCAAAGCCCAGAGAAATCTCAGGAGAAAAAATCAAATAAATCTCATCAAAATAAAGGGAAGCATACCTCAAATCTCAATCAGGGAAAGTCCAAACAAGGCAGCTCAAATCAAGGGTTTAAAAATTTCCAGAGCAAAAGCGGAGAGCAGTTTTCTTGGGGTAAAGGATCAGGGCCATCTCATAGTAAATTCAATCAAGCACCAAAGGTTCACTAGTAATAAATAAAATGTGTTCATTTCATTACTAATTGGCCAGACGATATTTTTATTTATATCAGAGTATTTATATTTTTTTTTCATTGTTTTATTTTTTGCTTAATGGAAATGAACATGTTTCTTTGGTTGTAACTGTGCTATAGGTAAAATCACAATAAACATTGTGGGGAAATAATTATGACACATATTTGTGAGAGCTTATTTTAATAGCACCTCGAAATGAAATACTCGTAAACATGTGCATACAATGATGCTTAAATGGGAGAAATACTATTGTTTTTGCCATATGTAATTTTTAGTGCTACTTAACATTTGAAAAAGATTTGGAAACCTGCTTGAAAACGATTAAAAATGCAGCATGAATATTTACTATATTACCAGCATATTTTTGCACATTACATGTACTTCATATCACCAAGTTTTAGGGCAAATTTACTTTTGAAATATGTGATAGGTATGAGATAACAAGAAAGTGCTCTGTTCATAGTACATTTGTGACAAATACTAGTTTACTGGTAGCAGGACTAATGGTGAAGTACATTAAACACTATATTTTATTTCTTAATTTATGAATCACTGTTTGTTTTCTTTGATTTATTGGATAAATTGATTTTAATTTTGTTTTTTGTCGATTTTACTTGTGGTTTTATATTATGATGAGTGAATTCATCAACATTTGTATAGTTCCACAGCATATAAAGTGCAAATTGTGATAAATCCATCAGTTCTTGAAGTTTTATTAAGTTCGTAGACATTTATGAATGAATTATATTGTATATAAAGAAATTTTACTCGCACAGAAAATTGAGTGTAGACCAAAATAACTGAAATAATGTTTTATGAAAGATTAAATTTATTGTTTTATTAACCAATTTCCATGACTTTTTGTCTAAGAAGATTCAGCAAAGATCTAAAATAAAAAGCATTTAACTTTCAAAGCTTTTAGATCAAAACAGTTATTCATGACATATCTTGTTGGAACAAAACAGAATTTTCAAAAAATGGAAAAAAAACGTGATTATACCATTGTTCATCCATTGACTTATAAACAGTTGCGAAAAAGAAAATAAAAATTAACAAACTATATTTCTGTCTATAAATAAATTTATAACAATAAAATAAACGGAAATGTACAAATGAAGAAATACTGAAATCTTTTGAAAGTATATATTTTTAAAACATGGAATTGATGGATATAATTGTAGTTCTGCTGTATCGAAGAAAAGTGACACAAAATGGAGTAGTTAAGTGTTGTTTGAATGTTCATTGTTCCCAAATGGAATGACTTCTGCATGTTGTTTTGCAGAATGATTAGATACAGTAGAACTTTTGACAAAGTACATGTATAGGTTTTAAAATTATTTTTTTTTATATAAACACCAGCTAGAAATTTTTTAATGATTTTCATTTGAATTGCTGGAGATACAACATGGAAAAGGTAATTTACATATACCAAATTGCATCCTGGTAGCTTTTCCTTTAAAATGTATGCGTTGTGGGGCCCCTTTGCATTGTACCCCACCTAGCTGCATTTTGGCATATTATTATTTAAATCTCCTAATTGGACAGATTTTCAGAAACAACTGCCTTTTGATGGCACTAAGTCATGTTTATTTTGAAATAGCTTTTCAACCACCCTGTAGGCTGTACAATTTGTTGTGGAAAAGATTATCTTACACAGAATTTTTTTAAAATTGTTACATGTGCTTTTGAAGAGATCAATGGGTCTCAAAATTGACTACGAAACAACATTTCCTTTTCAAATTTTGCCTTCATGCTTTTTATTAGATTTGTTCAACTAGATATCAGCACTGTGATCAGTATTTAACGTTAACTGTCCAAACATTGTACTTTATTTTATTTTGTGTTTAAATTAAAGCAGAATTTAATAAGTAAAATGTGGCTTTCAGTTTTAAGTAATTAATTTTTCTCGTAAGTTTCAGATTTGTAAAATCCAAGGTTGAAAGTTGTTCAATACAGTATTAATTATTCTTTTTGATTGAAAAGCAATTTTAATATTTTACTAATAATATAACACTAGAAAAATGGTCTGTGGACATCTGATCAAATTTTAAAAAAAAAGAATAACTTAAATCTCATTATTGAAAACCTGGTTTACTTCGCCCAATACTTCTCCGCATTATGTTTTGTGGTCTCCTCTGTCATCCATTGATAATTGTTTTACTTGTGTTAATTGTTTTTTTTTTTATTAATATATATTATTAATTGTGATAAATGTGCAGTATGGAATTGCTGCCAAATTAATTTGTGTATTGAATTCCAAAGTATATTTTATGAATTATCCCAGGTGACCTCTGAAAGATCAGTCAACAACATATCATGACCTGTTCATTAATGTAAATATTCACACATCCAGGCAGATGGTTTATGGTGAACCTTTTACTTGGTGCAATACTAATGTCTTAGCTTTAACTAGATTTATTTTTCAGGTTGCTTTTAAGCATTAATTCAGAAAAAAGAACGAATTGATAAATAATAGTATATTGTTATTTTTATGACTTTCAGTGGTCAAAACAGGGCTTACATGGTAGAAGTGGTTCCACTTGCAGTTTATGAAAATGCTTGTATTAAAAAAATGTAACAAATTTCAAATTTTATCCACCATACACATGCAGGTATAAACATTTTGAATTACACTCCCTCATACATTTAATTGTGCATACCTGTAATCAGATATTTGTATGGTATGGTTTGGCAGGGCTGAGCAATGTCCCCTTAATCTTTCCCCAAATTGAGCTCTGGTAGTTAAAAATTCCTTGTGTAATTTTACTAAAGCTTGAAAGTGTATTTTTGAACATTCTCTAAAATGGTCAGAATTTGAATTCAGATTGTAAATTTTGTTACCTTTGAAATTATACAAGTATTTTGTAAATTTCATGTTGGAGCTACTTCATTTTTAATGCTAGATCAAAGGACTGTATAAAGACACATTCTTACTTGATGTGAAAGAGATTGAGAGAATGTTACAGTTATGTGACACATTTTATATATTGAGGTCAAGTCAAAGTTATTGAATGTGTTCAACCCAATTTTATTTTTTTTCAAGTATAAGTATTAAAAAACAACCATGGTCTTTTGGGGTTTAAGATTGACTTGCAATTGAGGTTTTTATCCGCAAAATTATATATAAATGATTTTAACAAGTAGTAAAATTTTATAGTTTTCATGGTGCAAAGTTTGATTTATGTTTAAAGGAATAAAAAAGTCCTGCAGTTATCTGGAAAAATTATATTATTATCATGTTCCAAAGCTTTCAGAAATCAAAATAATTAGGGGTCACATGTTGCCTTTTAGTTGAAAGGGAATATATCATAAGCAATCCTGTGTCATACAATGATGCAGAGACTTCAAATAAACAATTGAACACCAGATTGAAGTAAATTACCTTGACTTGACCTACTCATTTAATGAGGGAAATTGCAAATGGCTACTTGCGAAGTTTTAAATACAAATTTTATAGAAGTTAATACTTCCATACTCAGAAAATGTGGTCAGTCAATTTTACTGTTTTTTATGTTTTATGTTAGAGAAGCTGGTTTTCAGTTAATTTTTGCTGTTAATAAGATTGTAGTAAATTGGTTGTTTAAAGGAATAAGAACACATGTAAACATTTAATTCTCATTTCATTATTCTAACTATTTCTACTGTTGCACGAACAAAACCATCAGAATCCATCTATTTTTGTTAATTCGCACGTTAAGTTTTATTTCAATGCCTGTTCTTTGCATTAACAGGGTTTGCCTGTTAAAAAAAAATAGTGCTTATGGAATATCCTTTAAGTTTGATTTGAAATTTAATTGAATTGAATATAAATTTGAAAAAAAATTCAGACAGTTTTTTTTAGGGGGGATTTGATGAGGTGATTGAAGACTAGAAACCACCATTTATAAAAAAAACAAAGAAATTTCGAGGTAGTTTCTGAGTCTGGAATCTTCTTTTAAATTAAGCATAAATATAGAGAAATTGTCTCTGTCGTAATTAATGATGGAACATGTCCACATCCTTTTTCAGAGTAATTAAACAAGTAAGTAGGGCTAATACAACATGTACTTGGTTGACAGAGATATTTGTGCTGTCTCAATTGCAAGACCTTGTTCAGCTTTGTTTCTGACGGATTTTTCTTGTGATATTCAGGTAAAAAAAAGTTTTTAAAATGTCTTTTGTATTTTCTCCAAAATTTAGTTTTTGCCAAAATATTTTCTTCTGATATTTTTAATCAATATTTTGTTCAATTTTCATAAATCATCCCTGCCAAGTTGACTAGTTGATCTCAGACCATGTTTACTTCAGAACATTCATAACTACACAAAATGGCATTCATTTCCATGTATAATTATGATCTCGTTCCTGCTGTATCATTTTTTAACTGTCATTTTATAATCGTAGTTTAAAAATTGATGTAGGATATTTATGCATGTGTAACTTGACTAAGAACATACAATATTATAACTCTTGTGGATTTTGTCATTTATAATTTACTCCATGTTGGTACATTTGTAACTCAAAAGTTTTCCTTATATTTTGTAAAAAAAATTAAATGAAAAATCCTAAAATCAATTTTTAGAGGTTTGATATTCAAGTCTTGAGTGGAAAAATAAAAAAAATTGGAATTTCTTTTCTACATGGGACCAAAAGTTAAATTAGAAAATTTGCTCTCATTGCACCACCCCCTACGTACTGTGATTGAAATGACAATCGACCTGAGCTGTATAATTTTAAGACTTTCCTACAAAATTATATAAACAAAAGTTATAAATGATGAATAGCATGTTTATGTAACTGTAAGCCTTTAGATAGAATTTCTTTGTTTGATGTCGAACTATAGAATGAATAATACTCAAGTTTAATTCAGGAAAACAGTTTGTCATGTATTATGTTTTGAACCTACCAAACCATGTACCGGGTATGATATGAAAAGAAAGACTATCTTATTATTTTTTCATGACATGTTCATTATAATTGTATGCTTATTTTTAGTCCCTTTCCTGAAAGATTAGAACTTCTTGCTTGCTATACAGACATCAGACATAGAATTCTATTTTAAGGCCTACATATTATGGTCATTTAATGACTTACAAATCTGTTAAGTATTAGTATATCTTATCTGTGTGTATTTGAACAAGTTTTTTTCTTCTGTAATATTTGTATTCATAACTTCATAGCAAAAACCATACATTATGTTGATTCATTGAAAGGTGTTCAGAATTGTGGCATAACTTGATAACTGTGATATTGATATACCACAGCATTACAAGTCAAAACTTGTTGTTCCAGAGATCTGGTATTAAAATTTTTATATATAAGTTACTCTTATTCTTCTTAAACCCCTGAAACGGCCTCATGGTCTCATGGTAGAGGCTTGTGTGACTGAGGTTATAGGATTGAAACAACGGCAAGGTCATACAAAAGACACTCAAAATTGATATTTTCTGTTTCTTTGTTAGGCTTGAAGGAGTAAAATAAAGCCTGGATGGCTTTGAATCTGAATAATATGTCTTCCTTCCGACTGTTACCTTATGAACTAGCTGGTTACAAATTCTATTCAATGACAATAGTCTGATACAATAAAAAAAATTAGGCGATTTGGTATGATTGCCAAGAAGACAACTAATTATCCGGGAGAGCTCAAATGAATAAGAAAAAGCAATTATATGTCAACCGCCTTCAACAATTAGAAAAACCCATAAAGTATTGTCAGCTTTAAAAGGCCCCGACATGAAAAATGTGAACCAATTCAAACTAGAAAACTAACAGCCTAATTTATTAGATGTTAACCAACTTTTTTTGCGTTTTTGCCTATTATCTTTAAGACTATAATAAATCAATAGAAACTTTAAAAGAAAAACTTGATAAGCAAAATAAGGTCGGCAAATAGGTCAGCATAGATAAAATTGTCATGTCTCAAGCTTCTAAGTTGTTACCTTAAATGACCATTTATGAGTGTTCGCCAAAAATAATAGAAGATAGAGAAATTAATAACCACAAAAATGGTCAGCAATATACAGTCAACAAAGAAGATTTGTTATGACTAATCTTATTCGACAATTTTGGAGAGTATCCATATTTGAAGATGCACATAGACCTAGACCTTGGTGAGCAATACAGGCTTTTATTTAGAGCCTCTAGTTTATATAGCAAACAGCACAAACATATTCAGTATATGTACATACTAAAAAATAGTTTCATCAACAGAAGCAGGAAAAAGAATACAGCTAGCCGTAAATCTGTTTCAATATGAGGTCTGGATTTTTTCCAGTGACTTGAACTATTTCCAAACAGTTTGGCGATTATCATGCCTTCAAATAAAGAAGAACTTTACATCTACCACACTAGAACTGTTCTTTAGGGTGTATGCATTTGAATAAAAGAATTATGTGGTAAACGTCACTTCAACAATATTACAAGCCTAGCAATCCAGAAGTTCCTGTAAAAAAAGATGACGAGACCAATTTCGATTAACTTCTGTGGTTTCATCTTACAAATATCCTTGCAACTAAACTCTGGAGGTGAGTTAATATCGGTAATTGGTGTTGCAATGACTTGGACAACTATAAATGGGTCAAATTGGATTTTAGTAAGTCTTATCTATATCAAAATGGTGGTACAATATGGTCAACTAGCTACTACATACATGTACAACCCTACCAAGAGATTTCTGTAAAACAGCCTCAGGAATTGCAACACAAGTCACTTTTACAATGGTATAAAACAGTCGAAGTCCAATACCTCCGTAAAAAATATCAACTCAAAATGACGGTATAGTATTAGGGTATAGTATAGACAATATGACAACTTATAGTCTTAACAAGTATGCAAGTTTTCTGTTAAACGTCCTCTTGAGTATTGATGTAATTCGGACGGACGGAGACCGTCACCATATCCTCACTGCTGGGAAAAAGAGAATTGGTACGATTGGTAATTCTAGTCGAGTATCGAAGTGGACCACAGTAGAAGGATGTGAACCGATTTCAAGTCGCCGAGCATTCAACAATAAACAAAACCCATATAACCTTATAGTAAGCTATAAAACGCCCCTGGATGACAAATGCGAAACAACTCTAAACAGAAAATAAAACAACAATAAAAGAAAAACAGCAAAAAACTCCAGTTTGGGCAAGGCATATTAAGAACATATTTGTTTGCGTTTCACCCTCTAGTCTTCTAACATGGGACAGTGGTAGCAAGACAACACAACTTGAAAACAAACTGTAAAAATCAGTTGGTAAGGGCTTGAATGACCCATAGAAGTCTGACAGTTTTCATAAACATATATTACTAAAAAGTTTCATTTAGAAGTCACAAATAACGACTAAGTTTGACGATTCCACAGAGTAACATACGGTTGCTCACTCTATTAGCGTCTATCACTACGACAAAAACAATGCGATCTTCGTTACAAATAGCCATTTAAAAAAGGTTTATCCTAGCGTGTACAGCATAATTATCTTTATTCGCCGTTCGATTGATAATCCTAGTCAAGTAAGATTGGAGTCGAACACACCAGCCTCGTGCGAGTATGGATCTGTGTTACCTATTGCATCTGCAGTACCGATAGCCTGTTATAAGAAATGTGTATAGGCACTTCACACAATCATTGTCCTTTGTTGAAAACCGCATGCCTTTTCTTCCAATTTTTGTCTCGCCTTGACGGAGTCAAGAAGCGAGACATAGGTATGCTGTTTCCGGTGTCGGTGGCGTCAACAATGTATTAGTTTGTGATTAGGTCTAGTTTATGGTGAACCACTAGTGGTAGGTCAATGCTATTTGGTATGCAGTGGTATCAGCATTGGCACATCTCATTTCCATGGAGATTATTTGGCCCTGCCCCATCAGTCATGGTCTATTGACTTTGAAACTTTTGCTTAGTTTACATGTATTAGTTTTGTGATTAGGTCAGTTTATGAGGAACCATTAGTGGTAGTCTAATGTTAATTGGTATGCAGTTGTAATGACATTAGCACATCTCATTTCCATGGAGATTATTTGGCTCCGGCCCGTCAGTCATGATCTATTGACTTTGAAACTTTTGCTTAGTTTACATGTATAAGTTTGTGATTAGATCAGTTTAAGATGAAGCGCTGATGTTAAGTCAGGTGATATTTGATATGCAAATTTATTGGCATTTGCAAGGCTCATTTCCGTGGAGATTATATACCCCCACCCCCTATGCATGGTTCATTGACTTTGAAACTTTTACATAGTTTACACGTTAATGTTTGTGTTTAGGTTTGTTTAAAGGGAACGACTTAGGATAAGTCAATGGTATTTGGTATGCAGTTGTATTAGCATTAGCACATCTCATTTCCATGGAGATTGTTTAGCCATGTACCTTCAGTCATGGTTCATTAACTTACATGTTAAAGTATTGCTTTTTTAATTTCAACAAATCCATTATCAAAATTAAAAAAAAGCGTCGTCCGAAGACAGATGGTTTCCGGATAATAACTTTAGTATAAATAAATAGAAATCAATAAAATTTTAACACAAGGTTTATAACCACTAAAGAAAGGTTGGGATTGATTTTGGGGGTTATGGTCCCAACTGTTTAGGAATTAGGGGCCAAAAAAGGGGCCCAAATAAGCATTTTTGTAGTTTCCAGACAATAACTTGTGTTAAAGTGTATAATGAATCTCTCTGAAATTATATCACAAACATCCATACAACAAAGGGATGGTTAGGATTGACTTTGGGGGGTTATGGCTCAAACCATTTAGTAATTAGGGGCAAAAAAAGGGGAAAAACAAGGTTTTTTCTGGTTAAAGGACAATTGAGACAATTTAAAAGCAGTGTAAGGGAGGTAATCCAATTCAAATTAAAGAACACTGTTTGATTACCTCCCTTACACTGCTTGTAAATTATGTATTAAGAAATGATTATTGTCTTGAGGTGATTAGCTGTCAATTTATTTTTAGCAGTTACTATTAATTAATATTAATTTTAGCCATGACTATGTATGTCATTTTATATTTTAAAACTTTTATGATGTATTTAAATGGGTAATTTTGGTTGCAAACTGCATTAGAAATTTGAATTGAGATACTGACCATATCTTAAGGGAAAGGGGGGAGGTGAAAAAAATTGGAGGGGGGGGGGGGACAATTTTTCTCATTTCAGATTTCAGAAATTAAAAGAAAATTTCTTCAAATATTTTTTTGGGGGTTAATATAAACCGGGGTAAAATAAATTCTTTTTGGTAGGGGGGGTCAATTCGCAACAGCATAGTGTATTGCACAAAAGCAATAAATTGAATATAAATTCAAATCATATAACCAATTTGAAGTTCTCTGACTACAGTTATTCTGTGTCAGAAACCTATTATGTGTCAAAAATTTAGTTACAATCCAAATTCAGACCTGTATCAAGCGTGAATATGGTGTCCATTTTGGCCCAACTTTTCAGGGTTGGACATCTGCGGTCGTATCCAGCTGCGCTCAGCGAAGTTATTTATTATTCATATGTATTTCAATTGAATTTGATAAAAATCATTTTTACTAATTCGTTTTTCACTACAAGGGGGTGTAACTCCAAAAAATAAGTGGTTTAATTTTTACAGTCTTTTGTTTTCAGTCATTTTATGTGGTAAGTTCCTGAAAGTATTCCATAAAAGCTTCATAAACACTTTGTCATTTTGGAGCCTTTACTGGCTTACTTCATCAGCTCAGTAGTCATTGTAACGGTACTGACACGATTTAAAACATCAATTAAATTATCCTTTAATAAAATAAGAAATGACTAAGAAACCGTAAGGTTCCAACTCCTTCTGGCAAGTTAAACTTTGATGAATTTGGATATTCTTTAAGGTCCCTTTATGTCATATAGCGCCAAACGTGTTTAGTTATTCATAAATACTTGGTTTTCAACTGTTATTTGGTTTGAGGGGAATGTAGACATTAAGCGATTCGGACGTAAGGTCGGTATAAAGTGTTATCTTTTTAAACTTGTATATACAAGATAAGAGTGTTAGTCTTTGTATAGGCATACGGTGACCTGTAATGGTTCACATCCTTGTCCCTTAGCCTTTGTTGAAAGTTGTCTCAATGGAAATCATACCACACCTCTTTATGTTTACAGGGGCGGATTCAGGCGGGGGCGTGACGGGCGTGCGCCCCCCCTAAAATTTGCAAAGCATGGGTTGTCCTCAGCTTAATAAAGAATATTTCGATAATTTTAACTCAAAAAAAATTTCGCCTCGCTTCACTCGGCGAAAATTTAAGTTTGCGCCCCTAACCTAAAATCCTGGATCCGCCCCTGCTTTATATGATAAACACGAATAAAATGAGATGAGACATAAACCTAACCACTAAAAAAAACTCATCAAAGATAACTTCGTCTACAAAAATGCTACAAGTGACGGTCGATAAAAAAAGTTAAAAGGTTCAATCAAGTACATAGTTGAATAGCATTGAGGACCCAAAATTCAAAGACATCGAGACGTCAACATATATACGTGGTCTTCATCAATAGTGCGTCAATATGATATGCCAAGCTCTAAATCATCCGAGACGTCAACATACATGGTTTTCAACAATAGAACGTCAATACAATATTTCAAGTTCTAAATTAACCGAAACATCAACATACATGGCCTTCAACAATATTGCGTTAATACAATATGTCAAGCTCTAAATCACCCGAGACGTCAACATACGTGGCCTTCAACAATAGTGCGTCAATACAATATGTCAAGCTCTAAATCACCCGAGACTTCAACATACATGGTCTTCAACAATAGTGCGTCAAAACTATGTCAAGCTCTAAATCACCCGAGACGTCAACATACGTGGTCTTCAACAATAGTGCGTCAATAAAATATGTCAAGCTCTAAATCACCCGAGACGTCAACATACGTGGTCTTCAACAATAGTGCGTCAATACAAGTAGAACTCTAAATCATCCGATTTGAGAAAAGTAAAGAATGAATAACAGACTCTTTTTAAGATTTGCCATCAACACCTAATTCCCTAAAATATCAACAAAAACATAAATATATGACAAAAGACAGCCAGTAACGATGCTCAGGTACATAAACACGTTGCAGGTTAAAACTAATTTTGTTAAGCCGGTTACATTTAGTCGCGGAAGCGAGATACAGCGACCTTCATTGCGTCGTCGAAAGTTTAGGTTCAGTATATGGTTAAAGTTTTTTTAGACATAAGCATTTTCATCAAACCTTCATGAAATTTTATGAACATTGGACAGCATAAGTCCGTCACTTCACAGAACAAAGATAATTCAATGCATCTAGAAATACCTGTAGATTTTACTTTCTTTGGAAGATGAAATGTTATAAAGGCGTGTACGGTGTATATGCTAACAAGAGAGCTTGCCTTAAGTCTTTTGTAAATGGCTTTTTGAACGGGAGACTGCTTGATTTTATTTTCATTAATCAATAAATAGAGCAATCAATGCCGGGCATTCTGCGCTCGATCCCAAGCTGTAACTGGAGGAAAATCCTGCTCTTTGTTGCACATGCTTACACGTTTTTTTTCAAGATACACTTTGTTGACATGTTATATGCATTTACCAGTCAAAATAAAAGTATGGCTGGAAACAAATGTACAAGTTTCAACACAGTTTATGTATTGTTGAAAACAATATTTTTTTCAAAAAGAAAATAATCTTTTTGTAAGAAAACTGTGAGAACGTTTAAGGAATAATGAGTAAGACCAATTCATAAAAAAAATCATTTATTAAATAGCTATATACACTCACAATATTTTTAACAATGACAAACAGCACAAACACTTCCACCCTTTCTTTCTCTCATTTCTCCCATACCACACAAGACAAATAAATACACACTCTTTCACAAGATTCACTCACACGGATACTTTTACTCAAAGATAAACATTCTTTCACATGCACAGACACACACACTCCCCTCTCTCACACGGACGCACATTTTCTCAATCACACAGACCGACACACTCGCACAACTCAATATTGAAACATAACCAAAGTACACTTATAGTGCGAATCATTTAAAAAAATATTAAACCAATAATGTCAACATGCATATCTCAGTCCTCAGTGTTTATGTTTACTTCATGTTTTCTGTAGATTTGCGAAAGAATCCCCATCTCTTTTGATTCCACGGGTTAGTCTTATACCACCCAAAGGCAACGTCCGACTCGTCCGTAGCAATCTTCAACTTTACGACCATCCCTGAAAATTAAAAAACAAATTGAGTGTATTTTGTTCCTCTGCATTCGGAAAGCTGATAAAATTAGAAATTGATTATGATAAAAAAAGAAGTGTGTAATATTATATCAACAAAATAACAAACACTATCCTCTGGACTTTGATTCTTTATTCTTTATTATTAATTTAGTATCATCTACCTCCCATTGGAAGTAGGACAAATCGCCCCACTGGCAAATCGCCCAACACCAAATCGCCCCAAACTGGTTTACCAACTCGACCCACTTTTTAAAAAATCGCCCCACTTGTGAAAAGGGTTAAATCCCGTTAATTTTTCTCCTGCCAACTCGCCCCACTTAATGAAAAAAGGTAAAAATGACTAGTGTAAAACCATTCAAACGGGAAAAGCATGTTTATCTAAGGTTTTCATAGTTACTGATTTTATTTATGAGTGGAACATAGATATACAACGGGATTGCATCTTTTGCATCCAGTTGGTCGAGTTGGCATTACTAAATTCATCAGGATTTATCTATTTTTCACAAGTGGGGTGACTTGACAGACCTTATTTCAGAGGGATTTTTACCCTTTTCATAAATGGAGCAAGTTATCCAACCTATTTTCAATGGGATTTTACCCTTTTTCATAAGTGGGGCGAGTTGGTTAAAAAGTGGGGCGATTAGGTGTGGGGCGATTTGTCATGGATTCCTCCCATTCATGAAGATAAAAACCACACATATATATTATTATTTTTCTTTTGTCATGATTATTGTGTGTCGTTGGGTTGCTATTTCCTTCATGAAATCCGCACAACAGATTTTATTCAAATCCAAAAGTTGTCATATTTTCTACAATTATTTGTTTTCGCCCTCTTAAATGGAAAAACATAACATACATGTATCATATAGACATTATATTGCACCGTTGACGATGACATCTTAACCTCTAGATGCCCCTTTTGGTCTTATTGTGCATTTGAATTGCTGTCTAATTGACTTATTTCGTCACACCTCCTTTTATTCATGTTTCTGATTTTTTTTTATTGTAGCATTACAATCACATTTGCCAAAAAGATGACCTAGATCCCGGTCATAAAAATTTACTTAGTACTCGGAGTACAAAAACTTCTGCTCGAAACACAAAATCCAGTACAGTATTTTGATAGAATTGTAAGTATGAGTATGATTATCGTACTCGAAATTTCATGACGTAAGCCCTGTGCATCGCAATATACCCTGATATTGCTGTATCTTTTGAAGTTTTTATAAACATTGAAATTGCCTGTTATGTCTAAAAACCTTATTCAAAACCCTCGAAATGACCTTACCTTCTTTAATTTTGACAAAACACTCGTTTGTTTTCTCTGACAATTCTTTTGTCTTCACATAATTATTGCTTACAAAGTTAAACTGGTTTTCTTGGCAACTGACGTCTGCAAAATTAAATATTGGGACCGTTATTAGATTTAATAATTCAAAGTGACCAACTGTAACGCAGGCACAGTGTAATTGTAAGAGTAAATGGCAATTTGGGCTTATGAAAACCTCTCATTTCTCCAGGATATTGTTGGTATATTGCTCGTGTTTGACAGATTTGCTCTCTGTGTGTGAAAGAATTGACCAGACGATAGAACTCATCGAATACCGGTTGCCGTCACAATTAGAACCCGACATTAATAATTTAGTCTTAGATGCATGATTTTTTTATTAGTTGTTATTGGCTTTGAACTAGCTGTCAGTAACTGCGAGTACTCTCAGATCTGTACTTAATGTCTTTTTATTGTTGGGATGTACAAGAACCCGTTCGCGTCCACTCTGTATATATGTTTTTCTATTTGTATCCATCTGATGAGTTAAGCCTTTTTCAACTGATTTTTATAGTTCGTTCTTATGTTGTACTGTTACACCACTGTCCCAGGTTAGGGGGAGGGTTGGGATCCCGCTAACATGTTTAACCCCGCCACATTCTGTATGTATGTGCCTGTCCCAAGTCAGGAGCCTGTAATTCAGTGGTTGTCGTTTGTTGCTGTGTTACTTATTTGTTTTTCGTTGATATTTTTGTACATTAATTAGGCCGTTAGTTTTCTCTTTTGAATTGTTTTACATTTGTGATTTCGGGGCCTTTTATAGCTGACTATGCGGTATGGGCTTTGCTCATTGTTGAAGGCCGTACGGTGACCTATAGCTGTTAATTTCTGTGTCATTTGGTCTCTTGTGAAGAGTTGTCTCATTGGCAATCATACCACATCTTCTTTTTCATATTAAGTATTTTTGCGAAGAATTGACATTTTAAAAGACAATGCAATGGCTAATATAAGAATCGTGTTGTTTATAATACATGCATAAGACAATAAATAGATTAACATGACTCATACAAAGAAAGCTTCTACGTCATTTGGTCTCTGGTGGGCAGTTTTCTCATTTTCAGTCATACTACATCTTCTTATTTTTATATTCAAAATAATGTCTTGTATAAATGACATGTAAATGGAATTAGGAAGTTACTGTTATGTATCTGAAGGTTGGTCGGCATCAATAAAGTAAAAAAAATACATCTGACAACAAATATTCTGATATAAAACTGTGGTCTCAGTTTTTATGTGCTTTTGTGTCGCTTTCATATCATCACCCACATGGAACTGATACCGTCCTGAATTTTTTTGACATTATCCAATCAAAATAAACGTTATAAACTGACTTACTATTGTTATTGCGTTGTTCTTTTGTCTGATCAGATAGTTGTTCCTTCACTATCTGTATGGCTGATTTGTAGTTAACAAATTGAATATCTGGAAGCTTGACTTTAAGTCCGTTTGCAGTATGAAATTCCTACATAAAAATATTTGTTGTAATCATAATTGCCACTAACCCTAACAAACATTATGTACGACATGATCGCTTTTAAAGTGAAAGTATCATATACATGTCTGTATATATTAAACAAACAGAGATAAAGCATACATGTAGTTATTTCTAATTTTGTAATCTTTTAACTAATGCATATTTTAGTACCAAGAAATTCCTGCTTATTGCTAAACAATCTGAACATCTTTTTTGGTTGTGCTGTGTCGTTAAGTTGCTGTCTCATTGACATAAACAAATACATCTTTTACTAAAACTACGACGACACATTTAAAAAGTTTCTGCAGGGGAAAGTTTAAAACAACGCACAAAATATATTGAGTAGCACCGACAACGAAGAATTTGAACCGTGACCTGTGGATTGATTTGTCTTTATATAGAAAATCATACCTTAACTGATATTTGGTATATCTATGCCTTATCATAAGGCTGGCAAGTGCAAATCATATTTGGAAAGTTACGCTACTTGGTTATGCTACTGTTATGTTTGATTTATTTATTTGTTATTGGTTTGTGTAGCCATGACTACTGAGAGGTTTCCGTGACAGTATCCACGCTATCAATAAAGTCACGATATTTGATTGATTGATTGTTGGTTGCTTAACGTCCAGTGGCAAATATTTCGTGCATGTTCAGTATTTATGCAGACCGGTAGACCACCGATTGAAATAATGAGCATATTGTTTGAATAATTACCTGTGGTGAACTGAAGTGGTATTTGGAGCTAAGTTTCTCTATAATTGATTCTGCAGCCAATCTGCAGTCAAAGTCGTCAATGTGTGGAAGTACTTCATAGAGTCTACAAGACAAAAGAAAAGCCATTCAGTAATATATCAAAAAAAAAAAAAAAAAAAAAAAAAACAATTTCAATAAAACTGACTGTTTATTTGTTCTTTTTCTAAGAAATGCTATTGGTTTGTTTACTTGAAAAATCGTATAACTTTCGAATTTAATAGTTAAGTAGTTCAATAACATTAAATTGATTGCAACGTAAATAAATACGGTTTATTCATTAATCGCATGTTTAAAACAATAATCACCAGTCCTAATCAATACACGATTTAAGTATCAGCAGTATTCAAGTAATTGTAAACTCTTTAAATTTCGTACTCGTATAAAATAAGATCCGAAGTCAGATACGCTACATAAAAAGGACCCCAAACTTCTACACTTGCCACTACAAGTGTCAATTTTAAGTAGCTATCTGGTAGGAGTGCTTAATTTCCATTTACCCTAGGTAATACAAAACATGAAACGAATTACTTACTTGTTAGTTTGTGTTGTTAGGATATATTTCATAGACAACAATCCACTGTGTATACGATCTGCTAAGTTGAACCTTATATCGTCCAATAAGTCACTTTCAAGCTAGATAATATATAATTTAAAAAGGTCGTCAAGACCAAACTATGATAATCTGCCTAAAAAGGATCATGATTAAACTCTGATAATCCACCTAAAGAGGATCATGATTAAACTATGATAATCTGCAAATTAAAGTACCAAATAAATTATTTTCTACAGATATCAGAGCGATTCTACAGTGTAGTTTGAATTCATTGTGTTCCTTTTAAAAAAGTTTAATTAAAAAAAAACACAGTTCTCTTGATTTGAAATTTGTCTTCATTTATGGAACGTGCGAACTAAGAAACGATTGAATGGGTTAACCGATAAAACGGTTGATTTGTGTCCCTAGTGAACACACAATCAGCATTTAATCGATTTGCATACAAAAAATGCACCATTGCTCAGATTGCACAAACTTACCCAATAATGTTGTGCGATTGATTATTGACTCGTAAATGATTAAAATTTTGAACATATTAACATTATATTCAATCATAGATAGACCCTTTAAATTTTTCTGCTAAACTAACCATTCTCAAAGCATTTCTAGCCATTTTCTCTTTTGTCAGCAAAGTTTGGTATCTCTTGGCTGAATCTGCTGCTTTCTGCTTTTTATCTTTTAGTGTAGTCTGCAATTGTTTAATGCTGTCATCTCGAGCGTTCAGCTTTTTACTGGATAGTTCATCCGCCAGGTGGTTTCGTGACATTTCGGCCGTCTTCAGGCATAATTCGTACTTCTGTACTTTACTGTTATCAATCCAACACATCTTTAAATGTAAAACTATTTTACTTCTAGTTGTTAGCCAGATTACACATAGCAAACTTAATTTTTTTAACTGCTGCGAATAAATGTGCGAACACAAAGAAATTGAGTGTGTTGGGAACATGTACATGTACATAGCTTTTTTTTTTTTTTTTTTTTTTTTTTAAATGTTTCTAAAATGGTCTAATATGGAAAATCGAAGCAAAATAGTAGCTGCACTTTGGCCTTCAACTACAATGCCGAAAAGTCGTCTGAGCAATATTCTATCTCATAACATAACAATTTTGGAATACATATAACTTGATGAAAATAATTAAATTGAACTACAAGCTTGCAAAAGATTATTTCACATGTTTGGTTTGTACTGTAAAAAATACCTCTTGTTGTTTTTGAAGTTCTTTGTATTGATGTGTGTGGGCTCTCATTAGTTTATTCATTTCATCGATCTTTGTATAGTATTCTTCGGTTTTTATCTGATCAAATCTAAAAATATACAATTTATTATGAAATCTTACTTTCGTTGCAAAGCGCATGCAGGTCAACATTTTTGTTTATTTGAAGAACTGTACACGTTTGTACGAAATTTGTATATGCATACAGATGATCATTGCAAGAAGGAATAATTCTAAAGGTTTTTGTCCTGTTTAACGAAAGGTATGTTTAAAATCTATCCAAGAATTTTGCCATAAACTAGTACTAGAGACCGTCTTGAATTTGCAGAGAGGTGCTCTTTGCTTCACTCTGACCTTTAGATGAATAACAGCAATGAAATCGCTGTTGCTTTGGGTTTTGTTTTCATGAGCATGAAGTGATTTTGTGTAATTAATTGATATACGACATCCCTTTTTCTATTAAAGAATAAGAAAAAAATGATCCTTTTGTGTAACGGGACATTTTTTTCATTAACACAAGAACCATGTACACTGGTTACCCAAACCAAACAACTTACGTTGGAATTGGCAGAATGCTGTCAGATGATGAAACCAGTTTAACAATTTTGTTCTGGATTCTTTCAGCAACGGACTTCTTACTACTTTCGCTAGCTGTCTCATGTGCTCCAACAATACCCAACACCATCTCAGACAGAAGATAAAACAACTTGTTTATTTCTGGAAATTCTGGAAAAATAAAAATTATCCACGTCGTTCGAGTGAATTTGCTAAAAATGTAAAACAGCATGCATGTCCTTTTTTACCGGTTGTTGTGTCACTTTAAATTTACTGATATCAAATCACCAAAAACACTTTGAAAACCTAAAATTACAGATTGAGTTTCAAAAAAGAAACAACAGACATTCAGAACGTTTAATTTGAATTGTTTGAATAAAATTTGATAATGGTCATTACCTCAGAAGTGCTAATCGAGAGAACGATTCAGTTATGTGTTCTCAAAACAACTTTGCTTTTAAAGAGTTGGCATTAGTATGTACACTGTTATAAGTGAAGGCGCTAAAGTGTAGGTCTATGGAAGAGTTTTCACACGTTATGTTATGTTTGTTTCGGTTTTCGTTAGGTCGAAATATATTTTGTTTACATTTGATATTTTTCACCTCTGAAGATAGCATAATCTTACCCATATTCTGTCTGTATACCATCATTTTCTGCATGATGCTTCTTATTTGTTGTCTGGGGAAATCTGCAGTTTCCGAATTGAAGTTAACCTCAAGGGACTCGCTTATTGTAGCGAAAACATCAATTCTGGAAAAAAAATAATTATGCTTGACACCAAGTGAAAAACTTACTTATTTTACTTTGATGGTCAGAAATTATGTTTGTGTTCAAAACCGTAAGGCATGATTATATGACTTTAGCAATAAATGAATTAAATTATTTAAATAATAACAATAAGATAAAAGAGTATACCCTTCCACATAAAGTTAAGCCATGAAAAAATATAATGGACTTGAAACGCTAACGAAACAAACTATACAAAATCTCCGAACATTTTCAATAAAAACTTACGTTCTGTGTGCAACAGAAGTTATGCTGTAAATATCCGGAATATAGACACAATCCATTTTCATTTCCTTGATTTCTTTTGAAAAGACTGCTTCTCAGAATTTTCTTGCTGGTCTTTCCGTCGTAGTGAGGGAAAGATAGCCGGGATGGCGGGAAGAGATAACGTCATAATCTGAACGTCTTCTTGTTGGACGTTGAAACAAAGGTAGAACGTCACAGATAAAGTGATTTTTAGTTGGTTGCTGGACAAAATGTAAAATATTGTGAAATCTTTACAGCAGATTATACGCAATTGTATAGCATTTTGGATTTGAATGAAAATGTGCATGCATATAGACTTCATTGAACTGCATCTGAATATACTTCCAATTTTTTCATGTAAATATCAAGTAAATCTACAAAATTTGGAGTAAGATTTAAATTTCGAGTTAAATTTCAAGTTAGGTTTGGAGTTTTTATTCCAGTTAACTGAATCGAATTAATGGTCAAGTTGGATTTCGGTTTTGAGTTTGGCATTGCCTTAACGTATACCTTAGAGGGAAAACATCAAAATATAAATCATTCAGCATTGAGCAGAAGTTCACCGCGTTTTCAAACGTGCTTTAAACAGATTTCAGTATCTACTCAATCCTGGCTTTATTTTTTGTCTTGTCGACGTCATGTATTAGTTAATGTGAGACATTTTAAAAACAATAATTATAAGTTAACTGAAATAGACTGAATTGATGTGACCTCTTTAGTTCACTTTTTTCTACTTTTAAAAGTCTTTTGTATATTTGGGACGTATAGTTGCCGCTGTCTTATTGACTATAAATCATGGCTGACTATAACTCATGATAACTCCTTGCATGCAGATGTAAAATACGATCGAAGAATTCTGTCTTAAGTATGATCAAGACAGTATCAAGAGCAACCCCCCTCATTTCCCCGTATTTTTATGATACACGAACTTATTGTTTTTGCAGTTAACAATAATAATTATACATTATAGGGTTAAGGTTTTTAAGACATCAATTACTTTGCCAAACCTTAAAAAAAATTGCAAACTTGGGCAGAAGAATTTTTTTTTACGATTAAAAATAATTTCAGAAGCAAAATTTTTAAATTTTTTTTTTAGCATTTTTACATGCTACATGCAGTCTAGGATTAATCTTTTATGCTTTGTTAAACTTTCATGGAATGTTATGAAACTTGGACAGCAGCTTCCTCAAGATCAAGAAATAGCATCCGGAATAATAAAAATGATATTTTTAAAAACTTTTCCGTATTTTATTGATAATTGGACTTATCTATTTTTACATAAATCAGGCCGTTAGATTTCTCGTTTGAATTGTTTTACATATGTCATTTCGGGGCCTTCTATAGCTGACTATGCGGTATGGGTTTTACTCATTATTGAAGGCCGTACGGTGACCTATAGTTGTTAACTTCTCTGTCATCTGGTCTCCGTTGGAGAATTGTCTCATTGGCAATTATACCACATCATATTATTTTTATAAATAGTTTTGGCATTCAACATTACACTTTTAAACTGACAGTTTCAATCACAGGCGAAACAGCTAGGGGGTTCTGTGGAATCCTTAACGATTTTCCAAACCCTACCCTTTTTATTTCAGTGGATCTTCTAAGAAATTTTGTCATTCTTTGTCAGACAATTGAACAACTTCAAACAAACAGAAAACCCTTAACCGAGACCAGATATTTTAAAGAAAACTTGACCGAAAAAAAAATGAATATACGAAGTTGAAATGGACCGGGAAACGTATAGACTCCATAGAATTTTTGAAACAACAATTATATCTTAAATGAAGAATGGTGAAGTTGTATAATTATGAAATATTTTATCTGAAACATGATATACTCCCATGACCGGGAATGTCATACATGTATATTATTACACAGTTTCATTCGTTTAGAGTGGCCGCGATGATTGTTGTGCTCGAGAAGGGCGACATTGTTACACAATAGATCTTGGAGCTCGAGAAGGGTGGCATTGTTACAATAGGTCCAGATGCTCAAAAAAGGTGACATTGTTACAATAGATCCTGGTGCTCGAGATTACAGGCATTGTTGTAATAGATCCTGGTGCACGAGAAGGATAGCATTGTTACAAAAAATTATAAATTAAAACACTTAGTGAGGCAGTCAATAGAAGCTACGCCACTGAATAGTTTCACCATTTGTCATTTCGGACCTATAATATAAGTTATATGGTTCGCTACTGACCCCCTACGGATCCATAGAGGATGAGTAAAATCCATAGGGGGTGAGGGAGAATCCGAATCCCCTATGGATTTTATTCACCCTCTATGGTCTGTAGGGGGTCAGTAGTGAACCGTATAACGAATTTATCGCACGCGATACTTTTTCTGCAGCGTTTTGTAGAAAAATAAACAATGAAATACAAAAACATCAATAGATGACGTCACCATTAACAGTAGCCGTGACGTCATGAACCCACTATGCAATTTACTAACCCCCTACGGATCCATAGGGGGTCACCACGTGACGGCGTTAAACCAATCACAACGTAATAATTTACCCGCGGTGCGATAAGAACATATATCTACGTCCTTTGGTACTGTAAATTCAGAAATTAATGCGAGGTTTTTATTATTGCGAAAAATGCGACAGAGTTGTAAACGCAATAATTTAAACTCGCATTTTGAAATATTCTATATGAATTAAACAGGATTTTTCTCAAAATCGTAAAAATTAAAATCGCATTTAAGTCTAAAATGACAAAATCGCAATAATAAATGCACGCAATAATTTCTGAATTTACAGTATATGGTGGATAGCCGTCTTATTGGCAATAATACCACATCTCATTATTTTATAAGGGTATCGAAGCAGGAAGTTAGATGTACCCATGGTCTAATTTAACTGCCATATTTGAGCTCTTAATATTAAATCTAGAACTTAAAACTGAGGAATCAATTGTAACAATATGACAAGTTTGAATACCTAATACAATATAAACCATCAAGCAGATAGTAACTCTCGGAACAAATTCAAATGCATGTCTTTTACACCGGTGTTTGTTCTACCAACATTTACCTGAAATAATTTTGCATGTCAATTGGTTACGGTGAAATAAAAATATGAAAAATAAAACCATTGAGTATCCATTTGTTTACAAAGGAAATATATACATCTGTGGAAATCCGTACTAAACAAAAAGACAAATATGAATGATCATTGATGGGATAGTTTTATATCAATTAAATTTAAAATATAAGAAATGCACATTTATACCCCAAGGGGTTGAAGGCAAACAATACAACAGTATACACAATGCAAACATTATGAAATATTAAAATACTTACTACACAACCAAATAAACCAATAAAACACAATATAAATAACACATAGCTGAGAGGATGATAAAGATAATTGTCTCCCTCGTATTAACTATTTAAAACTGGCATTCAAGTTAACCTGAAGTATAATAAAATGTATTAAAAAATAAAAAAAATATTGAATTAGGGTTTTCTACTTTACCCTTACTTAGTTAGACAAGTCATAATACAATGTATAGGATTATTGCATGAATATTGATGAATATTATCTCTCGTCCAATATAAAAACCTACTCGAGACAATATTATACAATTATAGCCTTTGTATGAGGTCGATACGAGGTTATATCGACCTAAGAGAAGCATATTGACTGGGGACGAAGTCCGAGGTCGATATGCTTCTTTTGGTCGATATAACATCGTATTGACCTCAACCAAAGGCTACAATTGTTATATTATGAATCAACAACTATTGCATGAACAATGTAAAATTGGGGATTTCTAGAATGTATTTTTAGTAACGTGCTGCATGCCCCGTGCAATATGCTGTTTTTGACCTACGAAAAGCTAAACACAACAGTATTGGCGTGCAAACTGAGTAAATACAAATGTACATGTGATCAAGTTTCAGCGAATCACAAATCCTTAAAAATATTCGATTAATAATATTCACCAATATTCATGCAATAACTCTACATTGTGAATTGTGTCACTTACAACCTTTTCCTTTATCAAGATGTTATACTTGACATTTTTTATTGAATCTAATTATGTTTTGATTCTCATCTATTTATACCCATTCTATTCCAATTGTTCTGAAATCGTTTATGATTGAAACAGGATATGCATTTTTTTCAATAAGGAAATATTTGCCTTAAAATGTTCACACTTGATGCCAAAAAAAAAAAAATGCCCCAGGAAACGTTTGTTATTAATTTGACATATGTACTGTAATCGACATTAATAATGAAATCGAAGATTGAGTTTTTAATTTATATGTCAGTGCACATTTTGTTACAAGGTAAGGTCATTTGAAAAATTACGTTCGACTTTTTAAGTCAGCCAAATGAGACTGAATGCAAAGTTTCCACCCCGTTCTTTTTCTCTAGCTGACAGATCTATAGTTTTCTCTTAGTCACTTTCTCCAACTGTTCTTCAGGAATTTTTGTTACCACAATTTATATGACTCCGACTGGTTAACCTTTGTACTAATGATTGATTTAACTGCAAAGAAAACTTCATAACCCACCATTTTGATGTTCTCGCATTATATACTTATATATATCTTTGTTAGTATTCGTTTAACTTAGTAGAGATATCGAGAAACACAAACAACACCATACATGTTAATGACTAAACAGATGAAATAAAAAAAAAAAATGAAAAAAAAAAACAACTGATGATTTCACATAGTCACTAAGATGTATGTGAAGTTACAGTAAGGGGGAGGAAAATATTTTGCAAAACTTGTAAACATAGATAGCGCACAAAACTGAACACGTTATTTTTTTTCGTCTCGCAGTCCAGTTCGAATTCGGTTTCGTGTGGCAGTAACAGATAACATATATCTTCTTCATCAGCTAAGGTACAAATTAAAGCACTAAAAGTAATCGGGTTTATACATATAGTAACTCGCACCAGAATTAATCGCGAATGTGGTCCGGCCGATTAAAAGTTATAGCTTGAATACACAGAATAGTGAATAATTTACCACATTTATTATATAAATCGTATTATAACATAGGGCTACTATGTTGTATAAAACTATGAACCATGTTTACACTGCAGTAGTATAATGTACCTGACGTGTGTAAGGTACTTCGCAAATTTTACTGACACTATCACAAGGCGGTTGACCGTTATGGAATACCTGTTTCACAGATGACGACGGATATGTTCCAATTGTCGTAACCTCAATCCTGTCCTAATTTTCTCGAATGTGAGATTACCATAATTAGACTTTTCACCAAATGTGTAGCTTACATGAGCCGCACGACGGGTGCCATGTGGGGAAAATGATCTGCTTACCCTTCCGAAGCACCCGAGATCACCCCTACTCCTTTAAAGGGGTTTTCAATATCTGTGTTGTTTATTCCGGTAACAGTCTTGTCTATTCTTGTCATGAAAAACTTGTTTCAATTTCAAAATTTCACATTCGTTCAAGTTTATGGGTTAGAAAATTGATATGACCGATGGCTTTCGAATTCGGTATGTTTAAGGGTTAGATGAGAGTCGAGGCATCTGCTTATCCTTCCGGAGCACCTGAGATGACCACCGGTTTATTCGGGGAAAGGGGGAGGTTTCGAATTTCTCTGTCTTAAGTTTTCTATGTGATGTTTTGTAGACTGTTGTTTGTCTTTTGGTGTTTTGATTTTCGCAATGGCATTGTCAGTTTGTCTTCCACTTATGAATTTGAATATCCCTTCGGTATCTTCCCCCTCTCTTTAAGCATATCTATCTGTGCCTTTCATTTAATGAATAAAAAAAACAGTATCTTCTTATCTTCATTATGGTCACTGATAAAATAAAAAGGCCTACGGTATAGTTTTCGTCTTATCTTAACGTCTGTTCTGCAACATGTTTTGTTATTCTTATTTCAAATTATAGGATTCGTAGTATAGTATTTCATTTCTTCTATTTTTATGCCGAACTGTTTGTTGTAAAACTCAAATTTTCTTTTGTTAATTTGTATAGTTGTTTTTTCTGTCCTGGTTATGACGGTGTTATGAAATCTTCTATGAAGTACAACAATCGACATTAAGTATGGGACGGTGTGATTTCTTATTAGCAGGATAAGTACTTTGAGCTTGCTTTCGGTATCTGGAAGCATTTATTTAGCGTTGCTATACCTCGTCTACAATGGTAAAGGGCCATTATGTTTTCCGGTCAGTTTATCCGTCCGTCTGTTCATTCGGTATCAGGTCAAAGTGTTGTTTTGATGTAGTTTGTGGTAACATCAACATAAAACTTAATACACTTGTTCATCGTGAAGTGAACTGTTTAATTTATATGCCAAAATAGGGTTTTGACCTATATTTTGCGTTTAATTAAAAATGGAAATGTGCTAGTGCGAGCGGGGCATGATGTTACCTATTAAACAGTTACTTTAGAGCTAAGTCCTTTCCCTGCTCTGGATTTTTATTTTTTATTCTATTATGCACATTTTTATTCAACCGTTCAAGATTAACAGGGGTAAGAGGATGAAGATTAAATAAAAAGTCTAACCCCGCAACATTTGCATGTGCATGTCTCAAGTCAGGAACATTGCCAGACGTTGTCGTATGTCATATTTTAATGTTTTTTTATTTTACAAAGTGAATTTTAATGTCATATGTTTTATTGTTTCCGTTAAATCTGTCACAACTTCTGTAAAGCCAGGACAATTTAGAGCTTTGCATATTATATAGACACCTGTCTCTAGCTGGATACTGTATGTTGCACATTAGATGTTTGTGAGTTATTTTTGTCGTTGGTTTTCTGTCTCATTGACGTATACAACTTCTTTTGTTCATATAGACAAGATAAACCTATAGATTGATTGCGGACCATTAAATTAACTGCGCATTCAAGTAAATAAAATAGCTGAAGGATATTAAACCTTGTTACGACTTATTTGCACAATAGACATGTAAAACGACCCATCGATTTGGACAAGGTTCTGTATCATATCATATACCAATGTATGTAAATATTGATAGCTAAATGGATATTTGATCTATCCCAAGTTGCCTTGGACGAAACACAATGTACACTGCGTGCCAAGTCGTATTAACGCGCTGTTAGTTACTCTTTAAATTTTTTTATAATAAAAAATAACCCATATCATTTAATAATTTTTTTTTTATTGGTGTCATTTTTAAACAGTTTCATGTATATTCAGGACTATAACAAATATGCAATAAATACAATAGGTAGACCGGGAAAGATGGCGGGTAGTTCGTAAAAAATGAGGACATGTTTCATAGGAGAAGAAATTTTGCCTTGCTACAGGTAACCCTTGGACCCCTTCGTATTTATACATCCCGCGTAGCATAAAGTGTAGAACCACTAATTAGAAAGTAGTACACATTCAAAACACACCAGTTCCTACATACAGATGTAGCTTTAAAAATATGTACAATATATTAGTTATTTAGGTACCAAAAGAAAGGTGAAGATCCTGTTTTTGGTACTTCCGAAGTTCCTTGAATCAAACGCTCGTTAATGCAACTAGATGTGTGTGTTTTTTTTTCTAGCACAAGCCACAATAAGGTATTGCTTTAATATGCAACGAACGTCATTATATTGAATTTAAGACAAAAGAGCTATGACTGCTTGAAATTGACGAATTTAACATTGAAAGCAAGGAGGTAAAGAATTAATGGTTTGCCTCTTAGTCAACCATCGGGGTTGTATTATTTCATAACGTAATATTAAATTAATGAGATATAAGAAACTGCATGTACCTGCATTTCTATGTCAGGGGTCACAGAGAATACAAGCAAAGGAATTTAACTTTTATGTCCTTGTATTTGGGAAGATTATTGCGAACCAAATGAAACATTTCCACAGAGTCATCTTCTCTTGGTCAAGGCAATTAATCTTTTGTCTGTTCTATTGTCCCATTGAAAAAATACAATAGCTATTGTTCTCTGTGTAGTTTATTCACTGGGACCTTTAAATTTCTTCTAAGAGAAATCTATCACTCATTGATTAATTTACCTGAGTAAAAAAAGTATCTTCTAAGTGGATGAAAATACATGCATTAAATCTCAAAACTGCATGTTTTGATGTTGTATTTATTCAATATCAATAATATATTTTCAATCATTTCAATATAAACACAAATTTAATCATAAAAAGTTGATTTCTAATAAATCTTTTAGCATTGTTTCTATTGAAATTTGCATTTTTTTTGGTTTTTGTTTAGTTAAAGAATACATTTAGAAGGCCTTAATTTAAACATCGTGATTTTCCAGTTTTTATTTGACCAACACACAAATAAACAAATTTCAATAGGAACAATGTTAAAAATTTTGTCAGAAATCAACTTTTAATGTTTAAATCATTGTTTACATTTAACATATTGAAAATAAATTATTGATATTGAATAAATACAACATCACATGCAGTTTTGATAGTTAATGCATGTATTTTCATTAACTTACAAGATAATAAGGTTTATCACTTATAAGATAAACCAATTTAATGAAAGAGATTTGATTAATATATTTATTTTCCACAAAGACATATTTTATCATTCGGATCCGCATCTCGCTTCCGGCTTAGAAACATCACGTGACTTCAGCCTCACATTTGAACTAGCCGCTCTAGATAAGTGAAAGTTTCAAAAGACATTCGTCAAAAAATCTTCGACATCCGCAACTTATAGATTCTAATCAGATATGAAACCACCGAAAAGGCCTCGTAATGTTCCCAAAAAGGTTTCACAGCAGCCTGCAGGTCCAGCAAAGAAATTTAGAAAAGGCAAAGTGCCGTCAACACGAGGAGCACTTTCAGAATCACAGAACACGACAAGAACCGTACAAGTTTCTAGAACAGCGACCGGTTCTAATTTGTCAATTGCTAGTGGACCGGCAATTAACATCGTAGCAGACGCACATCAGGAACCCCCATTCGTGCCTTTCAGGATTCAGGATGAGATGGATATAGAAAGTCCAAATTGCAACGAGGGAAACGCACTGGACAGACCAAGGGGAGCTTTGTTACCACTGACTCCACAACCAGGCCCCAGCGGGGTGAAGAGTCCAGCAAACAACAACCTTGGTATGTTAACTGTCTCAAATCAATTTGTTTCACACGGGTCGGCAGGTTCTGGGTCTTTAGATACTCGTTTACAAGTGGACCAATCCCCTTCATACATTTCAAGTGTTTTTGATCCCATTTCATCCCATATTCCGGTCAAAATTAAAGAAAAAATATGGAACGGTGAGTTCATTGACCTGAACATTCTTCTAAAATCCACCCGGGACCTTGTAAACGAGCAAAATTTAGAGGGTGAACTGGTAGTAAAAGGGGGTG